GAGAAAAAAGAGAGGAGGAAATTTTAGGCCATTCTATTTTTCTTACAGTGCTTAAAAAAAACCCATACCAACTGGAATCTTAAAAACTGTATGAAACTCATGAATACATACAGAAATACATTTTTAGTAAGCTTTACTCTATAGCAAGGAGACATTTGTTCGCAGTGGGAAAAAAGCTGTGCGCTGCCTCCCCTTTGAACGCCTCCAGAGCTGGCGCCTTTCTGAGAATTCACAACTGCCGCTTGGCTGCCAACAGGCTGGTGGGGGAAACTCAGTGGTTTTTGTTTCAAGGGACATGAGCAATCATTTGACCAGCCGTGTCCTATGGTAGATGAAGGAATGAGACAGAGAGGGAAAGTCAGTTTAGTTTTTTCTGTAAAAGAAAAGACACATTTTTCATTTTCATCAATCACTTTATTGATTTGGATATTTTGAGTATGTGGGCTAAGTCCCATGTGCTATAACGTTGATTGCTCTCAATTAATGTCTTGATTTGATTGCTATCAACTTCAACTGGTCTACCACCCATGGAGCATCAACCAGTGAGAAATCTCCAGTGTGAAACTTTGCAAACCAGTTTTGACACATTTGATCAGTCACAGCACCTTCTCCATACACTGCACAATTTTTTGCATTTCATTGTGTTTGTATCCTTCTTGAAATAAAAAAGCATCATATGCTGAAATGTTGCATATTTTCTTCCCTCTTCAATATGTCTGCAGCCCCACTTGCTGTAGATAAACCTAGTGTGTCCCCACCTGATTCCCTGGCCCCCCTTCTACTTGCTTCTGGGTGCAATTAGGAACCTTCCCTCCCCTTCTGCTGTGGCTGCTATCACCACACTTCATGTTTGAGCTAACCAGCCAAAGGCATCTCCCACTCCATGTGAACTGTAGCCAAATGCAGCCTTAAAACTACATTAGTTTCTACACATGATCTTCAAAAAGCACACAACAGGACAACAGCTTCCTGAGTGACTCATCTTCTATCAAAAACATACCTCCCCTCCCTGCAACACTTCCTCCTACCCGAAGTTCGATTATGCACCTGAACTAGCTCTGCTACCTAGACAGGCTCAGATTGTAATGTACACAAGAGCCATTTGATTGATTGTTGAACTTGCAGGTGTCCAGATCTTGCCTCAAAAATTATGACCAGTAAGAATGATGCAGGACCCAGGAATCCGAATCTGACAAGCTTTTGGAGGAATGGTGATTCAGAGAGTCTATGGATCTCTCTTGGAAAATGGTTCAAAGAAGCTAAGTCACATCCTTCTTCTAAGAATCTAGTTCTAAGAATCTGATGTACAATCTGACCTAAAATCAAAAGGCTGTAAGTTTGGTTCCTAAGTAGAGGAGCTCTGGTGGAGGCCCAGAAATAGGCAGCAGTGGCTGAAGCACTCAACCTGCAGGGCAGCTTCACTTTAGAGCACAGATTTGTAACTGGAGGTATGGAGCAAAATGAGGGGTCCATGGACAGGGAAGGGAGAATGCATAGCCTTATTTTTACTGACTTCCAGCTGAAATTTAACATGTCCTTCAATTCTGAACATAGGCAACAGACCAATGTGATAATGGCAGTTCCCAGGGCTTGATTCCACGGAAGTCATCGACCTTTTCCTATTACAGTGCCCTCAAAATTCTCGCATGCCTGGAAATTGCTATGAGAACCATAGCTAGGTCTCATCATTTAATGTGTTTGTGAGAAAGGCTACATAGATATTATGGTTTCAAAGGTTGAGTGTTCTGAAAACTACATTAGTGTCCCTTGTAATAAAATATATTTTACCATATGCATTTAAAGTTATTTAAGACATTTATAGTCACTTTGAAAGGGGACTCATAGACCTTCCCAGACTGCAAAGGAGCCCACGATACAATAACCAGGTAAAAGCATCCTGTCCTTGAATCCTCACAAGGAAGGGTGGCTGTGAATGTGGGCTCAACCCAGCAAATTACATGGGAAAGAAGTGTACTTTGTCTCTCATGTCACCTCAATTCTGCTGTGGTCACCCTGGAACCAGGAGCCCTAACTCCCAGTCCTAGACCGACACAGTGTGTTTTTGAGCATAATATTAGGCTGGCCATGGGATCTTTTGTTTTTTTCCGTAAGATTGCTCTAGTAGTGCTTAGTCATCTTTAACTTAATTCATAACAATTTTGTTAGATTGTATTATGACAGCTGTCATATCAGTATACTTTTAAACAAACTTATCAAAATTTGTGAATTATTGTGCAGCCATTTTAATATTAAATATGGGAGGGAATACACAATGTTTTGGCATATTATGCTTTATTATTTCAAGAAAGGTAGAAATGCAACTGAAATACACAAAAAGATTTGTGCAATGTATGGAGAGGGTGGTGCTGTTGACCGATCCAATGTGTCTAAAGTGGTTTGCAAAGTTTCTTGGTACTATTGATATTTTGGCCGAATATCGAATAGATGTCATTTTTCCCTGTGCTCTAATCCCCTGAAGGTTTTATGGCTCTCCCACCCAAAGGAATACGAGCTACTTAAATTACATTTACCAATTTAACAATGTAGAATTTAACTCTACATTGTAAAAATACTAAATGTAAAAATACTGTCTGTGTCTCCAGTTGGTAGGGTTTCAAACAGATACCAAATATGCTCACTTAGAAATATGCTCAGTTTTCTAAGAAGCCCATTTGTAAATGGTTTTGATCTGGGAGGTCTGCGATAACATCTATTTCTCCTATCTGAAAAATAAATCTATTTGCGGCTTTAGAGGAATGCCATTTTTATAACCCATTGTTATATTAGAACATCCATCAAGATTTACTGAGCCGATGGCTGTCCTAGGAACAGAGTAAAGCAAACTTTGTCAGACTGAACTTTTAACTATGACACGGCCAACAGTATCTTTTCCTTTGTAAGTGGTAAACTCACTTCGATACTCATTTTTTTTCAAGTTGAGTTATAATGGAGGCTTCTGCATCACATTTAACATTTATTTCCTCAAAGGTTATTCTCTGCTAGAGATACTGGCAAAGAACATTGTTTTACTTCCTTACGTCATTTGTACCATTTACAATAGTTCAAATAGCAATTAATGAATACACAGGCATACCTCACAGGCATTGTGGGTTCAGTTACAAATCACTGCAATAAAGCAAACGCTCTCAAAATAAAGCGAGTTGTACTCTTTTTGCTGGTCGAGGGTCTTGCCTTCAATTTGTGAAAATGCCACATCTGTGAAGCTTAGTAAAGGGAAGCACAATGAAATGGGGCAGTGATGTAGGGAAGGACACTATGCAGCCAAGTGAAGTTTAGTATTTCAGTGCTCACTCTAAACTATTGTGAATTTGATCCCTTCATGTTGAAATGGTACTTTTTTTTTAAGTTGGAAACTGCTTATAAACTTCTCTAGGATTTAATTATGTTGTTGCCTCTGAGTTCCGATGAGATCATTCAACTGCAGAATTTGTTTCTCCAGATTAAGTTAACAGGGCAGACGCAGGGCACCAATGACTGGATGTTGTAACTAGGAATCTATAAATAAAAACAAACAAGGAGGACATAAAAGGCAGGCTTAGAGTGCCCTTTCAAAGGCTCAAGATAACGGGAATGCTGGTCAATATGTGAAAGCCACAATATTGCATTATGCTTCAATTTTGTTTTCACTCACTTATTGAACCTAGATTTAAGCCTGGTGGCAAAGTAAATTTTCTAATGAGTAGTATGAAATATTTATCAAACCTAAATTGTAATAAAAGTTTTGATCATAAGTCAAACAGTTGAAGTGTATTAAGTCTCTCCTTTATAGAAATACATACAAGTTTCAGCCCATATTGTATTTATTGCTGGATGTCAATAATGGAAGAATTGGCTATTGATGTCGAGTTTATGTCCAAAATGTTTGACTAAACTATGATCTACATTAGCTGCTGATCTCATATAAGACATAAAATGTTAGTCTTATATTAGCTTTCTAAGTCATAGTGCATCCATGGATATGAATGTCAAGGTTTTGTATGTGTTAGATCTCAAGTATAAATCATCTTGCAGAATAGTGGTACTGTTTATGAGGTGGATTATCCTCTAACACATAGAAGTTAGCATGTAGCATGTACAAAGCACTGTAAGATTGGGGCTCTCATGTTACCTTGAAAGAGCCCTTTCAGTTACGAGTTTGTATTCATTTTGCAGAGCAGGAACCTTGAGCTCTGTTCACAAGGATTGTCTGCTTTCCCCACTCCCAGGATGGAGCAAAGCCTGGGATGCTCTGCCACAGCTGTCTCCATCCATGAACGTGGCTGTGACGTCCTTAGGCAAAGCATATTAGTGTCTATTTTAGTTTCATTTTGTCCTCAAGATGGAAGTGACCAAGTCTTAGTACTACAACTATACAATTACCAGTGTGATAGAATGACATAATCATGACCTAAGGTCATAGACACAGAATCCATCTTTATGGCGTTTTGTGTGTCTTTTATCCTTGTTGGCCAAAGAGCAGTTTTCCACAATTTGGGTATGAGGATCCCTAGGCCTATACTATTACTAGGCTTTTGAGACAGTTAATTTTAAAACTGCAATGCAGTAAGATCATGAAATGAAAAGTGGTTGTATTATATTCTGAATGTTCTGTTTTAATAATTATGTTCCTATGAAGAGAATTAGTCATTTATGAACAAAAGATAGCTCTTAGTTTTTTGAGTGAATAGATTGTATCAGTATCTACTAATGTGAATTTTATTCTTATGAAGAAAAACCCAAAACAACATTGTAAAATAAGCCCTTAAAAAAAGGAAACAATGGTGTACACACACACACACACACACACATATTTCTTCATATGCATTTTCTAGGCTTGCACCAAAGTTTCAACAGAGGCTGTCTCTGTCACAGAACTGGGAAGGGGGCTCTTCATTCAGAATTATGAACTATCTCCATATGTACATTTACTTGGTAAAAAAAATTGTTCCACATATCCAATTTTTTAATGCATTTGAATCTTTATTCTACAACACAAGCAACATAAATACTATATCTTTTAAAATATTTTCTCTTTAGAATTTTCATTTTCACCTCAGATAAAATGCACACAAAACACACTTGTGAACTTGCTCACAGAGACCCGTTAAACAACACGTAGATCATATCAAATCAAAGTTATACCAACGTACAAAGGAGGGTGGTTTTCAGTTCTTTCTTTTTTTTTTTAATAAATGTGACCAAACCGACTAAATGATAAGGCAAAACAAAACTGCACTTCCTTGACAAGTCCTTTGGAGAGAACGAAACGCTTCAAGGCTCCCGGTGAATGGGGTTGCAATGATACATTTGCATTATGCAGATGAAATGGTATACTGACTCAAATCATTATGGCTATACCAAGCTTCATTCATTTACATTTTTCAGCAAAAACAAGTCAGTTCTTTGGCATAATACAAGGAAGGATAAAAAGGACCCTTACCACCCACTGGCTTTATTTAGAGCAGGGACATGGTCGTAGGGGAACTGTTTAGAACGTATTTAAGTTTATTCCTCTTAGAAAAGCACAAAAATAATCTTGAATAATAATTGTGTGGCATGATTAGGGCAATACATTTTTTATTCTTACCTCCCCCCAACCCACCAAAAATCAAATCAAGAAACATAAACAGACACAATCAGCCTTCCCCTCTAGGCACCTTCTCCTGCCCCATCACGCCGTACCCGTATATTCCACCACGTGGTTTCAACTGAGGTGAAACCGAAATATCAGAAGCACTCTCTTTGTCCAGTTTTGCCTACTTAGTGGGAAACTTATTCTTATCAGCGAGAACTACTTCCAACAAAAATCCAAAGAACAAACAGTAGAGGGAGGGGTAAGAAGTAGCTTGCGCATAATCATGAGGTAGCCATGGACGACCATGGGTGGCTGGTGCTGTCAGGGAGCAGAGCTTCCCCAACGTTCAGAGAAAACATAATATTTTATGTGGTAGTTCAAAAGATTGGCTTTTAGATCTCCCTCCCCTTTTTTTTGGCACCAGTTGGTAAAATAAATAGAAAATAAATTATTTTTAGAGATTAATTTAAAAATTTAATTAGAAAATAAATTATTCTTAAAAGAATTAAATGCATACATAATTTCCAAAAAAGGTTAATGAAAACAAAAGTAAAACGAAGAACTTTATTTCCATTCACAGAGGCAAGGATTTGAATCCTTGATACCATTAACACTTTGATATACTTTCTGATCTCATTAATTCTAGTAAATATAGTCATTACTTCCTATTCATGCAAGAGAATAATTTAAATGATGTCAGGGTACTTAAGAAGAATTTAGAGAAACTTTATTAAATCAATAAGAATGATGTGTAATTAATATAATTTACACATGGGTGATGATTTTAAGGTACTTAATTTTTTTTCTCTTGAATTATTCCTTCTATGTTCCTTATTTTTTTTCATGTAAAAAGAATCACCAAAGCTAATTAATCGGATAGAGAGTGAATAACTAAACCAAGGCCCCAGCCATCTTTGAGTTAACGTGACTTCACTGTATTCCCAAAGCATGCCGATGCACTTTCACAGTTCTCCCCTCATTCGGAAGATGAGAAAACGAACATGGTCTCTCTTGTGCAGATGAGAGCACCAACCGGACACATCCACTGGGAAGTCTTTGAAACAGGCACATTTACTGCTCAAAAGGGAGTGGTTATGTTTGCAAATTTCCATGAAGCCATTTGGGAGACTGCAGGTCTACAGGAAATTAAAATATTAGTTTACACCAGACAATTAAGCGGAAAAGGAAGGTACATCAAGCAGTGTAATGTCACGTTGAAGTGCTGACATTTTGGTGACTAACGAGAGAGAAAAATACTGGCAAGCAAGCAACTACTCAAAAACATCTGGGAGCCAGGAGCCAAGGTTACGATGGAGTCTGCATGGAAACATCTCATTAAAACTGTAAGAACAGAAGAAACACAAACACCACATACTTGAACTTAAAATCACCTCAGTACAAGTCGAAGGGCCACCAGGACACAAATGGTTGTCCACAGAGTCAATGTTTCTACATACAAAGACGAGAAGCTTGCGCTGATCTCACTGCTCCATAGAACTCACACATTCATTGTCCTCGAGCTTGTAAAAAAACAATTTGTTGGTGTAGTAAACAGAAATGGGTAAGATGGAGCAGGAATGCTGTAGAGAAATCCAATCCCAAGTTGTCGGCCCAAGGTTAAGTTCAGTTTTTCTCTAGTTCTTGATGAGTCAATCTGATCTTAAAGGTAAGAGTTGGAAATTTTCTCAAGACAGTGGTTCTCAAAGTGTGGTCCCCAGGGCAGCAGCGTGGGCACCCCCTAGGAACTTGTTTAGGAATGCAGACTTCCAGGCCTACTGCATCAGAAAGTCTGGGCCTGGCAAGCTGTGTTTTAGTTGAGCCAGCGCTCCAGATGATTCTGATGTGAGCTGACGTCCGAGGACTGCTATTGTCAAGTCAGGAGACACTAGACAACCATTACTTATACCTTCAGGAGAGGAACTGACAGCACACACAGTTCCTGGTGCTTGAAGAGGTGGCAAGGGCCGTACCTGGGAGGGTTCACCAGCAGCCAGCTGCAGCTCTGTCACTAAGACGGTCAGCCAGTCTCTCCTCCCGGGAGTGCCCTTGCATTAGGACACACAGAGAGGACTGTTTTGTATGATGCCAGTGGCGTTTCTTCAGCCAAGAAGTGGTGCCGCGGTTAGTGAGAAAATCGAGCGCTGTTCTCAACTGAGTTTCTCTTAGACTATCCCAGGACATGATTTTTTTCCTTTTGGGCCTGTCTTTTCTGAAGTTATAATTGTGGTTCGGAAAGCTATATGGTGTTTTAGTCCGAAATTTTAATTATCAGTTACTTCCACATCACATACAAACATTACGATACAAGTACAGGAAGAGAATCTCACAAACAGTTTTCTAGATCGGTCTACTAATCAGTGAGAAGACATAGGGTTTTTTTTATGAAGCATAGATATAAATGAGTTCTTTACCAGTTTCATAAATCTTGCCCAATAACAAGCTCATATTTCCAATAAAAAGTGCTTGAAAGCAGCCTCTTGCTTTTTAAAGGCCGTGCTGAATCTCACTGGGACCACTAAGTGGCCCCCAAACACATGTTGAGTTCTGGGTTCTCCTTCTGCCTGTTTCCTTGTCTGCGAAGTACACAGGGATATTTAGGTGTCACGGCACAGGGTGGTTACTGTGGGTATTGACCTGATGCCCTCAGTAGCTGGATCTTCAACAGTTTTGTGTAACTAAGACTTCCTCTCCAGAGTATGCATTTGAAAATGGTTATTTATTTTGCATATTCCCGAACTTAGAGATACTGTCCTACACATTTAGTACTATATACTTCCCAGGGAAACAAACAGAGAGGCACTGTTGGCTACAGGGCACTTTATTCTTAGTGATTAAGTGGTAATTGGAAAAGGTTCCCAATTTGCACGCGTCATTCCAGATGCAGACCGCCACATTTTCCCCGTGTTAACAGCTGGCCACGCATAATCTTATTCTGTCATTTCTGCCAAACTGGCAGGGTTTCTAAATTACCACTGAAGGCCTGCTTTAAGATTAAAATTTAGATTTTGTTTATATTTGGATGCTCAAAATATTGTTATACCTGATCTTTCTATTTATAAATACTATCCTTTTTTTAACCCTAATTAGAAAAATCCCCATAACATTATGGAGCTGGGACATCAATGAGGTATTTTTAACTCATTTTAAGCGTGTAATTCCTGAGACGCTCCGGTGTTCACTCCGCCTTTACAGTATGGTGTAATGGAGACAATGTGGACTTTGAATGCAGGAATACCTCTTTTGCAACCAACTTTGCCATTTACTGGTTATCTTGGGCAAATTTCTTCACCTCTCCGGGTCTCTGTCCTCATCTGAAAAACCGAGGAAAGCAACACCTGTTTCACCAGGTGACTGTGAAAATAACACATGGTGGTATAGGTGAGGACCTACATGCACGTGGCACTCAACAAAGGTCACCTCCTCCCGGCTGTCTGTGACTCTTTTGCTGTTGTTTTCAGCTCCAAGCAAAGGCTGATTAGTTGGAAGGGACTGACATGAGTGATTTTCCTTTTTAAAAAAACTTTCCTCCATAAGCAGTATTGTGATGGATTTGAGGGAAGAGGGAAGTCAAAGACATCTGTTCTGTATTGCAGGTGAGGCTCTATCACTCTTTCAACTGACTCTGTATAAGCCTTCTCCTTAAAACAAGAAACCCTGGGATATTTATTGTTCTAAAGAAGTGTCCATTTAAAGGTACTTTTGAATTATGTTACCAGTTTGTTGTGTCTGGTGGAAAACACTATAACTCGAGCCATTATGTATGTTAGCATCAGCCTTGGCCAGCCATTAAATAGCCTAAAAATGGTAAAAAGTGCCTAGTTTTGTACTGATGGAGAAGGCTAGAGAACAATCTTAGGGGAGAGAGAACAAGATGGCCTAAGGAGGCAGCCCGAGCATCTTTACAGGCTGCTCAGGAGAGGTGACCAATGCTCCCCTTGAACTTGTGCCCTCATGGCAAGGAGAAATCTGATGGAGAGTGTGATGTCCTTGGCTGAGCTGTTGAGTCAGAGATTCTTTTACACTCTGGTATTCATGGTATGCACTTTGCAAAAGTATTAGAGAAAGAGAGTAGATCTCAACATTAGGGCAACACACTTTTGACAGTAAATAACAGCAGCCAAAGGCAATGTGCAAACTCTTATTCAGCTTGGACAAGTAAATATATAGTAATAACTGTTTTAACTACAAAGGCTGTCCTGACCCTGGCCTTTCAGAGACCTTGGGGAAAGGCAGAAACTGAGACACCAGGGTAGTGAGTGTGAGGGACTCACTGGCCAGTCTGCCTCTCTCTAGCCAGGGTTCCTACTTCTCTCCCCTCCTTCCCCACCTCTGGGAGGGTTCAACGGACTTCACTGTGACCTGGAGTCCTGTTCATTGGAGACTACTTGTATTAAGCAATGTTCTTTTTTGAAGACTGTGAATACCTCTGGGAAGTACCGCTGCAACAGTTAATTTTCTGGTTGAACTCTGACTGGATGCAGAGCGCAGAGTATGTTGGGAATGTAGGTGGGCACGAAAACCCTCTTACAAAACTATAGGTAAAGAGCTATGTGTGTTCTCTCGTCTTTGTACTCTCAGTACCCACCGTCAGGTTAGTGCCCGAGCAGTGTTTGGGAAGAGTCTGGGGTACTCTTCTTTCCATAACCTGGCCTGGGGTCCCAGAACAGAGGATCAGTAGGGAAATGAATTCTGATTTCTAAATAATTAGCAAACATACCCTGGGACATGACATTCATAAACCGAGCCTGGCTTCCTTTGAATTTTTATATGTTATAAAAAGTTGCTATATATAAGCATTCTGTAATTACTGCAATTTAATACCATACAGAAGCTTTTTCCCCCAGTAAATTTTGTAGGACACACACACTCACAAAGGAGAACTGCCCTTAAGAAAAGTCATAGAAACAAAAACAAATACCTATAGTGTACTGCTTTTGTTAAAAAAAAAAAAACTTGCCTGACTTACAAGACATAAAAGTTCAAAAGCACGAACACAGCTCATTGCTATCCCAACAATTCATTGCTTGTTACAATCAAACAGTTGATCTATTTCTAAACTCAAATTGTTGTCTAATGAGGAAAAACGGAAGGCAAAGAGTGTTTTGTGGCTCTGAAAAAAATGTCTTCTCGATTCTGTGGTGACCTTTATTTGGGTGGCATACTGAAAGATCAAGTTCCTTTTTTCAGATTGCCTAAGTGAATCAACTCAGTCTTCCTGTTAAATTTGCAGATAAGTTCACCTGTTTTTCAGGAAGACAATGTTTACAAATACCAGCTCTAAGTACAGTTGTCAATTTCAGATCCTTACTTCAATATCAAAGGGTTGATGTTCTATTTTTAAAAGATGACTTATTCAATTATGAATGTATTTTTAGGGGCTGGGAAATTATAATGTTTGTCATAGCAACTAACGATAGAATATACATGAATGAACTCGACTGAGGAGTTTTAATCATTATTATTAAGAACTATTAAATATACTGTACATAGTAAAATAAAGGTTCCAGACTAATTTTTCTAGCAAAATTTAAGAAAAGAAATATCCACTTAAAATATTGGCCTGGATAAACGGACTTCAGACATGGGGTAAGTAGACTTCCTGGAGAGCAAAGATAATTTAAACCAAAATTTCATTTCCTAAACTTCATTCTGTGTCTTTTCATCCGAGACTAGAGCTTGTGTAACGGACACCGTAAGTTCACATGGTCGTAGTGTAATATTTGAAGACTAAAATGATTTCATTATAATCCCCCTTCCCACCTCATCCAGCTGTCTCCCTACCCCACACTCCCAGCCCCCTTCCCTGAGAAGTCTGCTCACTGAATGGAGAACTCACTTCCTTTCCTCCGAGGGCGTGGCTATCAAATGAGTTGCATTTCAATGTTTTCTTAAAAACCAAATGTTAAACCTTATGTTCAGATAACTGTGGAGCATAGAAATATCTGTAAAACAAGGGACTAAGGCACCATTTTTTTCTTTCCCTTTTCTTTTTCGTCTTGAAAGCAAAAGCAGAGACTAATGGGACTGCCAGGGTAGCTGGTCAGTCATCTGTCTCTTGACAACATCCGTGTCGGCAAATATCAGTGGGTCCGTGTGTCAAAGGCTGCCATAACGTGGACTGGACATTCTGCTAGGAAAGAATTTCCTTCCATTACAAATAGGGGAACAAAGGCACAATAGTACCTTAACCAAGGAAGTTGGTGAGTGCCAACCAGAAAATCTTTACAACTTAGGGCAATTTTTAAATGTTCTGGAATATTTTACAGAGAAAGTCACCCTTTCCTTGATTATGACATCCAAGAACATGTCTCTCTAGCTGTTTTCTTCCCCACCAAATGCACAATCATGATATAAATCTTTCTCTAATGAATAATGTTTGGTACTAGAAGTCTGACTGTTTATACATCAGCTTGACTTAGCAGATATTTCCTTAGCAATTGCATTAAAAAAAAAAGATCGATGCAAAGTTTTCAGAGTGGTCCTTGAATGTGACCCATTTGGCAATAACATGGCAGGTAAAAACACTGGGAAATAAACTTCAAGATATGGAAATGTGTCAAGGAATGGAGGGAGACTCTTCTGAAATAATGTTCAAAATCGGGGTATATTTTGTGTCATGTAGATGTAGCCTTTAGTGTCCAGAATGGCCCCTACTGCTGATTAGTTAGGGAGCAGCCGGCTGTTCTCCGGGACACTGGTTTCCGTGGGGCTGGTGGTGGGGAAGATGCGAGGCATACTCTAACCCTCGCTCCTGAATTTCTTCGCTGTGAGTCATCTACACGATGATGTCATAGACGCGGCCCACTCGGCCCAGCCACTCTCTCACAGCCTGGCGCACTCTGATGTCAGTCACGTGGCAGGTCAGCTGGCTGATGCACGGGAACACTGCGGGCTGGAGGGCCGTGAAGGTCGGGTCTGGGAGGACCTGAATCTGATTGAGGACGGTTAGCACCATGTTGGTCCACGCCTGAGAAAAGGGATTGAAGAGAATTGTGAGCTTGCTCCAGTGGGTTCATTTGAGCTCTCAGGTGTGGCTAAGCCCTGCCAATTTGCAAATGAGTTTTGTCAGGCTTTTAGTCTGTAATAAATTAGTCTTTACTGATAAATTGTCATTTTAACTTCATATTACAGAGACTTGTCTAACATCACAAATACCTTATTTTCAGCTTTCACAAACTATAAAACTCTTATTTACTCCTCAATTTTAAAAACCCTCTTGCTTTTTCATAATGAGATTTCCATAGGACATACAACACTTCTAATCAGCAGCCACTATAGTAATGCTAGAAAACTTGAAATAGCCTACTTCAATTTATAACTTTTAAAATCATGAGCAAATCTCCAAGACATGAAAAACAAATATTAAGATATGCTATTTGTCAGGGAGGTCATCTGTTACAGAATAATCACATCACAGCTTGACTGGACTTCTGCAATTCTGGTCCATGATTTTTATGGATTCTGAATTATGAAACTGAGTTCTACGCTCAAGATACACGAGGAAAATAATGCATCTTGCAAGAAATTCTGACTATTTCTAAATTTACGTTCATTCGAAGGATGCATTTCTGTACAGGTTCATGGAATCGGAGGGTGCGAGATGGTCTAACTCACTATGCCTGTGGCAGGAGCCCACAATTTAAGGTAAAAACACCAGATGATTTTTAAAGGGCCCGCTCTGACTCCAGATCCCTCTACTTGTTTTTTCCCATCTCTGTTCTTAAACCGAACAAAACGGAGCCAACACTGTTTTCTTCTCAAGCTCATTTTTGATATATGATGGAATTATAAATATTGAATATAGGAAGGCATAGGAATACTCAGAGCCCTCCGAAGAATGAGAATTTTTATGAGCTCTGGATGGGTTAGCAAAACTTGAGATGAAAACAATTCATTGGTACAACCATCTAATACTATGCACGTTGCCCCTGCCCTTTTTACAACTCTTCACAGTGAAAGGATTTTCTTCAATGCACCTTCAAGTGGTAAACTCAGGGCTCCATGCCAGATAAAGCACATCCATTTTATGAGTTAGTTTCATCTTATTTCTCAGTATCTAATATAACCCATGAAAACAATTCCCGAAGTTACCTAATAATAAAATGTCTGTCCCCCACTGACAGACAGAGCCACGCCTTAGTCTCAGGCGACCCTTTGACTTGGGACGGCTGCAGGGACCCACCTGGATCTGTGCTTCAGCGTCTCTCACGGAGACACTCAGGGAGCTCCCGGTGGAGCCTGAGCGGGGCCTCCTCTCCTGTCGCAGCAGCTCGGGGCCTGCACTGAAGGAATGCCGCATCTGCCCTTGGTCTATCAGGTGCTGGGGACGCTGAAGCAGTGGGGACCCTTGGCCTCTTGGACCCAGGGCCTCTCCCTTCTTCTCCACTTTGACCTCTTTGGGGAACGTGGGCAGGTTATGCTGCTGTTTCCTCTTTTTGTATTCCGTCATCAGCTTTGAAATGGTTTTGTCTGCCGCCATGGTGTAGATTTTGTTACCCGCATTCTCCCACCACTCCTTCTTCCTGCTGGGGTCCTTCTTCTCCACCTTGGGGCTTGGGGGCAGCATCAGTGTTTCCCCGCTGCCCACCCGCAGGCTCAGGGACTCACCTAGGTGATCCCGTGCCTGGCTCCTGTCATCCTCGGAAGGTGTATCTTTCCCCGAGAACCCCCCAGTGGACGGGGTGGATGACTCGGACTGGAAGGAGGGAAGGATAAAGAATGGGTCGCTCTTGAAGATGGGCGCTTCCTCCATGCTGTTTTCCAGGTCCAAGTGCATCTGGATGTAGTTATTGCACAGCTCCATGCACAGCTTGTGAAGCCTCTTGACCAGCCACACCCAGTCTGCATTGCTGATGGGCTGGACACTTAAAGATGGCATCCGAGCCCTCCACTGCCTCTTCTCCTTGCCTCTTGGGGGGCTCACTTGGGCAGTCTCCTCAAAAATGTCTTCATCTTCTGATGAACACTGCTGTGATGAATCTGTGCTTCTCTCATCATCCTCAAAAAGGATTTTCTTCACCTGCTCGGCCGTGATGGTTTCTTGATTGGTGAGCACAGCACAGACGAGTGCGTGGAAGTAGATGTTGAAACTCATCGCCGACTGGCGGTACAGGTTGGCTGCCCCTCCAATGCCGGACACTTTCTTCAGCAGGCACTTCAACCCAGGGCTGGTGTCAAACTCTCTGGCTGTCCTGTAGGAGTCCAGCAGCAGGTCAAATATGACAGCTAGGTTCTGCATGGAGATGTATCTGAGGAAGCCAGCCAGCTTGGTTTCTGGCACTTGGATACTCTTCTCCTCGCCGGGAGAGGGGCCTTTGACAAACTCTTCCAACAAGATATCATATAAGTTCTGGAGTAACACTTGATGAGACAGTAAGCTCACCACAATTTCCCTGAAAGAAACACTTCAAATGAAAAGGAAGGGATTGATTAGTAGCTTTCTGCCTTATATGAGATATTTTTAAAGTGTTAATACAACTCACAATGACAGACACAAAATTACAAACTAAATTACTTGTATTTGAATGCTTTCCTTAAAAAGGGTGTTGCACAATGACCATTTAAATCATAATAAGTGGAGATCTTGACATTTTTAAAAGTCTAGGAGCTTTAAAAATTATTACAGAATTACCCTCCCCCCTATCTATTTTCTATCTACTGTCTATGCTACTTATTTTCTGTACCTTCTCCCCGCTTCTCCTCCTCCCACTCCCCTGTTGCTAACCCTCCATGAGATCTTCATTTCTATGGTTCTGCTCCTGATCTAGCTGTCCTCTTAGTTTGCTTTTGTTTTAGGTGTGGTTGTTACTAACTGTGAGTTTGCTGTCCTTTCACTGTTCATCTTTTTTATTTTCTTTTTCTTAGGTAAGTCCCTTTAACATTTCATATAATAAGGGCTTGGTGATGATGAACTCCTTGAATTTGGTATTATCTGAGAAGCACTTTATCTGTCCTTCCATTCTAAATGAAAACTTTGCTGGGTAGAGCAATCTTGGTTGCAGGTCTTTGGTTTTCATGACTTGGAATACTTCTTTCCAGCCCCTTCTTGCCTGTAAGGTCTCTTTTGAGAAATCAGCTGACAGTCTGATGGGAACTCCTTTGTAGGTGACTGTCCCCTTAGCTCTCGCTGCTTCTAGGATTCTCTCCTTCATTTTAATCTTGGCTAATGTAATTATGATGTGCCTTGGTGTGTTACTTCTTGGGTCCAACTTCTTTGGGACTCTCTGAGCTTCCTGGAGTTCCTGAAAGTCTATTTCCTTTGCCAGATTGGGGAAATTTTCCTTTATTATTTGTTCAAATAAGTTTTCCATTGGTGGCTGTGCCTTTCCCCCTTCTGGTACCCCTATAATTCGGATGTTGGAGCGTTTAAAGATGTCCTGGAGGTTCCTAAGCTTCTCCTCATTTTTCTGAATTCTTATTTCTTCATTCTTTTCTTGTGCGAGCCTGCTGCCCAGCGCAGGCTTCCCTTCTCACTGGTTTCTCCGCACACAGATGCGCGACTGACCGACCCCAGACAGCCCGCGGAGCCTCTTCCCTGTGCGCTCCCGTAGCTAGCTCGCGATCAGCACCTTCGACTGCTTGCGCACAGCACACCACCCGGGATTTTTTTCTTGCTAACCTGCTCCGCTGCTGGTTTCGCTTCTCTTACCGGTTTAGCTGAGCATTTAGTTGTTTTTGGACTCCGTATTGTCGATTTTCCGTGTGGCTTGGTTGTGATTGTTGTTAAAAATAGTTGTTCTTAGATTTGGTTGTGCACAGAGGCAAGGTGGTTCCTCCACCTACGTCTCCATCTTGGCGGAAGTCCCATTTCTTTCTAATAGTTCTTTATTAGTATGTAAAGACACAACAGATCTCTGAATATTGATTTTGTATCCTGCAATTTCACTGCATTTGTTTATTATTTTTTAAGTTTTTTTTTATGGAGTCCTTAAGGTTTTCTGTATATAAAATCATGTTGTCTGCAAATAATGACAGTTTTGTTTTTTCTTTCTAATTTAGGTGCCTTTTATTTCTTTTTCTTGCCTGATTGTGGTGGCTAGGACTTCCAGCTCTATGTTGAATAGAGCGGTGGGAGTGGGCATCCTTGTCTTCTTCCTGTTCTCAGAGCAAACGCTTTTAGTTTTGCACCACTGAGTAAGATGTTACCTGTGGGTTTGTTACACATGGACTTGATTATGTTGAAGTACTTTCCTTCTATACCCATTTTATTGAGAGTTTGTATAACTGGATGTTGTATCATGTGAAACATTTTTTTTCTAAATCTATTGGACAGATGGTTTTTTCCTTTATTCTGCTAATGTGGTGTGTTGCATTGATTTGCGGATGTTTTTTCCGTCCTTGCACATCCCCGAAATGAATCCTGCTTGATGGTGGTGTATGATCCATTTAGCACATCGTTGTATTTGACTTGCTAGTATTTTTGTTAAGAATTTTTGCATCTATGTTCATCAGAGATAGTGGCATATAATTTTGTTGATATATTCTTACCTGATTTTGGTATCAGGGTAATGCTGGCCTCATAAAATGAGTTAGGAAGCATTCCCGCCTCTTTAATTTTTTGGAAGAGATTGGGAAGAATATGTATTAAATCTTCCATGAAAGTTTGGTAGAATTCACCAGTGAAGCCATCTGGTCCTAGACTTTGGTTGTTTGGGAGATTTTGATTACTGTTTCAGTTTCCTTACCAGCGACTGGTTTATTCAGATTTTTTCATGACTCACTCTAGGAAGGCTGTATAATTCTAACAATTTATCCATTTCTTCTAGGTTATCCAATTTGGTGACATATAGCCTCTCATAGTATTCTTTTATGATTCTTTGTATTTTTGAGACATTGCTGTAACTTCTCTTCCCTGCTGATTTTGAGTCTTCTCTCTTCCCTCATGAGTCTAGCTAAAGGCTTGTCAATTTTGTTTATCTTTTCAAAAAACCAACCCTTGGTTTCATTAATATTTTCTATTGTTTTTAGTCTCTCATTTATTTCTGCAGATATTATTTCCTTCCTTCTACAGATTTTGGATTTGCTTTATTCTTCTTTTTTTCTACTTTTTAAAAGTATAGTGTTAAATTACTGGAAAATTTTTCTTGTTTCTTGACATAGTTCATATTGCTATAAACTTCCTTCTTAGTACCACTTTGGCTGCATCCCAAAGATTTTGATATGTTGCATGTTCATTTGTTTTTATGTGTCTTTTGCTTTATTTCTTCACTGATCCAAGAGTTGTTCAATAGCATGTTGTTTAATATCCAAATACTTGTGATATTTCCAGCTTTCTTATTGTAGTTATTTCAAGTTTCATACCCTGGTCTGAAAAGATGCTGGAGATGATTTCAATCTTTTAAAATTTGCTGTCTGGATGATCTATCCACTGGAGTGTTGAAGTCTCCTACTATTGGGTTGGCCAAAGAGTCCGTTACACTTCTTCCATGTGATGGTTGTAGTAGTGCCTCGTAGTTGTTGTCTTTAACTTCATTTGAAACAATTTAGTTAGACTGTATTGTGATAGCATTAAAAAAACACCAAAATTGGTGAATTTTTGTGCAGCCATTTTAATATTGAAGATTGGAAGAAGATATGCAACATTTTTGGCATATTATGCTTTATTATTTTGAGAAAGGTAAAAACATAACTGAAATGCAAAAAAATTTGTGCAGTATGTGAAGAAAGTGCTGTGATTGATTGAACATGTTAGAAATGGTTTGCAAAGTTTCTTGGTACTACTGACGTTTAGGCCAAATAATTCTCTGCTGTGGGGCTGCCTTATGCACTGGAAGATGTTAAGCAGCACCCCTGGCCTCTGCCTACTAAAGCCAATAGTGGAAGATAGCCGACATACTCAAATATGCAAATCAATAAAGTTATTGGTAAAAATAAAAAATGTGTCTTTTATTTTATGGAAAAAATTAAATGGACTTTTTGGACAACCCAATAGTTGGGTCTTGTTTAATAGACCATCCCACTACTCCGTGCCTTTTAATTGGTGAATCATTCCATTACATTTAGGGTCATTATTGATATATTAGGACTTACTGCTGCCATTTTATCTTGTGTTTTTTGATTGCTCTGTATCTCCATGGTTTTCCTCTTGTGTCTCTGTCTGCTATTGTAGTTAGTGGTTTTCTATGCTGACTTTGTTTTTTACTGTTTTATATCTTAGTTCCATGATTACCATGAAGTTTGTATACCATGATTACCATGAAGTTTGTATACCATGATTACCATGAAGTTTGTATAAAATATACCGTAGATAAAAGTTCTTTTCCTTCTCACATCGTGTTCCCTTCATTTGCCTCTACAAGTTTCCTCCTTGTACTCCTCCCCTTGCATGTTTTTGTTGTCACAAACTATGCCTTTTAAATTTTTTTTATTTATTCATCTTTAGAAGGGCAGGGAAGGAGAGAGGGAGACAAATAACAATGTATGGTTGTCTCTTGTGCGTCCCCTGCAGGGAACTGGCCTGCAACCCAGGCATGTGCCCCGACTGGGAATCGAACCGTGGTTCACAGGCCCGCACTCAATCCACTGAACTACACCAGCCAGTGCAAACTATGCCTTTTTATGTTGTGCCTTCATCACGAAACTGAAGGAACTGTAGTTTTGTTTTATGCTTTTTGCTCTTTAACTTTTGTATTATAAGTGTTTAACGCCCTATCTGAAGTAGACGGGCAGGTTTCTGCTTCTGTCACCTTACTCAGAGTTTTGTGTGCTGCTGTTTTTCTGTTTCAGGCAGAAGAGCCCCTCCCAGCATGGCTTGTAAGGTAGGCCCTGTGGTGCCCAGTCCCCTCAGCTGTCGTTGGTCTGGAAAAGCCTTTATTTCTCATCGTATCTGAAGGATAACTTTGTTGGGTAGAGCATCCTTGGCCGGTGGTTTCTGTCTTTCAACATTTAGAATATATCACTCATTCTCTCCCTGCCCATAGCTTCTGCTGAGAAATCAAATGACAGTCTGGTGGATTTCCTTTGTAGGTTACTGTGTTTTTACTCCTGGCCACCTTGGGAATTCTCTTTATCACTGCCTTTTGACAGTTTTAATATAAAATATGTCTTAGAGCCCTGGCTGGTGTGGCTCAGTGGATTGAGTGCCCACCTGTGAACCAAAGGGCTGCTGGTTTGATTCCCAGTCAGGGCACATGCCTGGGCTGCCAGCCAGGTCCCTGGTAGGGGTGCATGTGAGGCAACAACACACTGCTGTTTCTCTCCTTTCCCCTCTCTTTCTAAAAATAAATAAAACATGTTTTAGAGAAGGTCCTTTTGCTTTAGAAATTATCTTTTTCTAAAGGGCGCTAAAGAGCTTATTGCTCTTGTATGTTCTTTAAACAGGCTCTCTGCCCCTCCTCTAATTCTACGACACCTGTTATCCTTATGTTTTCCTTCTAACACGGTCAGCTAGTTCTCAGACCGTGCTTTCATTTTTTTAAAAAACCTAACTTTTCTTTCCTTTTCCTCCTGAATCCTTTCTAGATGTTTTGTCTTTGAGCTTGCTACTTCTCTTCCACATGGTCACATTCTTCATCTCATTTATTGGGTTCTTCAGCTCCAGAATTTGTTTCTTTTTCAGAGTGTCAATTTCTTTGGTAAAATACTCTGTCTCTTCATTAATTTTATTCCTGCGCTCACTGAACTGAATGCTATTTTAAATTCTCTCTCATTTAGGTCACATTCTTCCATGACTTTGGTCCCTGGAGACTTGGTATTTTCTTTTTGGGCTACTTGTGTGATCGGGCTTGTTCCTCTGTAGGTGCATTTGAAGTAGCGAACATCTTTCTTGTTTAGGTACTTGTTGATTTTAATGAGTCAGCAGGTTCCAAGGCCATTGTGGGAGCATCATCTGTGTGAGCAGGGTGATGGGCACCCTCACCGTGCTCAGGTTGCCAGGGTCTCCGGGCACCACTGTGTTGAGGGAGGAGGCCGGCTGGGGGAGCAGTGAGTTCTCAAGCCCATTGGGCTTCTGCCTGTTTCCTTGTGGCCAGTGGTGCTGCTGTGCTATGGCCAGGAGGTCCTAGATGTGTCTTCTCTGTGGCTACTGGTCTGTCTGGAGCTGCGAGCACCACAATGGGGAAGGGAGCTGGATTCTCAGATGCCGACCCTCCTGCCCTCTGCCAAGCTGTGGGGAGCCGCACCTTATCTCTGTCAATGTGTTTGCTGGGGCAGTGGGCTCAGCTGCAGGGGCCAGGTCTGTCTCCCTGTTCTGCCTCCTCTAATTGTCCCAACCCACCCACTTTCAAAGGTCCCGACTTGTGGCTATCTCCGGCATCCTTGTGTGTTGAGTAGAGGAAGCTTTGTTGGGTTATAAATGTCTGACCAGTTGGGATTGGAAAAGAGACACAAAGGGGTAGTGTCACTCTATCGCTGCACAGACATCTCTGAAAAAGTTCTTTTTTTAACCAGCAGAAAAGAGAAAAAACCCTTCCCTACATTTGCAGGCTCACCTTGCTCCTCATGCAGCAGTTCCCTGGGGGAAAACAGTGCGCTGGGCAAAGACGGAATGAGGAAGCAGCGAGCTGCCCTGCACAGCCCAGAAGCCTTTCCACCGCACCACTGAAGGAACTTTACTACTTTAACCAAATTAAAAGTACAATTCAGTGGTACATACACCATGCTGGGTAACTGTGCCACTCTTTATTTCTAGTACTTTTCTCATCACCCCAATCAGAACTTCTATTCCAGTTAAACACTGGTGCTCTCTCTCCCCACTGCTCGGCTCCTATGTAAGTCATGTTTGGTAAGCTGGTTGAGGTATCAGGGGCCCTGAGTGTGCATTCTTCTGAAGCAGAGGGCTTCGTGTGCATGACTGTAGGAGCCTAACTGGAAGGCAAGTCCCCCTGTTCCTGTGCCCGTCTTCCTCACTGCACTGGAAAGTCCTCGTGGGCCTGGGAGAAAGTCTGGTGAGAGCAGTGCTACTTCTCAAATGAAAACAACACATTGGTTGTCTGTGCAGGGGCCAGGACAGACCGCAGCCTGGAAGGAATGCTGTCCGTGAGAAATGGCTCTGACATGTCACCTCCATGCCCGGACCCCTGGTGTAGGAAGCACAGCCGGAGAGGGGTGAGTTCACTCAGTCTTCTGAAGGAAAAATCACTGGAGTCCACAGGATATTTTTTGGTACCGTCCCTGAAAAATGGAAAGCCCTTTGCCAGCAAACATTTAAAAAGAGGGCTGATGCAAGGCCATGTTTGAATAATGGAACATCTCCATCAACCAAGATACTCCCTTTGATGGTTTAGGATGTAAAATGGCCAACTATGCATGTGAAAAGGGACAGGAAATCCCCTTCCTTTAGGTTCACGCTAAATGATGCCATAATAAGAAAACAGTGCAACTCTTAAGATCTGAAGCAAACAAAAATAGGTAATTTTTCAATTTGTGGCACCCAAGTGTTTCAAGCTTGTTTTCAGCCCTCCCTGTATGAAAGAGACTGTGAAGTGCCGAAACTCAGGCCTTCCTCTTCTGCTTCTGATGCAAAGCGCAGAGGGAAGTGAGTGTCCAGACTGGATACCCGAGAATGAGCTGCGTAAGAAGTGGCTGACTTATGAGATAATGGGTTTCTTTTCGATTAATATATTTCCTCTATGATATTTCCTTTTCTTTAGCTTACTTTATTGTAAGAATACATACACAAAACGTGTTACTGAACTATTCATATTATCAGTAAGGCTTCTGGTCAAGAGTAAGCTACAAGTAGTTTAATTTTGAGGGAGTCAAATGTGGATTTTTGACTGTGTGGGAGGTTGGCTAACCCGTGTCGTTTCAGGGTCAATGGTACAACCTACAGCTCCGTTAAGATGATGTGAATTGTGTAAAGCTTAAGGTTATCAATGTCAAACTGATTTAAAAACAAAACTCAGATTTCTCTTTAGGAGTTGTAATCTGAATTTAATTTAGACATTTTTTTTCCATGGGTGATTTCCATATGGACCTTGAGGACACAGCTGACTAGCAAACTTTTCTTAGGTCTAACTGATCTTCTACTGAAGCCTGTACGGACTTCACCTGCATCAAATCCAAGAACATATAATGCTCAAAGAGTGCTTGGGAATGCTTTAGGCACAATGGCCTCTACTAAAAATGTTCATGTTTTTGTATATGTGCTTTACTTTATTTCATTGAGGGGCTAAAAATACCGAGTAAACTGACAAATCATGTTGATAAATTTTAAATCTTAATGTCTGAAAAGTTTTAAGCCAAAAGTATAGACTATTTTCCTGTTTTACTTATAATGTGAATTCATTCAGTCTATTATTCCTTTCCCCCACTTTTCAGCAAGAATAACTGGGTGGAAAGGAGCTAGAAATTAAAAAAAGGAAATAGGTAGGAAAAAATTGAAAGTATGAACCAGACCATTGCTTCAAAGATATGAAAAGGAACATACAATATTTGGTACTCAAAACAGAGAAAAATGATACACCTACAAAAAGGAGTGATTGGCAGGAGAGGGGTACATGGGATGTTGTTAAAGTTCCATTTCTGAAGGTGGGTGACAGCTTTAGAGTTATTTTAGTTTTCATTTATTCTTTCTAACGTTTGAACTTTCCACATATTCTTTTGTATGTACCACACACTTGACTTAACACTACCATTTCAGTGCAATTTCCAGGTACAATTTTTTAAGTCAAACTGCCATACTCAGCCACTAACTTTTGGAAAAATCACACACACTCCCTAACACAGAAATAGTTTTGATTCTGGCTCCACCACTTCTCAGCTGTGTGCCCCTGGACAAGGGGCTCAGCCTCTCTGAATGTTTTCTCAGAGATACACGGGAGTGGCCATACCTAGTCACTAGACTTCACATATTGTGCTCAAATCATTATCATCATTACGATTCGCTTGTTGGAAGTTTAAACATGGAAAACTTCAGTCATGGCCTTCACCTTCAAGACCAGGAGTTCTTAGGCGGGATGACAGTGCAGGCCCATCTCATTTTACTGCACTTCACAGACGCTGTGACTTTCACAATTGAAGGCAAGACCCTCCACCAGCAAAACAAACGATGCCTTGTTTTGTTGTGCTACTTGCTCTATTGCCCCGGTGCTGTGGAGCTGAACCTGCTGGACTGAAGGAGGTCTGCCTGTGTTGAAGGAGGACAGGTTTCTCATGGCAGGCAGAGCACAGAAGTCCTTTTGTTCATGAGAACTTTCTGTATTTCTCACTGACACAATACAGACCACATCTCAAATTACAATCACTAAAAATACCATGGGTATGATGCCATGGACAGGCTGAGTTGCATGCCTAACCCACAGTACCTCAGAATGCGACGACCTTTGGAGAAAGGTCTCTAAAGAAATAATTAGACTAAGAAGAGGTCTTTAGGGTGGACCCTAATCCGATATGACTGGTGTCCCCATAAAAGAGGAGGGGAGGACAGATAGGCACGGAGGGAAGACCCAGTGAAGGCACCGGGAGGAAACGCCCATCTAGAAACCTAGAAGAAACCCACCCTGGCCACGCCTCACTCTCTACTTCCAGCCTCCAGAACTGGGAGAAAATAAATTTGTTGTTCAAGCCGCCCGGTGGCACTTTTCCGTGGCTGCCCTACAAACAAATACATCTGAAATGTGGGAAATGAGGTTAACAGGCTAACAATTTCTTATGAAACCCTTTGCTAAGTGGCACTGCCAATTTCGGTACTCTTAGGGAAAGCTTGGCCTACAATGAGTAAGAACTGGGAATAAGCTGACTTTTCTATTTGTGAACACCCTACAGGTGGACGCTTCGCTCTTACCTTTTCTTGGTGTGTCCATTTGGCTTTTCATCAGGAGGCAGTTCAATGATGAGCTGGCAGGACTGCGCATGATCGAAGTTGTTTGGAGTCTTTGGGGAGCACTGGGTGTCCAGCATAAACACCTGTAAGGTGTTTAAACAGAGGTACAGTTCAGGGCTCCCTGACTTGACTTGGAGATTAGCTGGGTGGCTGAGCAAGTTGCTTTCTCTCTCTACTCATTTTCCCACCTATAGAAATGAGATTGATAATGGTTTCCTACCTTGTATATTTGTCAAGAGAATTAAATGAATGATTTATGTATTATGTCGGCAGAGCATTAGAATAGAAGAGCAAATATTCAATAAATGTTGGCTGCTGACACTAATAATACCCCTACTTCTAGGATGTGATAATGCATTACACTCCAAACAGCAGGCACTGATGTTTAATATTAATTAAAAGTAAATAGGGGCTATGTTTGTAAAAGAAATTCTCTGACTGTGACATACAAAAAAATAAAAAGTTAATCAGGACTTCGCCCACTGTCTGGAGAGTAGATGGGCTGTGTCACTAGTCCTGACAGGAGAAGTGATGAAGAGTAACCACCTCCTGGGTTCTGACCCAAAAGATTTCGTTGTATGTGATTTAACCTACCTTCGCCACTCCCCTTTGAAAATAGGAGTATTTTTAAGGAAGTTTTTCCTTCCACATTTTGTAGATTATTGAACTGGGTTATGTGGAGGAGGAGGAAGGTTTGGGACTGAGGAAGAAAGAGATATGAGGAAGTGGAAGACTCAATGAGAAGTCTCTGCTGTTCTTCCCCTGTTTGATGCCGGTGGGAGTCCACTGGCATTTCCTCATTCCCACTGGGTGGTGGGACCTGCTTGAAGGGCCGCTGCATGCTCATGGGAACGCTCTTTATCTAGCCAGGTAAGAGCTTTTTTGTAGGGGAGGACCACCCTTTCGCTTCGCTAGGAATGATAGTAATATTCCTATTATATTATATTGCAGACATATTATAGCTTCTGACATGTGCCAGAAGAAAAAGGACATGGTGAACCTGCATGTACCTGTAAGTACATTTTCATTTTACTGGTCACCTACATTCAACTCAGGTTTATTAAGACACTTGTCAATGTTAAGCTCTGCACTCTGGGAAAAAAGAAAAATATCCAATAAGTGTGCCATCCTTAAACATTCATAGTCTAGCTGTAACAATAATATTTAAGCAAATACTTATAAGCAGTCCAAGCAAACCGAGCTAGGTATGAAGTGCATGCCAAGTGGAAGAGGACTCGATTTGATCTGGGCTCTGGAGGATGCAACAAACAAGCAATGGGGGGAAGGACCATAGTGCTGCTGATTGGGCCCAAGTCATTTCTGGTAAAGAAGGGTGCTGGCAGGAAGTATAGGCCCCTACAGGAATGAAAGACAGCCTGGTGACAGAGGACCTTCAGGAGGGACTCCCAGCAGCATGCCAAGCTTCTAGAGCCCCTGGGATCAAAGCCCTTACCTGCTGAGCCATGGCTCGGATGCGCCAGTACTCGGCCTCGGCACTGGGGGAGGAGGAAGGGGCCGCCACCCTCACCTGGCAGCCTTCCCCACTGAAGCTCTCGGTGCCGCTGTGGAAGCAGCCCAGCAGATCCTGGGGAGAAACAGCAGTCATTTACTGGGTGTGTCTGGGTTCGTGGCTCCCAGTTCTGTCTCGAGTCTGACAATGTCAGGGATAAAAGTACTGACCCCACTGCTGCTTTCTCTCCCTCTGCAAGATTTTAAGTGACCTTGCCTGCTAGGATGAGGAAGGTGGATTCCAGGTAGCCAACCTGCAGGGGCACCAGGGAGCCAAGGAGAACTGGACCCTGCTCGGGCACTTGCTGAGCACTTTACCTTCACCGGCTTGAGCGTGGCAGAGAACGCATCCTGCAGGGCGCAGCAGGCCAGCCTCCACATCTCTTCCGTGAACACAGGGCCCGCCGTCACGAGGACGTACCTGCCAAACGAAACTAGAGGTCTGAAAGCCATACATTCTACTGCTGAACTTCAGACCTTACAGGCACGTACCCACATTTATTCTAGTTTCCTTAAGAGTTTTGCTGTCTCTCATCACTCTTGCCTCTGGGCCATCTGGTTTTTTGCTGTCAGACTACTATTTCCTAACCCATTTTTATGTAAAAATGTCAACAGGTCAATGGTTAGACTTAGGCTTGCGTGCAAGACTGTGTATATTCTATATCCATTTTTCCATTCCAGCCCCATTGTCTACAACTCCTCTACAAATAACAAACCAAACCATAAACCCTCCCCTCTGGCACTTGTAATTCTTATCTCCATGTACTTATGCTATTCTCCTGCTTGCAAAATCTCTGCTTATTAAAAAGCTTACCTTGGGAGATCTGATAGAGTGTCATCACTACAAAAAGCCCTGGTGACCACCCTACTCCCCTCTGGTCCTTTCTTGGCATTCACAGTTACTCCTCACTGTTGTGACTTTTCACGACTGCTCTGGTTATGTCCGTTAGAATAGGCTGCTCCCTGAGGGTAGGAACCTTAGTTTCTCTCTCTCTCTATGCTGCAGAGTACTGTGTATAATATTCACATATTAGGTATTTGGCAACTGAACACTAAAATGAAGATGTAAGCTCACAGTCATAGTCATTTTTATAAAAAATAATCTGAAGGGTAGATTGTTTCCACAAAGATAATTTAACTCCTTGGGATTTTATAATAACAACTGCAATTTCATAGAGAGCCAAGAGCCCTCCTCTCACCTGATACAGGAGCAGCCCACTCTGGAGATGGTTTCCGTGGGCTTGGCCACACAGGCGACCAGCAGCTCGAAGAGGTCCTTCAGCATGGTGTTGATCATGCTCTCATACCTGATGTCTACAGGGAGAAGCAAAGCAGGGTGTCACTCCTCGCCACTCTAGATGAATGGCTGCAACTGGCAACTATAGCAGAAGGGGAAAGTCTGAGTGATTAGAAAAATACTTAATAAAATATGTATACCCATTTTCGCCATATCAGGATGAAATATGTGGTTCACTTTATGTGTTGATGTACATTTTTCAAAGTTAAGTATATAATTTATGTAGAATAGAACATGATATTGTGTAGCCTGAAAACTAGCTAGTAAAAAATTGAAATTCTTATAAAAAGGAGGGAAAAATAAAACATACTGCTGATAGTCGAATTAAGTTGGGTTAAATGCTGTTGGAAAACAAACAAACAAAAATGTCTCTTATTCTACCATAGTCTAAACCCTTTCAGTCTGGCTCCGGTCTCCACAGTATCCCCAGGCTAAAGAAAATGAGACTTCCTTAAAATCACATTCCGTTTGCCCGATTTGAGAAATACATCAGTGTTGTTTCCCTCAAAGTCCTTGTGATGCTACAGAAGCAGATTTGGGTAGAATCCTCAAGGGTCCCAGGCTGTGCAAAGCAATGACCTCGTCAGGAATATCTACTCCTAGGGACACAGTGAACACCCACACCTCTTCTTTCTCAGGTTTCCTGGCGCCCCTCTCCTTTCCTCCCCCAGCCCCCAAATCATTTTACTAAGCTTAGTAGAGACACCGTTTTCTCTCTTTGCTTTTTGACTGGGGGTCCAGTTCTCATTAATTTCTCTAACCTCTCCAACAAGGGAGCCTCTCGTCACCCCTGTACTTTACAGCTCTGCCTGCCTTTCCCTTTCGTTTGTAACCTTGAGCCAGCAGCAATATTTCTCCTGCTCTCAGAAGTTCAGACCTTCCCACAGCAAAACCATGAGCTGGAGCCTGTATTTCATCAGTGTTGCTCTGCAGGTACCAGAGCAGTCATAATTCCTTGGTGTCTGGCTTCAACACACTGTCCACTCCACACTTTTAAATCCATTTTTCAATGTACCACAGATATTAAAAGAAACTTCTCTTACTCCTAACCTGCTAATGAACTTCTTGCCCATAATGTCAGCCTTTTCTCAAATGCTGCCTCCCCCATTTAGCCCCCACCCCCAGATGAAGCAGGACTACAGGATGCACCCCTCCCACAGCCCCAGGGATATTTATTGTTTAAAATGTATTATGTAACTGAATCCACCTCCCCTCTCCTAATGCACAGATATCCTAGACCTTATTAGGCATTTTATTTTTCGCTGCACATACATTTTAAATATTCCATTGGATCACTGTGTACAGGATACATAGGCACCAATTTTCTTTTTGACAACCTACTATCAGAAGGCTGGCATTGACTATGTAATTCTATTTAAATAATTACCCAGACATAAATCATGCACTGGTGAGCATTAGGGATTTACTAAGCACTTTTAGACATGTGGCTGCTACTAAAGAAACATTCCATGCCAACTGCTTGGCCGCTACAGGTACCTGAGTGTATGAAGCTTTGAATATGCTCCACCACCAGCTCACAGGACAGACCGATGGCGTGCTTGAAGTTCGCAGAGGCTGCATCCCAGTACGAATGGTCTTTATGGCTACGGCGGAGCCAGAGGGACATCACAGGAAGGAGAAGATGAACGACTGCATAGATCCCAAACCCCGGCCCTGGAAAAGAAAAGTCAGCGTCAGAATTGTGATCTTGATGACTCTCCTGAGATACCAGGGATGCTCTGGGCTGGTTTCTTGGCAATGCCAATTTCTTCTGAAGGAGCGTTCCAATCTCTGAGAAGGTGCAAGGAAAAACCATTTACCACTGATTGGGGAACATAAGTTTCCAACAGCAAATTTCTGATTTGTTTCTGCATGATTTTAGTTATCCAGTGCTATATGAATGCATTCATAAAAACTCAAATAGTACTGATAAAGCTTAAGTATCTTGATCTACTACTTAGTCACCAGATATAAACATAGATACATATTTGCATATAAGAAAATATCCTTAAAATGTAAGTATATGTTTTATGTGAAATGGAAATAGAGTTTTGTTTTTATTACCTTTATATAAATGGGATAATGTAAATCTTGGTATACATGTTGATATTTCGCTCTTAACAGTGTGGGCTAGAGATCCTTCCCTGTCAGAGAATCTAGAGACTCCTAATTTTTATTGCCAGTACTATTCCATCCTATGTTTACACAACAGTTTACTTTATCTGTTCCTTTGTGGTGGACATTTAAGGTGTTTCTCTATTTTGCTTTATACACAATGCCACAACGAAAATCTCTGTGAGAAAGATAAATTTTTAAAATTCTTATTACAAAGCGTTTAACTTAACATATGAGAGTAGCTATGATGATTTTCCTGAAAAAATTCCAATATAAACTTTGCAATATATTTTAAAACTATCAATTATCAAGTCTTCATTAGTTTAAACAGAATACAAAACCCTTCTTATCACTATAAACTAGTGCTTTCTTTCGTGATTCTGATTCTGTTAGTGAAAACTAAAATTCCCTTAATCTTGGGAAGATTTAGATGAGAAAGTGTATGCACAAACCTCAATTTGGAACAAGAAATAGCTTTCTAAGGGATGTTCCCTTCTGGCACTATCAGGGTATTGGGTGATCACTAAATGTCTATTCCCAAATCTACTCACCTAAGACCTTCATACAGTCATAGTGTTGCTGGATTAATACTGCATACAGATTTGAGTGGTTTGTTTATGTCAGTAGGAGACATGGTGACAGCTGTATGGCCAAGAGCCTGGGTGGTCCGGCCAAAGGAGGAGGTTGTACTTACAGAACAGAGTAAAGCTACTGCTCATGAAGGGACTCATACCACAGCCTTGGCCTGATTATTAGGGGGCTTCAACACACTCAACTAACTGGCCACCATTATTTGTAAATGGACTACTTGTAAATAATCATAGGGCATACCTTAAACATCACTGCATCATAGTCAGCAAATATTTATTTGAGCACCTACTATGCTGTCTAGGGTACAGCAGTGAAGCAGGTAGGCACTCACAGAAATACCTTCCTGAAAGACATTGAATGTATAACTCCCACCCCAAATGATAAGACATAGAAGTATTCACCAGGTGTTTTGGTAACATCTCTCAACAGCTCGAAGAGCAAGTCCAAGGTTGGCGGTTGGTGCTGCCGTGGACAGTTGGACACAGCTGCTGTTAGCTGCTCCAGCAGGATGATCCAGACTTCTATCAGACCTAGAAAGCAAAGACCAGACCTCTGTGAATTTTGGTGAAACATAATACAGAATCATTGCAAGGTCAAGTGTAAAAGAGGTCTGTAAACTGCCATGCACTCTCCGCACAGGAAGCATCCCCCTGTAAGGCAGCCCTCAAGGCCTATAAACAGATTGTGATTCACCTGTTCTGACAAAGTCAAAGGGGCAAAAAATACTCAGATTTCTCCCTTATTCCCCTGCAGGAAGAAGGTAATATGGTTTGTAAATTCTACCTGAAATGATCGTCAGATTTCGTGGGAGTTGATTATAGCAAAATAACATAATGTCCTGTTAGCTCTATTGCCTTAGTCAATCCTTGAAGAATATTTCCTTATTATACACATAACAAAATGCCATTCTGATGGTTTTCACGAGTGCAGGTCAGTGGCGTTGATTATAGGCACAGTGTTGCACCACCATCACGGGCTTCCGTTTTCAAAACTTTCCATCCCCTCAAACAGAAATTCTCTACAACCATTAAGCAATAGTTCTCTCCTCACTCCAGCCCCTCTGGTAACCTCTAATCTACTTTGTCTCTGTCTGATTTTACCCATTCTAGGTATTTTATGTGAATGCAATAATAAAATATTTGGTTTTTTGTATGGCTTATTTCACTTAGCATAACATTGTTTACATCCATGTTGTAGCATGTATCAGAATTTCATTCCTTTTGATGGCCATGTGCACACCACTTTGTCCATTCATCTGCCGGGCACCTGTATTGGTCCTGCATTTTGGATGATGTAAGAGTGCAGTGAACACTGGAGTATGTGTTGAGTCCCTCCTCTCAGTTCTCTTGGGTGTACACCTCAGAGTGCTGTTACTGGGAGATGTGGCAATTCTGTTTAGCTTTCTGGAGTATCAGCAAATTGTTTTCCATAAAAGCTGCATCATTTTATATTCCCATGAAGATCTGAATTTCTCCATATCCTTGCCAACACTTATTTTCTGTTTTTTTTTAAACTATCACCATCCTAGTAGGCGTGCACTAGTACTTCATCATGCTTTTGATTGACATTTTCCTAATGACTGATGGCATCTTTTCATGCACTTATAGGCCATTTGTATATCTTTTTTTGACAAATATCTGTTCATGTTCCTTGCACACTTAAAAATTTTTTTCATTGATTTTAGAGAGAGAAAAAATCAATTTGTTGTTCCACTTATTTATGCATTCATTGTTTGATTCTGGTATGTGTCCTGTCCAAGGACCAGACCCACAACCTCGGTGCACTGGGACAACCTCTAACCAACTGAAACACCCAGCCAGGGCCTCCTCGCCCATTTTTACAGTGGGCTGTTTATCTCTTTGTTGTTGAGTTTTAGGAATTCTTTATATATTCCGGATATCAAAACTGTATCAGATACATGATTTAAAAGTATGCTCTTCTCTTCTTTAGGTTGTCTTTTCACTTTCTTGATAACGTCCTTTGATGTATAAAATTTTGTAATTTGAAGTCTAAGTTACCTATTTCTTTTGTTGCTTGTGCTCATCTATTTCTTTGCCCTTTCTAAAAAAATTTGCTCTGTTCCATTTTTTCCAAGGGTCATTCATCTGGTTTCTACAAAGTAATTTAAATTTACCTGCCCCCGTGGTAGGTTGCAATTCTGGCGCCCTCTCCTCAGTTCTGTACATGGACAGGTCACTGGGTGTACTACTCACCGGTGGGGAGATGATGCTCACGGTGTCGACAGGTTCATCTGCCCTGAGCAGCACACCCCTCCAGACACACACTCCTCTTTCTTCTGAGAGTTTCATTTTTAAAATAAGATACTTTTTATGCTCTTCATTACTAGGTGAAGGGGAAAGGATGAAATTCTCTTCATGAGATCCAAATAGTTTCAATTTTGCCATTTATGTAAGCACTTACATGAGCCAACACTTTGGGACATCACCATCTTTGGAAATACCTGAACCCATAGCTCAGAAAGCTGTGCAGAAAAAGGACTCAGCTTCCCTAGCTTCACACAGAAGGATGACAGTAACATAAGAGCCCACTCTACAGTTTAATTTTAATTCTAATTTTCCTAAAAAATAAAACTATCAGAAGACTGCATTTAAAAATATTTCCATAAAAACTACTTCCCTAGTATTAAATGTCCCCATTAGTAGGAGGCAAAACCAAAGTCATGGACAATAAATATAATAAAGCTAGGTGATAAAAAATGCTGATGGACCTTAAAAATACAGGGTGGGACAGAAGTAGACTTACAGTTGCATGTGAAACACAAAGTTTATTTGTATGTTATATTATTTGAGCACCCATGTGAACAACTGTAAGCCCACATTAGCGCCAACTGCATAAGCAGGTGTGGACAAGCTAGTTTACAGAAAATTCAGGGGACAGAAAAACAGGTTACACGCCACCATAACAGGGGGTGGGGTGGGCAACCAACAAAATCCAAATGGAAAACTCTACAGGACAAAGTGTCTCAGTTCTTCAACAAATAAATTGCAAAGGAGTTAAAAAGAATTGGAGAGGAAAATCTATAGATTGAAAAGGATTTAAGAGACATATCACCCAAACATAAAGTGTGGATCTTATGTGAATTCTGACATATGTAAGAAAGTTGGAAATTTTAATATAATAGATATTTGATATTAAAGAGTTATTGTTAATTTTAGGTATGATAATAATATGGTTGTTTGTCATCTTTAAAGAATACATATTAATGTCTGACATACAGAGGGCCCAAAGATATGACAAATGCTCAGTGTCATTAGCCATCAGAGAGATGCAAATTAAAATCACAATGAGATATCACTTCACACCTGTCAGAATGACCATCATTAACAAATGAACAAACAACAAGTGCTGGTGAAGACGTGGAGAAAAGGGAACCCTAGTGCACTGTTGGTGAGAATGCAGACTGGGGCAGCCACTGTGGAAAACAGTATGGAAATTCCTCAAAAAATGAAAAATGGAATGACCTTTTGACCCACTGATTCTACTGCTGGGAATATTCCCTAAGAATCCTGAAATACCACTTTGAGAGAACTTATGCACCCCTGTGTTCATAGCAGCATGAGAGAACTTATGCACCCCTGTGTTCATAGCAGCATTATTTACAACAGCCAAGTACTGGAAACAGCCTAAGTGCCCATCAGTGAATGAGTGGATCACAAAACTGTGGCACATTTACACAACAAAATACTATGCAGCAGAAAAAAGAAGGAGCGCCTACATTTTGCAACAGCATGGATGGCACTGGAGACTATTATGCTGAGTGAAATAAGCCAAGCAGTGAAAGACAAATACCATATGATCTCACCTATAAGAGGAATCCAATGAACAAAATACACTAATGCACAAAAATAAAACCAGACACATAGAATCATGGAACAGACTGACAGCAGTATGAGGAAAGGAGGGAAGTGGAGACTGAAAGAGGGTGAAGGGATTAGTGAAAGAACATGTATGAAGGACCCAGGGACACGGACAGCAGGGTGGGGATTGGCTATGGGCATAGGGGGAGGGAGAAGGATTGGGACAACTGTAACAGCAAAAACAATAATAAAATATTAAAACAAAAGCTAAAATAAAGAAATAAATAATAAAGAACACACACTAATGTTTGTGATTTGCTTTAAAATAATATGAAAAGGAGGAAGTGGGTGGGGTGAGGGAGGCGGGGAGTGAGCGTGTGTGTAGATACAGATTACGTGAGTTTGGCTGTAAGTTAATACTATTTGAAGCCGGGTGACGGGCACTGACGATTCATTGTAACATTCTGTCTAGTTTTATATATGTTTAATTTCCATAGGAAAGAAAAACAATTTGACTTTTCTTTGGAAACCAGAGAAATGCTATCTCAGAATATATCAATAGTGAGAAGTAATTGTAATACTAACTTAAAGCTTTTAATTTTATTCTTTTCTCTGACTTAGCTATGTTTCCTATATAATTATACCTTTAAAGCCCTCAATGAATTTGTACTGGAGAACATGGTCTAATGGTTTGCATAAATGGGAAGGGAATGCTGTTACCTATATACAACCATTTACATACAACCATTTACAACCGTTTTAAAGACTGTATTATAGAGATAAGCAACATTAGCTTCTACTTATAATTGTCTGGCTTGGAGGTTTACAATGCTAAATAAAAATTATTCTTACCCAATCATTAGAATGGAACCTATATTAGGCAACATCTAGCCAATTTCCAACATTTTAATTGTTCTCTACATTAGGTTTTCCTATAGTGCTTCCTCACAACTTGTCTGAACTAGTGAGGTTTTCCTGTTTATAATCTCCGTGGAAAACTACAAATCTTCTAGCCACCCCCATAAATGAATGTCACAGAACAATAAAACAGGAGAGAAATGAAACACAACACAAAAGCAAATTTAAGAAGCACCACCTAAAAATAAAAAATCTTTTTCTAGGACTTGAAAAAACCCGCTCCTAGATATTAGACCCCTTTTAGGGTGTCATTTCCATTTCTCCATCTAGAAACAAGACAGGGTCATCTGAGAAGACAGGAAGTTGGAGCATGAATTGACTGATCTAAGAATCAGCCAAAGTTACTGGAGTGAACTCCGATGCACAGGAAATTACGTGGGAACTAATTTGAAACACATTCTTTAAAATTATTCGTTTAATGAGTCTTCGGCTTCACCAGTCACAGATAGATTCTTTCTTCAATAATAGTTTAATTTCCCCAGTCTCTAACCAAATAGTCCTGTGGGAAGTAATTATGTAATGATTGTGTTTTCTGGAAGGAATTAGAAACAATTACCAGCCAATTTAAGTACCAATGCACCAATGCAACCACATTCCAATTTGTTAAATTCAAGAGAATTCTGAGTTAGAAATTATACTTACCAGAATCTGCAAACCTGCACTGGTTTTAGATGGAGGGTTCCCTCCAAAAAGAACAGGTTTGGAGGCATCAATTGTGAAATGTGTTTGGAGCATCCATGGACACTTTGGGTAGACTTGTTCTCTTAGAATCATAAACAGTAACAACATAAACGGACCATTCATGATCTAGAAGCTATTTACTTCACAGCTTCAGCTTCTGAGAATACACACACAGCAAGCAACCTGGCTTCGTCGAGTCCATTGACTTACCAGTGTCATCATCAAAATCAGACAGGACTGACTCAATTCCATCCTCGCTGCTCGCCGACTGCTCCTGGAGCCTGCGAGGCAAGCTGGCCAGTCGCCCGCTAAGGAATATTGGCTTCATGGGCATTTTGTAGATTTTGGCCAATAACTAAATAGAAAATACCAAATTTCAATTACATATTGGAAAAAACTACACTCTGGGTGTTAAAGAACACTAAAATTAAATACCAATAATCAAAAGGGGAGAGAAGAGCACAAAAACTGTTGTCAGATAAAAGTTTTAAAGTTGGCTGGTTGTAATTTGGCTTCACAAGGCAGCTCACAAGGGGCATTTATCCCAGGAAGCGGATGAAATAGTATTAAATGGTGGAGGGAAAAAACACAATGAATACTCTTTTAGCATCTCCATTGCCTATGAGTTTTGTAGATTTTTAGAAACCTACCAAGGGAACTGTGATTCGTCAAGGAATTCCCTCTGCAGGAGAAAGGTCTGTGAGGATCACTGAGAAGAGTCTGCAGGCCAACCAGATGGCAGATGTTCTTCTCCCCTTCACACAACCCCACGTTAAAGAAGCGGGGGGGGGGGCAACGAGGAAAGGAGGGCTCTGTAGGCGAGGGAGGCCCAAGACAAAGTATGGGGAGCGGAGCTAACAGACTGCCCTGGGCTCTTCATTCCCCTTTATTTTCTGGAGGCCAGCAACCCCCCCCCCCAAGATCTCTGTTACTGAAACAAACTCCCAGGATCCTTATCTTCACAAATTACAACTCAGCTTGCTGTACCCATACCGTTCTAGAAACCAGGGAAACAGCTGTGAGCGAGACAGACAAAATTTCTGTCCTGTGGGTTTTGCAGACAAAAATCTTTTATGATAAGTACAATTTCTGACATCAGTGGTGTAGAAAAAATTAGACAGGTGGTACTACGGAGAGTGACCGAGGTGTGTGCGGAATGCCAGCAGGGAGCTGGTGGATACCGAGGCCCTCATCTCTCTGACAGGGGATGTTTCAGGTGAGATTTGGAAGATAAGGAGTGTCATACAGACACCTGAGGAGGACAAAGTACAGGCAGAGAGAACAGCAGTGACCCTGGGTGTAGTGAGCTGGGTGTATGTCAGGGGCAGAAGGGGTTGTGGTTGGAGCACAGGGACTGAGAGGAGAGGGTCCGGGGTGGACAGGGAGCTGGAGTCCTGTCACGTGGGGCCCTGTGGAAGAAGTCGGGGCTGTGCGTCCTTTCTAAAGCCATGGGCTCAGCACTGTCGCCGAGGGGTGGGAAGAGCCCTGGGGGTACCACCTGAGAAGACAGGAGAAAAACTAGCTGCAAGAGGGTGTCACTGAAGCCTAGAGGAGAAAGGGCTTCAAGGAAAGAGTAGCCTCATTCTACAGGAGTTTGATGTGGGCGAGGACGGAGCATTATGGAACGGAGCATACATAACATTACTGTCCACATGGGTTTCTCCACTAGCCCTTGATGGAATACATCCCTCTTACATTTCTTTATGTCTCTCTTCGCTGTCTGCACCCCCACCGTCCAAGTTTGGTACATCAGGAAGCTCTCCCACCACTTCATGACTCCACCCTGTGCAGCCTGGCACAAGTACAGAGAGCGTGGTAGTTGGACTGAGAATAACCGAGGAACTCTGCAGACCTCAGGAGCCAACTGCGTGTTCTCGTACACTGTTACTAGTGTCTCTCTCTCCTTCACAGAAGGGGTGGGGACAAAAATGTACACTCCCAATCTGAGTCCCCACCGTCTCAGAGACAGCAGACAGTGTTTCTCTTGGTCCTCAGCAAAACACACCCGCAGGTGCTTGGCAAGCCTGTCCCGAGGCAGCTGTTGGGGCCTGGGCTCCACTGTGAGCACCCCCTACCTGAGAGCAGCGCCTGAGGTAATCCAGGGCAGGGAGGCACAGGTCTGGGGACGTGGCTCCTGGTCCCGGCACGCAGTCTCCGATCTCCTTACAGTCCACCTCCCCTAGGCGCAGAGAAACAGGGACAGCGTTATCCTTGCTCATGCCCTCACAGCAGACGACCTATTTATTCACACAGTGTCAGTTCGCACAACGTGTACTAAAACAAAGAAAAAATCCTTTTGGTCAGTCTGTCTCCCTGTATGTGTACACGCTAAACACAGTCTGGCTCCTGTGCATCTTATTCGGTTGAGCTCATTTTGTTTTATAACTTCTATTTAGTAACCAATGAGCATTTTTTTCTATTCTGACACAGTATTTGCTCCTGAGTACACTAGTTCACTTTCCCAGACCTGCTGTTGATGGTGTGACTTAAAGTATTGATTCGAGAGTGAGACATCGATTTGTTGTTACACTTATTCATGTGTTTACTTGTTGCTTCTTGTTTGTGCCCTGACCTAAGACAGAACTCGAGGCCTTGGCTGGCAATTTGGACAACTCTCTAACCAACTGAGCTACCAGGCCTGGGCTGATGGTGTGACTTCAGAAGCTCTGATGAGGATGTTCCCACAGGCCATCCAAATGCTGGACTGGGATGAAGCACCGAGACTCTCCATCTGGAAAAGGACCTCATTTGCTGCCCATGCTCAGCACTAAATAGTGATGATAAATGAAGGCTCCAGGAAGATTCTAAACATCGGGGGTTTGAGGATGGAGACTCCATAATTGAATTGAAATTCTTTCCTCTTTTAAAAAAAATTATCTAGAGAGTTAACAGATCTGTAGAGGGCTTCCAAATTTTCTATAGGTAAACAATAGTTGAGAATTATTTTTCTTTTCATGTAAAGAGCCTATTTTTCAACTTTTAATACAATCATTGCACAGTACTGTAATTGTTTCTAATTATCTATAATTGTAGCAACTAGCACCCTCCCCTGTGTGTAAACAGACATAATTACTAAGCATTAGTTAAAATTCAGAAGCAGACAAAGAAGCATTTTTCTCCTTAAAAATGAAAAGAGAAACATCTCCTATGTTTTAGGGCAGAGATCGGTAAACTTTTTTTGGACAGGGCCTGAAGTATAACAATACTTCAGGCTTTATACTGTTTGTCGCAGCTTCTCAACCCTGTTCCTGAACCACGAAAACAGCCACAGACAGATCACCATGGTTTTGTTCCAATAAAACTTTATTTATAAAAAACTATCAGTGATTGGATTTAGGCATAGTTTGCAAACTCCTGGTTCAGATGATCACATCTTACAGTATAAAAACACAGACCAGGTCAAATTTATGTTGAAATAACCAAGTGGAAATTAAAAATAAATTCATTCTCTAGCTTGTTGATCAAAGTGAGTGCTTCAAAGTTTGTTACTGAGGCTGCCGTGGTGCACGTCTAAGTCTCTGCAAGTGGCGCCCCCTGGAGTTGGGGCAGTGCCCAGCCAGCACGGCTCTCCGGGGGCTCAGACAGTCCACTCCCCACAGCCCCACACAAAAAATTCCACCTTGTAACTCACAGAAAAAAAAAAACTTATCTGTTTTAAATATTCTCTGTTGGCACACTGATAACTACATCTTTATTTTCAGGCCTCAACTCCCTCAGATAAAACTTGAAATTTCTAACCCGCAGAGAAGCATCTCCACTTGGATGTTTCACTGAAACTCCACACGTCCACATGCCCCCAGAGAGAACTCAGTACTTTTCCTTATCCGCCACAGCTGACCTACTCTGCTTTTGCATATCCCAGTTCTGGGTAACGTCAATCCTTGTAAGGAACTTTGGGGAATGGGAATCATCCTCTATCCCGCCTCTCAGCTGCCCGTTCATTTCAGCCTACATGGCTTTAAAAAAAAACCCAGCCTCCGTGGCAGTATTCATCTTATTAAACTGCACTGATTGATTTATGTGTCATTTCCCAGAGTAGGCCGTGAGCCTCTCCCAGGCAGGAAGCATGTTTTATTCATCTTTACATCCATCGGAAGCACAGGCGGCAGGCACTCCACTCCTCCCTGGACAGCATGCCCATAACAATGCTTCCTACGTGGAATACGGGTCTGTGATGTAATAGAAGGGGTATGTATATGCTGGTCTCTGGGACCGGTTCCTGGCCCAGGGCTCCTCAAACCCTTACCATGTCCTCAGTGAGAAGAGAACTAGGAGCACCCTTCCTTCTGTTATTTGGTCTTTGAACCATGCTCCTGACCTAAACTGCTCAGCATTTCCTGATGGGAAAGTTTGTTTTTCTTTTCTTTTCTTTTTTTAAAGAGGCAACCCTCATGGGCTCCTGGATGAGGGCTGGTCAGCAGAAAAACCATGTCATGATTAGAAGCCTGGAACTTCCAGCCCCTCCCCTCATCCTCCAGGAAGGAGAAAGGGGCTGGAAAGTTAGCTGGTGATCTATCAGGGCAACACAGTGAAGCCTCCATGGAAGTTCCAAAATTACAGCATTCAGACAGCTTCTGGTTGGTAAGCAGGGCTCCTGGCTAGGACGGTGGCTCCCCCCACCGCCATGGGGGCAGAACCTCCTGCGCTTGGGATCCTCCACCTATGTCTGTTTTTGTTTGGCTGTCCCTCTGAATCCTTCAGCATGTCCCTCGTTATAAAATATACCGGCAGATGGAAGTGTGTCCCTGAGTTCTGTGAGCTCATCTGGTGTCCTAAGGCTTGTGAGCGTGGCAGCAGTGTGAGAGGAAAGGTGACATGCAGGAGAAGTGCGTTTGTTCATAAACAAGAACTGAGTCTTCCACTATTTAATGCAAAGATTCATACTCTAAGGTGTTCTTATAATTAGGACACTAAATTATTTGGCTTCTTGGTAACACAGAACAGCATTTTAAAAAGTCTCTCTTTGTTATTCAAAGAAACCTTCCTTGAAGCCCAGCATGTGAGGTCAATAAGCCAGTGGCTGCCGTGGCTGCCCTCCGCTCAGTCTCCCTTTCTCAGGGTGAACATAGTAACAGAGCAGGGACACGTGATAACTGGGTACAACAAGGCCAGTCTGCAGGTCAGACCCCGGGCCTCCAGCCTGTCTCCTGAAACTTGGACATTGTCCCTGCTCCCCAGAAAAGGGGACTATGGTGAAGTCAACTAGCTTCCTTGCGTCCAGCCTTCTTTTGCAAAAGAATTTGTTGGTTATTTAGCAAGAACTTAAAAGAATATTATGAACCCATAGTTTTTCTTAGTTAGAAGGCTTTCAGGCTCTGGCCAGAGTGCTCAGTTGGTTGGGCATCATCCTGCAAAGTGAAAGGTCACAGGTTTGATTTCCAGGCAGGGCACATGCCTGGGTTGTGGGCCCAGTCCCTAGTCAGGGTGCGTGGGAGAGGCAACCAACTGATGTGTCTCTCTCACATCAATGTTTCTCTCCCTCTTTTTCTCCCTCCTTTCTCCTCTCTAGGAAAATTAATAAATGAAATCTTAAATAGATAGATAGATAGATAAATGGATAGAGGGCTCTTAGTCTCCACAACCTAGAATACGCCACAGTAAAATTCTCCAACTTGAAAACGTAAGTTTCCCCTGAATCGCTGGTTTCATGAACAGCCCCTCCCTTCCATTTCAGGGATGGACTCATGCTGCACAAATGCCTGCTGCAGAAGGTCATGTTGTGTAGCACGAAGACCCTACTTTGCTAGAGCATTCCTAAGTCAAGCACAAATCAGTCAGGTGGCTCCTGAAACACAGGAGGCCTTCGAAGAGGGGGACTTTTACATCCCAAAAGATTTTATGATTAATAAGGCCTGGGGGAGACATTTTTAATTTCTGCTTAGGAGCTGGGAACTCAAACTCTAATTATGTGACATTGAGGAGAATAGTTTCCTGCCTGTGGGCAACAAATGAATATAATACTAAATATTTTAAGGTTGAAAATAACATACAGATTGAAAAGATGCTAGATTATAATATTATTCCATGAACACAATGAAACATATCAACCTTGTACAGAACCCCAAGCTGCTTTCCCAGTGAGCTCTCTGTTTCCAAGTACACACCATCTGCTTCCACCCCAGGGTGCTCAGTGGGCCTGTCTCTAGGGCTTTCCACACAAAGCCATGCAGGAACAGGTCCCCAGCGGTCACACGGCATGAAAAGAGGACTCCACTTACCCAGTCCTTTGACAAACTTCATAAGGCACATGATGTAACTAGTGGCTGCATTAGCAAAGACCTGGATGTTGTCGGTATTGAGAAAAGCTTCAAATACATCAAACACTGGAGCTTGGCCTTTTCCTGAGGGGGAAAGATTACAGAATTGTAAGGAAGTTAAGTCTCTACCCTTCAGGTTGCCTAAACTTCCAGCACCTTCCACAGGGCCCAGGGAAAAATTGGGAGAAAAGCCCAGGCCTTTTGAATGGACAACTGGCCTGGCCCCCATGCTGTGCTTCTTAGTTTTGCCTGAAGGGGGAGCTGCAGGAAGGCTACAAAGAGCTCAGAGGGGTGAAGAGGGCGGAGCTGGCTGAACGCAGGGCTGAAGCAATGTGCAGGCTACAGGGCAGTGAAACTTGGGCCTCTGAATTCTTCTGCACACATAATTCTAGGGAAGGGAAGGTTTGGATAAATCCTTGATTGCATATACTAATTTATTCACACCTGTGCAGAAAAGAGTTAGCATCAAAGACCTGAGATTGCTGTCCTTAGAAAAGTTTGCTTGCATGTTGGCCTTTGGCTGGAGTCCGGGAGGGTGGCTCCCAGAATATTTCTGGGCAACAGTTAATCAATAAGGGTAGTTCACTGTACCTGGACTGTGTAAATAATGTGGTTTATTCTGAACGCCTGCTTTCCTTCAGGGAGCTTGGAATTTTGGTATATGCTAGACAGAAGGTACCTCTGGGTCCCCCGCCCCCTGCTCTCAGCTGGGTTTCTAATGTGCCATCCTGGGCTTGAACATTACTCTTATGTTGCTGCATTTTTCACTGCTAGGGGGAAAGTGTGCTCTGTGGGATGCCCCACTATGCAAAGGTGAGAGCACAGGGAAGCCTGCACAGGGGTTCCCCCAGATTCTGATGGTCTCATCCACACTATGTTGCCATATTACATCTCAGCAATGAGCAAGGTAATAAATCTGGGCTAATGTTATGCTAAGACTTATTAGCATAAATCTTAGCATAATTATAGGCTGAGTCCTGAGCCCCTCTGGTGGGTCTCGGGACATGGGCACCCCTGGCACAACTCCCCTGGTTGTGGGTATGCTTTACGGATGCCCACCCATGTCCTGCCAGACCCAATCTCCTGAATTTAGAAGCCCCAGTGTTAGGAAAGTTCTCTGCTTCTTTCTAGCAAGTGGATAGATAACATTTTTCATTTTGGCTTTAGGAATCAGCCCAACACAGATAAGTGTAAGTGAAACAATAGAAATCTCTTTCTTAGCCTTTCATCCAATCTGACAGTAAAAGCAGGGCCCGATGGCGCTCAGGGCTGTCGCCTGCTGGCAAAACTCAGCACTCCAGGCCCTGCTGCACCAGCTTATTTCCTGCTGATAAAGCTCTGCTGAATGTCAGTCTCCCCTGTTGTTCAATTTCCTGATAGCAAAGAACTTGGCATGAAGAACTAATGCCCTACAGCATAAACAACCACATATCCTTCCCAGTATCACCACTCCTATTCAAGTCCCCTCCAGAGCAATCAGGCAAGAAGAAGAAATAAAGGGCATCCAAATTGGAAAGGAAGAGGTAAAATTCTGTCCCTAGATGTCATAATCTTATATACAGAAAATCTTAAAAGACTCTAACAAAAGTTGTTAGAACTAATAAATGAATTCAGTCGCATTTCAGGATAGAACACCAACTCACAATCTTACCCATGGAGTAATCACCAACTAGGTAGTCCTTCACCTCAGACTTGTTCCCACTGTGCACCGTTTCCAGGGCACTGAACAAGGGCCTCCAGCCCGACTGGATTTGGGAGGAACACACTTCAACCAGCTCACCAATGGATGTGACGACCTGGCAGAGTCAAAGCGGGTGGCAGTTAACACCCTCTTCTTCAAGATGCGGGAGAACTTATGGGATGGGTGATGCATTTCCCTGTGCCCTATTTCTGGGTTAATTTTAGTGAAAGAGAAAACAGAACCCAGAGAAGCTCACATGAAAATGTTCTAAATAAGCACTCACATTGCACTGATTGGCATTTTACTAAGGACTAATGTTGTTGGACAACTTTTCACGGGCTTATTATTAGCTATTTGTAAACATCTTGCTGTTTTTTAGATTGGGTTTTTGTCTTCTCTTTACTGTCTTTTTATTATTTTAGAATTACTTATGTATTCTAGATGCAAATCCTTTTGGAGATCTATAATTTGCAAGTATTTTTTCAGAACCTCGGGCTTGTCTTTATTTTTTAATGGTGTTAAAAGAGCAAAAGCTTTCCATTTTAATGAAGTCCAACTCATCGATTTTTTTTGCATGTGTATTTGCATTAATGAGCAAAGGGTGGCAGGGTGCTTGGGAAGTGCACAGAGTACGGACAATCGCATGAACTTGCACATTGTCCTTGTGCAGGGGCTGTGCTCATCTTCTCTGTGTCACTCCAATTTTTCTACGTGCTGCTAAACTGGGCACCATCAAATTGTCTTTTTATGGATCGTGCTGATGTCATTTTTAAGAAATCTCTGCCTAACTCAAGGTTTCAAAGACCGTCTCCTATACTTTCTCCTGGAAACAGAGTTTCTCTCTTAGAGTTAAGGTGATGATCCATATTGAGTTCTTTTTGTGTATATTGAGAGGTAAAAGTATAAGCCATTTTTATTGCATATGTTCAGGCACAGTTTTCTGAAAATAATATCCTCTCCTTCTATTGAATTCCAGTGGTCTCCTTGCCAAAAATGAATTGAACCTAAACGTGAGGATTTATTTCTGTACTCTATTTAGTTCCACTGGCTGTAAGCGTAGCTGTATACCATTATCACACTATGTGGATTACCAAAGTTTCAAAGTAATGTAAATTCTCCAAATTTGTTCTTTTTCTAATTTGTTTTCTGTATTCTCAATCCCTTGCATTTGCATATAAATTTCAGAGTCATCTTGCTAATATCTCTAAAAAATCTGCTTGGATTTTTATGGGAATTGCATTGAATCTTTATGTCAATTTGGGGGAATTTTCTCATTTAAAAATACTGTGTCTTTCAATCCATGAATAAACTATATGTCATAATTTATTTAAATCTTCTTTAATTTTTCTTAGCAATGTTTTACAGTTCTCAGTGTACAGGTCTTGAACACCTTTTGCTAAATTTATTCCTAAATATTTGTATTATTTTAATGACCTGGTGAATGGAACTGTTCTCTTAATTTCAATTTTTGATCATTTATTTCTCAGAAATAAGAACCCAATTGATTTTAGTTTGTTAATCTTATATCCAGTGACATTATTAAATTCACTAATAATTTAAATAATTTTTTTATAAATCCCTTAGGATTTTCTACATACAAGGCCATATTGTTTATGCATTAAGAAAAGTTTTGCTTTTCTTTTCAAATCTAGATGCCTTTTTTATACAATGCATAAAAGTTATAATATTAAATAGAAATAGTAAAGATGGAAATCCTTGCCTGGTGCTGATCATAGGGAAAAACCACCCAGTTCTTCCCAAGTGTGACATTAGATGTAAGATTCTCAAAATTCTCTTTATTCAACTGAGGAAATTCCTTCTACTCCTCATTTCTTCAAAGTTTTTTGTTTAAATTAAAAATGGATGTTGAATTTTGTTAATTTCCAAAACTATTTACGTGACCATGTGGTTTCAATCCTCTATTCTAATATGATATGTTTACATTAATTGATTTTGAGCTGTTAAACCAACCTTACACTCCTGGGATACATTCTATATGTAACAGTATTTCATCTTTATATATTGCTGGACTTAGCCTCTAATAATTTTTAGTTTTTTAATCCTTACCTGAGGATGTTTATTGATTTTAGAGAGAGAGGAATAGAAAAGGGGGGGAGAGAGAAAGAGAGAGAGAGATCAATTGGTTGCCTCCCATACATGCTCTGACTGGATATCCAACCCACAACCTAGGTATGTGCCCTGACTGGGGATTGAACTCTCAACCTTTCAGTATACAAGATGATGCTCCAACCAACTAAGCCACCCAGTCAGTGCTCTAATAATTTTTAAAGAATTTTTTAGGTTAATTTTGTGAAGAATATTGGTCTATAGTTTTCTTGTGGCTTTAGTATCAGAGTAATACTGGTCTCATAACGTGTGTTTGGTAGTGTTCCTTCTCTATTATCTGATAAGAGTTTGGGTAAGGCTGGTGTTATTTCTTTCCTAAACGGTTTATAAATTCTCTTAGTGAAACCAACAAGGTGTAGATATTCTTTGTGGCATGATTTTAAATGACTAATTCAATTTCTTTACTTGATGTTGATTTAATTGGATTTTCTATTTTTTATTGAAAAAGTTTTGGTTATTTTTACCTTTCTAGGAGTTTTTCCATTTGGTTTAAGTTGTCTTATTTGGTAGACATAATATTGCTGATAATATTCTCATAATTCTTTTGATTTCTCTAGTGTCTTCAGTAATATTTCCTCTTTTATTCTTGATTTTGGTAGTTTGCAGTTTCATTGATATTTTCCTGGGTTTTTTTGTTTTACTATTTCATTGGTTTCTGTTCTGGTCATTATTTCTTCTTAGCTTCATTATATAAGCTCTTCTTCTAGGGTCCTGGGGTGAAAATGTAATGATTTCAGATCTTTCTTCCTCTCTAATGTGAGCATTTGCAGGTATAATTTCCTCTGCATTCCATAAATTTTGATATGTTATACTTTCATCTTCATTCATTCAAGATATTTTCTAATTTTCCTTGTGACTTCTTCTTTGACTCATGAACTATTTAGAATTTTAAATAGTTTCTTTGGTCTCCAAATATTTGGGCATTTTCCAAAATTTTTTCTGTTGTTTCCTTTGAATTTAATTCCATTGTGGCTGAAAAACATACTTCGTGTAATTTTAATTCTATGAAAGGTACTGAGGCTAGCGCACCATCTATCATGGAGAGAATTCCATGTGCACTTAAAAAGAATCTGTATTCTTTTGTTACGTAGAATGTTCCAGATCCATAATCTGCCATCAAGTTGTTCTACCAATTACTTAGAGAGGAGTGCAGCAATGTCCCCTACAATTTTTGTGTCATGGTAAAACTATGCATAACATAAAATTATAATTTTAACCATGTTGAAGTATACAGTTTAATGGCACTAAGTACATTCCCCTTGTTGTGCAACTATCACTAACCATCCATCTCCAGAATATTTTCCTCCTTCCAAAAGGAAACTCCATGCCCACTAGACACTAACTCCCATTCCACTGCACTGCAGCTCTTAAGTTGTCTATTTCTCCTTTCAGTTCTTTGTTTCATGAACTTTTAAGGCTTTATTGTTAGGTACATAGACATTTATAATTGATGTGACATCCTAAAATATCAACCCCTTTATAATTATTAAATATCTTTCTTTGTTTCTAATAATATCTCTTGTATTAAAGTATATTTTGCCTGACACTAATGGAGTGACCGCAGCTCTTTTGTGGTTAGTGTTCGCATGAAAAATCATTGTCAGTCCTCTTACTTTCAATCTACTTGGGTTTTTGAATCTAAAAATCTGTCTCCTGTAGGCTGTATATTGTAGTATCTGGTTGGTTTATGCTATATTACACTCTCCGCCTTTTTAATAGAAATTTCATCAATTCATGTCTTTTTAACATCTCTACTGAGAGATAAATCATATATGATAACATTTACCCATTTATAGCAAACCAATATTTTTTAAGTGTATTCAGAGCTGTACAAGCATCACCACAATTTGATTTGAGCTTATTTTCCGAAGTCCCATCCCCCAAACTCAGCACCTCTTACCAGGCATTCCCCACCCCACCACTGTACCCTTGGCCCCTAGGCATTCACTCATCGACTGTCTGCACAGATCTGCCTGCTTTGGACATTTTGTATAAATGCAATCTTATGAACTATGGCCTAACATTGTCTTCTGGCCTGCTGGCTTTCTGGAGAAGTCAGCAGCCATGGTTCCTGCATAGTACTGAACTGTTTTTCTCTTGTTACTCTGAAGATTTTGCCTTTGTCTTTGACTAATGCATCTACTGCAGATTATCTTTGGTTGGTGTTAACTAGGGTTCCTTTATTTCTCTAAATATATTTACCCCCCCTTTGTCTATTTCTTCTTCTTCTGGACCCCTTTTACACGTACGTACACTTGTCATTGTCCTGCAGGTTTCTATTTATTTTTCACCAAAATTAATTCTCTCTGATGTGCAGAGTGGATCATTTATATTAATCCACTTTAAATTTCACTGATTTTTTCCTTCTGCCATCTTTCATCTTGCCAAAAAGCCCTTCTAGTAGATTTTTCGTTTAGTTATTGCCCTTTTTAACAGTAGAATTCACACGTTTCTGATTTCCCTATTCACATTTCCATTCCTGAGTCACTACCACCATTTTCTGTTAACTCCTTGAACATTCTGATGATAGCAAAGTCTCTGTCCCCCACCTTCAATATGAGGATTCCCTTTGAGGCAATTTGTGTTTATCGTTCTTCCCCCCAAGTACGTGTCACTCTTTCTTTGCAGGTATCATAATTTTTTTTCACTGAAAATTTGAGATTTTAGATAATATCGTATAGCACTGCTAGATACTGATTTCTTTTTCTGAGTTTTCTTTAAAAAGAAAAAACCCAAGTTGCTTGGACATAAACTGTGGAATCTGTCTCTTCCCGTAGCATTAGGCAACAATGCCTTTGCTCAGTTTCTTCATTATTGTCATTGTCTTTTTAGCCCAACTTTCCAGTGTTTGTTCCCATGTCAACACGGGTTAGTTAGTGGTCACAGATGAGGTGGGCAGAGACTGTGCTCGAACACACACCTTGAGCCTGGAAGGCTTCCTCTTTTCCCAACCAGTCTGTGTGTTCGGGCTGCAAAGAATACTCCAAAGTTCAGCCAATACTAAGGTCTTCCTTGTCTTTTACTTTCTGATGGGATTTGCGTGGTCTATCCTGTGTATGCCCATGTTTCAGTCATTCAGGTGTGTGAGAAACTTACCTAGTCCTTCTAAGAATCTCTGGTTTCTCGGTTCTCATGATACATTTCTTATTGGTTCACTACTCACTGCAGCTGCAGGTTAGCAAGGTTGCAGGATTCTCCCATTCATTTCCTAATGAATCCACCACTTTCAGCTGACAAATCAATGATCTTTTTGACCTCTTCTCCAAACCAACTCTGTTTCTCGTAGAAGAAGGATGGACTTGCCCAGTCAGCCCCACCCTGGTCAAACTGTTATGCTTGTCAAAAGCTTAAAAGTAAGGAGGACAGTACAGTCTTCAGCTAGAAGGTCACAGACGCCCACCGCTCTTAACCAAAATTCTGACAAGAATTATTTTTAAGTGCAAATGCTACTCAATTTGTTGTCTGCCCTTGGTCAATTTCCAGAGCTCTGAAATGGTTGCTCCGGACAATTTTGTCCCCTTTAATCCTTGATTCTTGTGAGGAGAATTCACTAACTTCTTTATGCCACTATAGCCAAAGCCCTTCTTGTTCTATGTTTTTCCGAAAATATTTCAGTAAGATTATTTTAAAGTCAGTGTCTGCCCTGGCTGGTGTAGCTCAGTGGATTGAGCGCGGGCCTGCGAACCAGACGATCGCGGTTCGATTCCCACTCAGGGCACATACCAGGTTGCAGGCCGGTTCCCTGCAGGCCGGCTCCCAGTGGGGGACACACGAAGGCAACCATACATTGATGTTTCTCTCCCTGTCTCCTTCCCTTCCCCGCTACAGATAAATAAAATCTTTAAAAAAAATAATTATTAAAAAAAAAGTCAGTGTCTGATAACTCTGAAATTATCTGGATCCCTGGAGGGGTGTGTATGTGTCTATTTTTACTGACTTTTCGTTTTCAATGATACGGCATTTCCTAATGATTCCTTTTAGGAAAGGAATCATTGGTTAGTTTTGATTGAATGCAGATGTTATACCTGAAGCATTAAGAAATAATGATGTCACGTTCTTGTTAGGGATTATTTGAAGATGGGGATTATTTTCTGTTAGGACTAGTCTACTTAAGTTTCACCCTTCCTTTTAGGAGACCCTATTGTCTTCATGATTCTGACCCAAGACTTCAAGAAGTTACCAGATTGGCCAGACCCCAGGCTTTAGTTTGTCTTAGCTTCTCAGTCTTCCAGCTTCTGAAATTAATTGATTCCATTTTAGGAAAAGCAACCCCAAATACAGGCTCGGTGACTGCGTATTCTTTTTCTCCTAGATAATGGCCTCAAAGTTATTCAGTCCGTTTGTAATATTTCACTGCTTTCCAATGAATAAAAAATTTTTCCCAACTCTTTCTAGTTGTTCCCATGGAAAGCTCATCTGAATGACTTAGTTCATTGTTATTAGAATTCTTCAACCTAGGTTTTAGGTATGAACTCATATCTTCATTCTTCTTTCGTTTCATTAAAAATTATTTAATATTTTGCATTGAAGATACCAATGTTTCTACTCTTTCTAGGTCTGACTGTACCATATTACAGTTTCAGTAGCTCCCTCTGACTATTGTCTTGTTTCCCTATGTGCTTTGTGATATTTTTTAAATACTGTGAACTCACATCTCTTGGAACTTCATTTGTAGCATTATTTTTTGTGGCCTGAGTTGAAATTCCAGGGGGACTTTTGCCACTTTGTACGATGCCTGTATAAAGTTCCCAGACCGCCAAGGTGGTGCATATTCTTTTACTGGCTCCACAGAAGGGCTAGCTTACAATTTTAATCCTGGAAAGTTTTTTTAATCTTTACTAAGAGCTAATGGTAGAAACAGCCTGATCATGTTCTCAGGGAAGGTGGCACTGGAGTTAATTTCGAATTCAACTTTGGCCTAAGTGAACACCAATTTTTAAGATTTGTGCTGAAATTTGTCTCCTGTTCTTGTAGCCTCAAGAATATGATAGCAACCACGACTGGTACGGCTCAGTAGGCTGGGCATCGCCCTGCAAACTGAAAGGTCACTGGCTGGATTCCCAGTCAGGGCACATGCCTGGCTTGCCAGCGAGGCTACTGGTTGGAGGTGTGCAGGTGTGCAAGAGGCAACTGACTGAAGTTTCCCTTTTTCTCTCTCCCTTCCTCTTTCTCTAAAAACAAACAAATAAAGTCTTTAAAAAAGAATGCTGTAGCAGAACCCAGTTTCACCCAATGGCAAATTCCATCACGGCCAAAGCCGTCTTAGAGCTCTGCTTACTTCTATGTCTCCCCTGCTACTTAGTTGTGGGCATCTTAGTATTCCTCACTTTCTTATCAGAGTGCCAGTGTATTTTAAAAGAATTTTTAAGCCTTTATTTGACATTTTTAGATTTCAGAGAGAGAATCCAGGTTCCTAGATTACTATCATGCTAGTTACGGCCCCTCCACTTAGTTTCTTCACCATCTGTGCACCAGTTGAGGGTATGGTTGAGACTACAGACCAGTGAAGCCCGATTGCCTAGGTTCAAATCCCAGTTCCCCTAAGCACTGCACTGTATCCTCCACTAAACTGGCTCACCTTCTTTGTCATAGATTCCACATAGAGGATTATTGGAAAGGTGAAACATGCAAAGTTCACAGAACACCACCAGCCTGTGCACTCCGTAAAAGCTAGCCGTGACAATGACAATGCTGGTGACCGTGACACACTGACCTGGTCTTGAACATCCTCGTCACACAACTCTAGCTGCATAATACGCTCAAAGGGTCGGAAGAGCGCTTCATTGAAGTGGAAGTGAGGTGGCTCATTCCAGTCAGTGAGGACCTCTGTCAGTATGTCATGGATGAAGGAGACGGCCTTCTGAGACACGTGTCTTTCCTTATGGCAGGCGGCCTGCAGGATTCATGAGAGAGCAGAATATCATTGGAACTTCAGACAAGTAAGAGTCTGGTTTCTGAAGGTTTTCCTAACCCACCTCATTGCAGGGAGGTGGGTGCAGCCATGCTGTTAAAGTAAAGAATGCTTCTAGGCATACGTACAGATGAACAACGCAATAAATTGCATTTGTAATAATCTAACAAACTGATCAGACACAACTCCAATTAAGTGTTTCTAGAAAAATCATAGTGTATAGTAATTTCTTTTTTTAAAGAATATAACATGACCGTTTTCTTGGATGGCATAGAGCGTGCTGACTATAAAGACATCAGAACTGCCCATGGCCTTGTGCTTCTTGGCTGTGCCCCTTAGCTGAGATCCGAGGAGTCACTGGTCCCTCAGGGAGGTGGGCCAGTTGCACCAACAAAGCTCTAATGGTTGCGGGCTCCTGAATCCAGGCCCATTAGTAGTCTCCTCCCTCCCTGACCTGGGCTTGGATGTGGCTTGCTTTGGACAACAGCAAATATTATATAAGTAGAGAACTGCAAAGTTGTTGTGATTTGGGGTTGGTTCTCTTGCTTTACTTTGGAATCCTAAAAATGCCATGTGAATGAGCTGGGACTAGTCTGCTAGAGGCTGAGAGAGCCCATGTGTCCAGCCTCCCCAGTCAAGGCCACTACGAACCAGCTGACCCCACGTGACATGTAAGGCCAGCTGAGATCAGCCAAGGCTGGCTGAGACTAGAAGCCTAGCTCAAATTTCTAACCCGGGTATCCATGAGGTAGATAAATGGTGGTTGTTTTAAATACTAGGTTTTTTTTAGATGGTTTGTTACAGTGTAATAGATAAATGATATACTGTTTCTCCATAACTAAGATATTATTTTCTATTCCTCTTCCTTACTAGAATGTTCTCAAGTTAGTGAATTAAGTTCCCAAGAATACTTTATAACATCTCTCTACCAGATAAGCACTAAACAGCTATTAAGAATAGTTATCAGTGCAATATAGGGCAACAATTTTCCCACCAACGTAGAAGCGGCCAGTCATCATCACTGAGATGCTGAGGTGGAGAGTTACCATATGATTTACCACATGAGCTGCTTTTCCCAGTATTCACTTTGTTGGGAAAACCAGGACGTATGGTTCTCCTACCCAAAGAGTACTATAGTCTACAGTCTAGACTACAGGCATTAGAAAATGACTATAGGCCCTGGTTGGTATAGCTCAGTGGATTGAGCATGGGCCTGTGAATCAAAGGGTCACTGGTTTGATTCCCAGTTAGGGCACATGCCTGGGTTGCAGGCCAGGTCCCCAGTAAGGGACTCATGAGAGGCAACCACACATTGATGTTTCTCTCCCACTTTTTCTCCTTTCTTTCCTCTCTCTCTAAAAATAAATATTTTTTTAAATGACTATAGAAAAGAGAGACTGGCAGGAACAAAAGGCAATGTTGGAGTCACGTATAAAAGTACAGCTTCAGGCTCAGGCTGACACCAGGTCATACAGAAAACTGTAATTGAACAACAATAAAATAATTTTTAAAAAAGAATGAAAACCACCCAACTTGTAAAGGAAGAGTGTCAGAATGAGCCCAGGGTAGTGTTGCCATTGGGGGTAATTCTTTAGATGCCATGAGGTATAATCAGAGAACTATGATGCCTGTGACCAGGGTGATGGGAACCTTCTCATTGCACTGTGGCCACAGTGCTCTGCATCCCCACACTGACTGGGGAGCCCTGGGCTGCCTCCGCTGGAGAACTTCCCCACTCCCCCGGTGCCCACCTCCACCAGGTGCGGGGCCACGAGGCTCCAGCAGCGCATGACGTGGAGCAGTGGCCTCGATCTGCTGCGCACGATCCTCAGCATGGCGTCCCCGAGGCGGAAGAGGTGCAGGGCACTTTTCCGGTCTTGGGTGGATTTCACTTCTCCTACAGGGAGAGACCATGAAAGCCATCAGGCCCAAACTCAGAAATGGTTTGACCTGTTCAAGCAGAGAGAGGGTGGAAATCAAAGAACTGGACTCAGACCAGCAGGATTATTGGGTGAGGGCTAACCAAGAGAGGAGAGGAGCTTGGATCCAAGAGACTTAGGTGGTTCACTCAACAATTCTCCTGGTCACCATGGCATTTCCAGTGGCTGCCATGACAAGTGTGAACCATGCCTATTGATAAGGGAGGTTGGCACAGTGGCTACATAGGCAGGCTGGGGAGTCAGGCTGCCTGGGCTCAAATCCTGTCTTCACCACTCGGTAGCTGGGTTACAGCAGACCAGAGATTTATGCCTGATCCACAGTTTCCCATTGTAAAAGTGGGGATGATAGGACCCATTTCTTAAAGTTACTTTAGGGATTAAATGTAGTAATACTCATAAAGTGCTTAACACAGGCTCATACTACCTGGCCGGCGCTCTTAGCAATCATGACTATTGTCACTGTCATCCTGCACAGTCACCATCCACTCTGCCAGTCCTTAGTGGCCCCTGTGAAAAGGGTTTCACAAGCAGCCCTTCACAAGCCCCAAGCAAGCTGGGCCCCTTTGCTACCTGATAACATGCTATCTAGCCTGTTCTGCTTTGCTTCAGTACAGTCCTTGCACACTCTGATCTTGTATTCTTTTTTTTTTTAATAAGCAGAAGTATATATTCTCTCAAGGAGCCTACAATACACAAATAAACAGACATATGAATCCATATTCCTTTCACATTCTATGTCAGCTTACAAAAGACAGAGATTTCATGGAGGGTATCTATTCACAAAATACTATTCCTTTCTTGAACTGACAACTAATTACATAGAAATTCAAATATATTTTAACTTGGTAAAAGCCATTAACATATATTTTTTATTGTTGTTCAAGCACAATTATCTCCATTTTCACCTACCTCGGTCCCCATCCCTGCCTCCCACACTCGAACCTACCCTCTTTGGCTTTGTCTTTGCCAGTGTCGCCTTGGTCTTCCCCACTCCCTGTCTACTCATGGCCTGTTGCTTCCCCTTCACTCCCTGCCTACGAAATGCTGATCATTATCAGGCTCTTTTGACCAAAATGCTTCTAATTAGCCTTGCCATATTAAGTAAACTTCAAAATGACAGCAGTAGTAATCGTCAACATTTACTGAACACTCTGCATCAGATATTGTGTTGGTTCTTTGCATCTTTAATCATTTTAATTTTTAAAGCAAACCTTAAGAAATAAATGCAATTACTGCTATTTTAGAGATTAGTAAATTGAATGCTGGAGAGGTGAACTGACTTGTGCACCTGGTAAATGGTGACGGCAACATTTTGACTCATGTCTGATTGATTTCTAAGGCAGTGCTTCCTCTTCCTGGGTCTGCTGCCTCCTCCTGACCCTGCTCATTGCTTTGTGTGAGCTCAGAGCCTGTGATTCCTCCAATGCAAAAGCTGCAGGAGGTGGCCCTAGGCTCAGAGGTGCTCTGGAAGTCTAATGGTTCTGGAAGGTTGGCCTTATATAGCTAAGGTTTTAAAGTCCATTAAAAACTAGTAGGGAAAGGATGGTGGTTCTCAAATTAGAATCTGCATTGAGGATCAAAAGGCCAAAAATATTAACACTTAGAACTTCAGATCCTAAAGGTGGAAGGGACCACAGAGGCTCTGCCACACGGCTCTGAGCCTCTGTCTGAACTCAAGGGGATGAGGTACTTGCTGTTCTAGTCCCCCCACCCCCGTTGATGGTCAGTTGTATTTCTGAGCAGCCTGCCACCCATTTGGGACCACGGGACAATTCAGTACAACTCTATTCCCTCTTCCACAGGTTGGCCTTCAAGAGGGCCTTCATCTGGCCTCATGCAGGAAGACAGTCGTACTGACCCATCACTAAAGGGTCAGTACACAAGAGCAGTTTTTCTAGGACTGGCACGAGGCTCTGTCATCCTTCCATTTCTCTCTCTCGCCCTCATTCTGGAATCAGTAGGTGCTTCTCCAAGTTGTCTGGACTGAGGCGAGTACTACGCTCTGTAATATGGAGAAGGGTTCCCACCCTCATGAGAGCTATCTGCACCTTAGCAGAACCACCTAGCCCAGCTCCAGCGGTAACACCTGTAACGGTGGCAGCAGCGACACTTCTACGCACAAAAACTCATCCCACCCCTCACCCATACACACACCACACCTAAAACTAGAAGACAAATTAGCCAGGGTGACCATGTGCAAAGGGAACGTGGACTCCAGTCTCAGGCAGGCTGTTGATATCGCAGATCGGGGCTGACTCCCACTAACCTCACAGCACGGTTTCTTCCGGGAAGGAATTACCTGGCATGGCCAGCGAGTAATCAACCGTGTCCGTAACAGAATGGAAAAGCTGGGACTGCGACGCTTTCTTCAGCTGGTAAAGAAAAGCTCCCAAAGCCATGAGGTTCAACTTGTCCGTAGCGTCTTCAAAGAGCCTGGATGAGACAGAAAGATTTGTTCCTTGGAAACAGTTCAGCAGAGCCTTTACGGCAGAATGATTACGGTAATTTTTTAGATGTGATTAATGAAAATGTTGTGTAAACACTGTAAGGAAATGTATGGTATCATTATTATCTAGTATGATTGTGTACAAGTTTAATCCAAAGGGCATAAGCTTTATTTAAAAAAAAAAATCCTGTATCTCAGGGCATAGCTCAGCCATTGGAGGCACTTAAAAGAGAAAAAAAAATTGGCAAGAAGTTGAAAGATAGCGCAGCACTGCATCTAGAAACTGAATAAATGGGAGTGGAATCCTTCAAACTAGCTGTAATCTCATGAGCTACATTAAAGAAAACCTCAAGAAGTTAATCTTTTGTCAGATTACAGCTGATGAGCAGAACACTGGGCATGGCTCTGAGGACACCAAACCCATCCTGGAAGCTCCTGAGGGCGGGGGTGACTGTCTTCATCCCCTCCGACTCAGGCACCTGCAGCCCAGGACATGGTGGAAGCTCCAGCATCCACTGGAATAATGAATATTCCTTCACATAACAGACCTTGCAGGTTCTTTTGTTTCCCACTCGGCCGGCACAGACATTTCAGTAGGAGTGAGGGGGGAGGAGCACAGGTAGCAGGGCTCAGAGGAGGGTCCCAGGCTCACTGGCATCCAGAACGTGGGGCTCAGGTGTGGCTTTATGTGGCACACTAGGAATGAGGCGAGCTGGCCTCCCCCTGGACTTGGGTCATCCGAGGCCTGCCCTCCAATCCTGTGGTGACACCAGCAGGGCAAGCCGCCCCTGGGTGCCACGTGCTGGGTGAGGGAGAGTGTCTTTAATAGAAACTAAATAACAAGCCCATTTTGAAGGATCCAGCTGAGACACAAATTGGGGAATTAATCATTCATCAATTATTGTAACTAACTCATTTTTCTTGCTGTTCCATACTTCCAACTTTAACACCATTTGGTGCCTGGATCTCATGAACCATTTCTTTTTCTTCTTTCCCAGTAAGAAAAAACAGCAGTGAGTGTTATATCCCACCTGACACCTGTATCCAAATTCCACGGTACTTTCCCAGACACCTTGTTGGGCAAACGGCAAAAAAGAGATCATTGCACTGAATTAGTACATATACTGGGTTAGCAGATGAAGGGGAAACTGAGTCTCAGAGCAACTACTTATACACATGACCTTGTAGGTGGTTGGGGTCAAAGCCAGGAAAGAAGCGGTGTCCAGAGTTCCAGCCTGTGAGTGTGCTTCCCACTGCTGTCTGTCCTCACCCTACAAACTTCATTGCGCCTGTGCTGGGTGGTCTGGGGCCACCAGCGATGTCTGGAGAGTGAGGTGAGGTGGTCTAACACGCAACTGGTGACCAAAAGCACTTTCAGCATCAACACTGTCACCAAACCGTTGTTGTTTCCCTCTCTCGAACTTAATGTGGTTTGGGGTATCATTTAACAATGTATCACACTCTGGGGTGTGGGATTTTAAAATATTAATTATCACAAAACAGTAGATTTTTACTATTTGCCAAGCTCTGTCCTCAGAGCTTCAAGTGTACTGATTCACGTAACCTCACGGCTACCCTGTGAGAGAGCCACTTCCTGACCTGATTTTATGATAAAGAAAAAAGGTGAAGTTGCCTGAAGTAAGGGAGCAAGGGCGCCCTGCCCCCGGGCCCCCCAGTCTAGTCATTAGACAACAGCTCATTCTAAGGGTGGGGTGCGGCAGGGGACAGAAGTTAGGTTTGAACAAAGTGAAGAGGTTGAAATGGCTGGCCAGCGCATCGAGTTGTCCCAGCGGTGCTTTTGAGACCAGAGGAGACAGATGGCGGTGTAGCCCCACTGGGGCGTGGTGAGGGTGGGGGCGTGCACACATACCTGTCGGCCTGTGTGGACAGCGTGAGCACGGCCTTGGCGGCGCTGCTCCCGGTCATGAGGCTGCCCCCACGGAAGTCGCAGGCCCGGCCTCGGCCGCCTTCCCTGACGAGCTCTTGGATGGAGAGGGGCTGGATGACAGGGGCCATGCTCAGCGAGCCCTCCTGCTCCGGGCTCTGCTCCGAGGGTGAGCCCTCACCCTCCAGGTCCCCGAGCAGTCCAGAGCCACCAGGTGCCTTCTGGGGCTGGCTGATGGTCAGCGCGGGCTGGGAGGTGCCGTCGCTGAAGTGGGTGTGTTCCAACGTGCCCACGTACTCACACACCCTGCAGAGAGTCAGAAGCGAGTTGAAAGTTGCAGCTCAACTGGACCAACTCTGTAAGTCCCACAGTGAGACAGAGAGGAGATGCAGCTAGTTCCGCAGTGCCCCCCAAATTCTCCCTTCCTCCGGTGAGTGCCACCTTTCCCCGGCTTCCCTCCCTCACTATATGTATTTCCGAGTTGGGCCAGACAGCCTGGAATTGGGTAAGGATTCCTCAGCTCCTCCTCCCCTTACTGGGAGAAAGGTGGGCAACAACGCTCTGTTCGCCCCTTCTGTCCGGGGCAGCTGAGTGGCTTTTCTGGAGTTGGGCTGTGTGAGTGGATTTTCCCAAGGGGTCCTCTTCCCGCATCCCCAGTGCTCTGGTTAGGACTTGGCAAGTATTTCCTTACTTTGCGATCCTAGGAAGTGTGCATACAGCTGACAGGCCCTATGACCGCTCTGGGCCACTCTTGGGGTCCTGCCCAGCTGTGGCCCACCTGCTCCTGACAGCTCCATAACCGTCATGGTAAATGTGATGAGTCGCCACCTGTGGCACAGCTACCAACTTCCACACTGTTCCCAACAGACCCTGGGACTGAGATGGTTCACACGAGGCCTCTCGCCCCAGAGGAAGTCCAGTCATGTTAAGGACCATCCTGGAGAATCCACTGTGATATTCTACAGACAACTTTTTATTTCATATAAATTGCCTGGGTATACTTTAAGGCTTTCTCTTTTTCTGTGTTTGCTTGTGAGAGCAACAAAGAGGGTACCAGCCCTCTCCCTGGCCCCTTCTCATCATGCTCCGCTCAAGACGGAGTTTTCAACCCCTGAGCCATCTGCGTGCTTCTCTCTTTTGAGGCTGACAAACACTCATGACTGTAGTTGCTTTCAGGATATTAAACTGAACCCAGAACCCAGATCTGGCCCGTGCCCTGAGTGAGCTGGGGGTGACTGAGTCCAGTGGGAAGCGCCAGGTGCGCACCTGCTGAGGGGGATGAGGAACAGCGAGTGCGGCACCGGACCTGGGCCTGCGCTGGCGGGCAGGGCTCCCTGCACTGTCCCCGGTCTGCCCAGTGAGGACCAGTGCCTGGGGAGGCGCACTCTGTCTCAGTCGTAGGGGGACTGTGGAGCTCTCTCTGCTGTCATTTTATAGGGGCTGTGAGCCGTGCAACTGCTGCGGGGTGGAGGGGTCTTTTCCCTTCCATACTACAAATCTTGGAAAAATTTTTAGTCTGTCTTTAGCACGATGTACTATTCTATTTTCTCCTCTCTCTAGCTAAATTAAAAGTAGGCATCTTGTACTTTATGTGTCCATGTAAGCTATCCAAAATCCTTTTTGAAGTGAAGAGGACATCAGTAAACATAACAGCGAAGTTATATGGCTGATGCATGACCAGCTTTTAGATCTGCATAGTATTTACTTAACTTACATGGCTTTTATCCTCCACTATATAAGAAATTGGTTTTTCTTCCTTTGTAAAATACATCTGCCTCCCACAGCCAATGTTAATAATCTGTTCATAATCCCCTAAATCAAATCCTGTCACTCTGTTCTCTAAGACATACATTCGGTTGGGCCCCTATTCCCTCTTCTCTGTTTAATCTCTCACTTGGGATTGATCCAAACTCAGGGAGTTATCGCCATCTGGTTAAGCACTGGCAGACCCTGGAGCCTAGCCCTTCCGCCACCCCAGGCTCCCGGGGCAGGGTGGGTGCCATGTGGGGCGGTGATCCCGTCGTGCACCTGAACACGTGTGGCCAGCAGTCCGGGTTGTGGCTTCCCATCTCCAGGCCTACGCTGAGGATGGCGTCCATGCACAGGACATGGGCCGTGTGCAGTGACACCCCATGCAGCTTCCCGATCTGCTCCAGCTTCTGCTCCACTTTCAGTTTCACTGTGCCAGAAAGACATTCGTGAAAATAATATTCCAAGTGAGGGAGACAGGACGGGAAGGCGAGAACGCGCTCCCATGCAAGGGCAGAGAGAGACGGTGGACGGCACTGGCAGCAAGTTCCTCGTGGCAGGACCCTGTGGTTCATCGCACACACTCCCCAGCCCTCGGGCCCCCCGGACATTGGAGACTCCAGCTCTGTGGCTCCAGAAGTTGGATGGAACCTGAGCTGGTGGGTGCACTTCCTGCAGGCCCCCTGCTGAGCCTGGGTCAGGCAGAGCACTGTGGGTGGGCTCCATGTGCTGACCTCAGCTAGAGCCATCTGTGCCCAGACCCCTCCCCTGCCCATGTACTCAGACTGGTAATATGGAAGAATCTCTGATGTTCTCTCAGAGACTTGATGTCATGCAGTCATGCAGATCTCACCTAAAAAAGCATATGTGTTACACTCTGAATGCCACAGTGACTGCATTATAACTGAGAATTGCCCTGCCATCACTCCCTGGGATTACATTTATACTTATGACCTTCAAATAATACATTTTTACCGTAGAATATTAATGAGAAAGGATGCAGGTGACTTAAAATGTCAATTATGCATGGCAAGGCCAAATGACAATACCCTCTATGAATAATGGTGTCAAGTCTTTAGAATTCAGGCCTGGTGGGACAACTGGGTCACGGGCCAGAGCCCAGAAATAAAAACGGCGCGCTCGCTTCAGAGGGAGCCAAACAGTGCTGCTGCTGCTGCTGCTGTTGCTGCTGCTGCTGCTGCTCAGGGCAGTCGACTGGGCGCACAGCATTTGCCACATGCATGTGATACTGACTTTATTTTTTATTTGAACGTAACTCTAATATTAGTTTTGGTTTTAGAATTTTAAAAGCTTTCAATGTAAGGATTTTTATGTAATTTATGGTCAGAAGTAAAACTGGGATGGCCTTTTCTCAGTTAACACTGGGACCTGGGACCCGGGACCCGGGAGCGCTGCTTTGCTTTCAGGGGTCTCTACCTAATATTCAGGTCTGAGGACCACGGGCCTAACCTGGTTTTCTCAGCTTCTGAAAGTGTGCCGAGTGTTCCCGCTGCTAGCTGTTCTCTATACACCTGACACATAATATTAGGATAAGCTGGACCACACTTCCCATTTTCCCTTCTGTTTGCTGTTTGCCATTTATCTTCCTTATTAGGAAGGCCATTGTCTTTCCTGATACTTACATCATCCTCCACATCACTGATTAACTGATTTTAACAAGTGAAAATCAACTCTTGCCTGTGTTCACAAAGCTCGAGTTTTTCTCTGACACCAGTCAAGTCTTCCTGAGCTTCAGATCAGGGATTTCTTCTAACTGATTTCCTTCAGGAAATTGGCCATTCTGCCTCCCCTGCTATGACCTTCGATGTCCTCAAAGGTGCACTGTGTCAAGTGCCAAAGCCAGTGGCCAGATGATGACAGAGGTGTGCCTAGCAAAGCCAGGTGGACCTCTGGTGCCCTACACCACGCCTGTTAGCAGCCACGTGGAGCTTCCCAGTCACCAGCAGTCAGTATGTCTCTGGGGGCCAGAGGGTTCTCTGTAAGCAGTCTGTGGGGTCATCTGTGTAAAACACGCCCAAGCCTGTGACCCACGGGGGTCTCATGCTCAGTGGTAGACGTATGCCGTGTATCACACATAGCTGGAGTGTCTGCTCTTGCACATGCAGGTGTGTGCACACTGCACACAAGATACCAGGTGGATTCTGACCCTTCAGCTGTTACCTTGTGCTATGGTATCACTGGGTTCTTGGACTTCCTTGTCCTCTTTCTCTTCCTGGACACAGGAGGCAGCTGCCATTTGTGCAAGGGCCGAGGCGCAGTTAGCCGCAACTCCTTTAGAGGAAACAAACAAGTTACCCCTTAAACTGAGTCTATCCTCTACCTATTCACCTGTCAGAACTCTCCTAAAAGACTGGTTTCCCAATGGGGCCATTCCAGGTACATTCTACAGGGACGCCCCTCAGGCCACAGGTCAGAAAATAACCCCCCACCCCCAATACCTAGAGCACAGCTCAGCCGCGCCGCTTTCCGCAGCCCATCCAGGCTCATGCAGATGGCATCCCGTTCTTTCTGGTTCTGCTCTTTGATGCCTTCGGCTCCCAGAATGAAGGCCAGCCCTTTGGAGCTCCCCGCCATGCGGCCAGTCAGGGGGGTTGATAAAGTATCGATCAAGTTCTTCCAGCAGCCAACCAGAATATAGCGAGCAAATGCCACACCTAGAACATGAAGGGGCATGGGTCACTTTTCGGAGACAAAAACAACTGGGCAATGAATGACAGCATGAGATTTCTTTCACCATCAAAATAGCAATACTGAGTTGTGTGCAATTCTACTACAGGAAATAAAATTTAATGGATTTCACTTTATGTTTATAAATAGTGAATGTTCCATTATCAACTGGACGATGCTAAGTAACTCCCACCAGGCACTTGTTCTGCAAAGACAAAACCTTAATTCATTGATGTCAGTACTGGAAACTGCCAATAATGATTTAACCGCTAGTGCCACGTGTAATATACGTATATTCATGAACTCATGACCCTTACCTGCCACTGTGGAGTCATCAATTCTCCTGCCCTGGGTGAAAGGAGACTCTGTAGATGCCGAGGCCATCAGCTGGCCCCCAATTGCACTGCTCTCTAGCCCATCGATATCTGTCAAGGAAAAAGAGCACAGTTTTCCTTGATGAGAGCAGCCCAGTCACAAGCACACGGCCACCACAGTACTCATTTCTCCCAATGAATACCCCTTGCATCTGTTAAGTAACAAGCATGTAGCAACCTTTCACTGGGATATTAAACATTTTGTTTCATTCATTCAGCCCAGTTTTCCTTCACTGTCAGAACATTCTTCTGTTTAGGCTGCTGTATATTTTTGAATCAAAAAATATAAACTCCTGTCTCTGTTAGAAAGTTTATTGTTTTAGGGTATTAGCTTTGAATACTTTTATTCAAATCAGTGGCATTATTCTCAAATTGTATACATATAGATACTTCAACATGGACTTGTCTTTCAGCGCTACCTCATAAGTATGAAGACTGGAATAGCCTCATTGGTCCAATAACTGTAAAACCTGATTCCAAAGTACTATAATATCTTAATAATAATAACACTTTACAATTTTCAGTTTTCACATAACATTTTTTTTCATTAGATCTTCCCAACAACTCCAGGTAGACAGGCAGAGTAGGTATTATTTTTTTTGTTTCACAGAGCGGGAATAAATACTCAGAGAAGGTGAACTGCCCCAAACCATGAGGCTGGTAAAGGAGGAAACAGGATTTAGCAGTTATGTCTTCGGCCTCTTCTCATGACACCAAACTCCAGCTCAATACGGGATCCAAATTCACCTTGTTTAAATTTTTGTTAAACTCTTACCCACAGAATCAGCTCAACAAACCAATCCCTAACATGCTGCCAAGAAAAAACTGGCTTGCGGCTGAGACGACTAGGCTTCAGCCTTGGCTCTGGATTAAGCAGCCTGGTAGCCCTGAGTCAGGTACTCCACTCTCTGGGCCCCAAATTCCTCAGCAGAAACGAACCAGCCATTGGAGGAGTGACCATGGGGTAGAAGCATCTGTACTTGGATGCAGTTAACACAGTTGAATGCAGCACAAATGGGGAGAGGGGAATGGGTAGCATAAGTTGACTCCTTGACTTTAGAACTTCACCCTCGGCCCAGCAGGATGGTGTTTGAAAATTATTTCACTATAATTTTGATTCTTACACTGACTCTAAGAAGCCTAGAGACTTCTGGCAACAAATCTCTTTGAAACTTGCTAAGAGAGTAGATCTTAAGAGTTCTCATCACAGAAAAAAAATTGTAATTACGTGTGGTGATTGATGTTAACTAAATTTACTATGGTGATTGTTTTGCAATATACACATATATCAAATTATTATGGGTACACCTTGGACTAAAACAGTATCATACATCAATTATATTCCAATAAAACCAGGAGGGAAAGCAGGGGAAAATACATATATTACTACCAAAGTGGGAACAGATGAGCTTCATGAAATTAATATGACTTATGGTCAAACAGTATAATGAGTTATTAGAAATTGCCATTTATCAAAGTTATAATGTTGCCAGAGTGCTAGGTAAAGGACTGACAAATTCAAGTAATGCAAAGTTTATCTGATCACTGACTCCACAATTCTACAGAGCACTTTGACAGAACATAGGCGTGGCCACAGTTAGGACAGGGTTAAAAGTCAGATGGCTGCCATAGCTTTTCGGTGTGCATAATGAAAGGATGCGATGGATGTTTCCAAGTTCTAGATTAACTGCTGCTCAGATTCACTTGTCACTTCATCATCGGAACTTGCTACAAAAAAGTCATAAAGCTTAATTTTGTCTAATTCTTATGAAAAGCCTGTTTTTCTACCATTAATCTAAGTTAGATAACTTCCCAATGGACATAGCAACTGAGCTTACTGTTCCATTAGAAATGAGAATGGCTGATTAACAGTGATGACTGATGAATGCGGCTACAATGGGCAGCTTGTTATTTGTTCATTCTTACACCTGCTGAATGAGTCCTTTATTTAAGGTTCAAGCAAGAGATTAATTCTGGCACAAACTTTGGTATTTTAAAATTAATATTAAACCTGGAATGTTTGGGTCTTCACCCAAACCCCAAGGCATTTCTAAGCCCTGCACAAGTACCTTTGACCCCCACTGAAGGAAGCTGAGGGAGATAGATGGAAACCAAGAACTGCTTATAGGCAGAATGAATAAATGTCTCACAGTGAAGAACTCATACCTTTCAAATAGATGTAAATGTTACCATGACTAATAAAATGTAAATCTGTCACTTATCCAGTGATTCTGATCCCCATGGCTTAGGATCCGGCCTAGCTTGTCCCAAATCCCACCCTGGTTCTGGAATCAAGGGCTCTACCTGCAGTGGAGAGACCTCATTCTACATCTTGATTCCCTGCCTCATTCCTGAATAGTTGCAAACCCCTCCTCGTTGGGTCTCCTTGCCAGTTGTCCCCTCTGCCGCCTTTGTAAGAGCCCCCAGTGGCAACCACAGGCAACATAACATACCCTTCAGGCAACAGACCCGGCCTCCTCGCTGGGCTGTGCTGCCCCAGGCCAGTGCTGGCCCTTCCTGTCAGCGTGCCCTGCCCGGTGCAGAGTCATGCTGGGCTGTGAGGACAGGTGGCAGTACAGAGAGGGCAGGGAAGGCATCGATGCAGGGCCGTAGTCCACACATTCGGTCAGTTGGAGCTATTGACGACATTGCTCAGATCAGTTCCAGGTCTGGGGACTCAGGCTGAATACAGGACAAGCCTGGAGAGCCCCTTGTTCAGGCTACTGACAACAAGACCAAACTTTTGAGCACTCCTTGATCATTACCTGACATCATGGTTAAGCCAAGTGAAGCTATGAATGGCTGCTTTCACCAAAAACGTGCTTAATGGCCACACCCCACCATGTTCTCTGTGGTCCCATGTGGAATTTCTGATCATTTGGTAGGATTTTAAAAATTCTGGACACTGAAGACTAATATGCTGAGTAACTACTTGATATTATTATTATTTAATCCTCACCCAAGGATATGTTTTTTTAAAAAATTGATTTTAGGGAGGGAGGGAGAGGGAGAAAATCAACGTGACAGCAAAACACTGATCAGCTGCCTCCCATGTGAGCCTGAAGATCAAACCACAAACATTTTTCAGGTGTACGGGCAACTCTCCAACCAACTGAGCAACCTGGCCAGGGCTACTTGACAGTATTTTCAATTCCAGCACAGCTGGAAAGGGAAGGAAAGACCTCTGATATGGACAAGAAATGGGAATGAAGCCAAGTTTAAAATCATATCATTTCACATTATTGGCAAATTTCTAGTGGCACTGAATGGTAGAACATAATATAGAGAATAGTATCTATTAGTACATGAGAGTTCTCAGGAATAATTCTGGGCTTTGTGCCCAGAAAATACTTCATATCCCAGAAAAGGCTAACCGTCGTCCACCAACAGCTGTAAGTGCTAAGTAACCGCTAATCGAATGGGGCACAGTGGGCTCCGCAGAGTCTCACATGGAAAAAGGACAGAAAGCTCTTGTGAAGTGAGTTCGTGACACTTTTCTGAAGTTGTCACCAACCTCCAAGGCACTTTCATGGGTGCTGTTTTAACCAAACACCATTGCTTCCCTGAAAGGGGGTTGGAAGACTGAGCCATCCACCCCATGGAGCGTCACGGAGCTGTGGAAGGAGCCACTGACCGGTCAGCATGGTGATGAGCGGAAGGCTGTTGTCCTCTGGGCTGCCCCAGTAGCCAGCTTCCCCCAGCATGTTTCTGTCGAGCACCTGATGGTAGAGTTCCTCGATCCAGGCCTGGGAGAAGACCATCACCACCCCGCTGTTGTGCACCTGCTTCGTGAACTCTTTCTGCAGAGAAGATCACAAGACAAGGTGACCAAATCTGGTCCCCTGCAGACAAAGAGCCTTCTACACGCTGCTGCTGCCTCTTCCCCTCCCATGTCCCCTGAGTCAGTGCTTGCAGGAAAAACAAAACCTCATGAATTGAGGAAAGGAGGAAACCGAGATAGAGAAGTCCCCAAACTTCATGAAGTTTCTTTCATGTACGACATCTTGCTAAGAAGCCCTGTTGAAGGATTAGGGATGCCACATTTTGTACTTTTTACTCTTTGACGTGTGTGAGGACTAGAAACTGCACAGGAACACTGAAGAAGGCTCCTCACTGCCCAACAGCACCGGGGATGGGACGTCCTCCCCGAAACAACATGGGCGTTTCAAGAGATACTCATACTCATGAAGCCACCACTGACCTGGGAGAACTTACACTTTATCAAGCACAGGTATGATGGCTGATACCCTTCATGCACACCATGGATTAGGTTCATGAGCTGACAACTAGGTTATACCACCAAGTGGCTTGCTATGCAGGGGAGCGGAGCACAGGACAAGCACTGTGCTTCTCATCCCATATCTTACAGGAGGAGCTTTGTTGTTGACAATGAATAAGCTTAGCTCTGGGTGATGAGCAGGTCTGGGCACATTTTGGAAGACATTGACAAGTTTTTGTAAAAGACACCTTCATTTTCAGCAAAGGGGACCCTTCTCTGCACCTCTGCTGCTACTTAACATGCTGACCATGTGTTTTTGAACGTGTCTCATGTGTGAGTTTGATATTGCTGCCATGGCAGGCAGCTGTTTGCAGGCACCCTGGGTGCTGCAGTCTCAGCGTGTGGCTCTGCAGCTCAGTGCGCTGTGCAAATCGCATCTCGTCTCCTCCCACCCTCCGTAGCACCATCCCTCACTGGGCACTGATGCTTGGCTTTCCAGCCCAGGGACCACCGCCAGTCCTCCGAGGGTCCAGCGCAGAGCGCACACTCACCAGCATGCCCGGCGCCAGGGAGGGCCGCTTCCGGTAGTAGTCCCCGTGGGAGAGCTTCAGGTTGAGCAGCAGAGCACAGTGCGCAGCCGCATACAGGCTGTCCGCGTTCATCAGCATCTGCAGGCTGAGGCTGCTGTTCCCGTCAAAGCCCGGGGAATGCATCATGCCTGGGGGAGAGCACGAGAGACCTCAGAGGCTGCCAAGGGGGCACTTGGCAAGACTGGCTTACGGAGAGCCAGGAAGCAATCCTGGTGAGAGGAACATGCATGGCGTAGGACATTTCTGTAAAGCGACGACACCCAGCAAGGCCTGTCTCTGGAGATAGCGACACACCCCAGCCTGATGGGGCAGGGCATATTCTCGGGGGTCCATCTTCCTGGACAACTCTTGATGCCACTCACCAGCTACTTTGGTGAAATCACTGAAATCCTCTAAAAGTCAGCTTCCTTACCCAGAAAGGAGCAGAATATTTGATGACGTGTAACTCCTGCTCAAACTCTTCAATGGCTTCCTATCACAATAAAACAAAACTTCAGCCCCCCTTCCTCTCTCCTTCCACTCCCTGCACCACGCTGACCTGTTCCTTTATCGCACCAAGCCAGGCCTGCCTCGGGGCCTTGGCATTTGTTTTCCCTACTTCCCAGAATCCTCTCCCCAGATCTCCAGATGACTTGCCACCTCGATTCTCTCCCACTGAAGTGTCAGCTGCTCCGAGACCTTCCCTTTCAGCTCCATCTAAAATAATGACTCCGCCTACTTTCCGCCTCACCCTGATTTTTTTCATGGCCTCAGTGATATTTATTCCACCCAGCATTATATTCATATGTAATTTGTCCATTGTCTGTCACCACTGCTATTATCTACTGTTATCTAAGATCTGTGAGAGGGTGGGACTTTGTTAGTCTTGTTCACGAGATTCCCCAGTGCCTAGAAGAGGGCCTGGTATAGAGCACACCTGCCAAACAACATTCGCTGAATGAATGAATAAGAATCAATGAACTAGATGCAATTATGCGTGCAGGATATTTCGTACAGTCACTCATAATAACATATATTTCTAAAAGTAATAATCTTCTTCAAATTTGGGGTAACAAACTATGGGAACCACAGCCTTTGACATATTCTGGCTATTGGTTTTCCCCCCCAGTGGTCTATGAAGCTCATTCTCTCCCTCTGTTACTAAGATGGGCTTTACGCAACAAGCTGAAAGGATGTGGTAACTTTCAGCGCTTCTGCGAGTGCATCTGTGGAATAAATTCCTAAGAGCAGAATGAAGACATATATTAAATTTGATCGATACAACCAAAATATCTCCAAACAATTGTATACCAAACCTTCCTCCTACCAACTATGCGTAAGTAAAAACACTTCTACTCAGCATACTGGACACCATTGATTTTTTTAAAGCTTTGTAATCTGATGAAAAGATTTGCTGAATAACAAATTTCTTTAAGTCTAAGCTACTACTTTTCTGGTGAGAGAAGTTACAAGAAACTTTTCTTAGTGACTTGGAAAAAGGCAAAAGAAGAAAATGAAAACAATCTATAACCATACTATTCTGAGATAAGTATTAATATTTTGATGTTAATTCTGAACTTTTAAAAATTATATTATGGCCATTATCCATATCCATATCATTAAATATTATTGCAAAATACCATTTAAAGAATGTACACTAACTCATTTAACTTTTCCCTTATTCAGGGGCATTTAGGCTATTTTTAATATTTTTTGCTGCAAAATAATGCATTTTGGCATACAGATCTTTACGTGAGTCTGTTTTCTCAGTATAGATTTCCAGGAGTCCATGAAGAACCAGCTTTCCATGAATGTCTGCCTGCCAGGACCTGGGAAACTGTCACACAATTGCTGAGCTTCAGCATTTCCGTCTGTGACTGGTTTCTCACTGGGGCAAACTGACTCCTGGGCTGTGCTCTTCAACAGCATCTTTGATTTTCCCAGCCACGCATCCGCCCCTGGGCCAGACCACGCTCCCTGGTATGGTGCAGGGTGATGGGAAGAGCGTGGTGTCTGGAGCCAGGCTGTTCCTGTCCTGGCGTCACAGCTGTGCACCTTGGGTAATTACTACTTAACCTCCCTATGCCTCAGTTTTCTCATCTGTAAAATGAGGGTGACAGTACTGCCTACACTATGGAGCTATTAGGAGCATTTAAGTGAATCAATACACGTAAAACTCTTAAACCATGCAGGACATACTGGAAGTGCTATGTTAGTGTAAGCTATTATTATTATTGCAAATACATATACATGCTGAAAAATGACTCTAAGACATGGCACCAAGATATTTCAGAGACAATATCTGGGTGTGTATTTTTGTTTTTATTTTATATTTATATTATCGTATTCTCTGAACTTCACATTTCATAAATGCCAGGGTGTTGGAGGAAAATTTTGTTACATTTTCCTGCATATGAAATACTCTCTTCCTTTATTAAAGCAAACGTCCAAACTCATCTCTTCAGGCTCATGACTGAGCACCACTGATCTAAAGACCTGCAATCTCAAAGCCTAGTGCTCATGCCCCTCCATCAACTGCTGTGTGAGGTTAGCTCTTGTTTTTAGTCCCCAAGGAGCCACCATACACAGATGCCAATTTGTTCTATGCAGGACCAGGGAGGCATTTCAGCAGCTATCACAGCTCACATCCACTACCACCTTTATAAAACCCACATTTGTCTGAATGCTGTCACACTCCCCTACCACAAGAAACTTTATTTGCTTTAAAAGAAAAGGCTCCCGTGACCTGCACAGAAATAAGGAGGCTTGTTTAAGCTGTATGTTAGCCTCTGAGAACAGGGGTCCCAGAGAAATGCCAAGAGTCTGATCACAGCCAGGAGAGCAGAGCCTGGTGACAAGTCAGGGAAAAAGGCTCGATGGAAGTTTTTGGCAACACAAGGTTTAATGCTTTTGACATAGAGTAAATAATGAGTAAAATATCTAGATCGTGAATTAAAGAGACTCTTTGCCTCCTCCCCTTCTGCTGTTTTCACTTTTGTAACTTTCTTTTGAGTGAATAAAGAAAACCTGCCATCTTCCTCATCTCAGATGGGTACAGATGTTTCTCTTTTACATTTTACAAAATGTTGATCTTTCATCTTGGAAGGAGAGCATCGCCTCGGTGCAGCGGTGGACTGGGCCAGCACCCAGGGGCTGTGGCTGAACCATGGTGACAGTCAGTGTGATCCATTACACCACAACAGGAACTGAGGAGAATTAGTCATTAGTGACAGGACCACAGACCGATGGGTTTGTAATTTGGAAAGAGACCAACTCCTAACTGGTAAAAGCATTGCGGAGGTGAATACAATGAAAACAAATTACTAATATACAGTCACTAAAAATTATATTTGGAAACAACCAAAAGATTCTGACATCTCTTTTCAACGTATTGATTTCTACATGTAAAAATTAATGTCATAATATATTGGGTTTGATGGGACATTTTATAGAATGAAATATGAACAGTTTGCAACATCTATGGAGCCACATAAAACATTTTCTCAAGTTCCGTTTTGCATGTACTATAAGAATTGTTTTAAAAGGCACAAGAACACAAATGTAAAGACTCACTTTAGCTTCAAATTTTATTAAAAAAAAACTTTGCTAGGATTATGCTTCCTACTTCTCATAGGAAATGAGGAGGGGCCCTTGGAAGTCCGTTAAGCTGGACTCCCCACTGGTGTCAGAGACTTGCTTGTTGTTACAGGGAAAAACCTCCACAAAGTTGGCGACCAGCAGTGTCTAAAGTGAAGTGTTCGGTGTGACTAGTAAAGGACACACACGGGGGAGAAACTCAGAGTAGGAAAGAACTGGATCTTCCCTACATACATAGGAAAAAGCTTGGTTTTGCATTTATAAGTACCTTGCAAGGAAATTACCTTTAAATTCATCACTCACAGTGTGACAGTTTATTTCCCTGTACTATTTTTTTCCCTCCCTCCACCCAAACTCTGCGAGGCTGTTTTCTCCCTTCACTAAAACTAGCATAACTCTCTCGTATACTCTGGCCAGTATTCCCCAGCTCTCCCATTTAAGTATGGCCTGGGTCACAATGTTCACACTTGACAGAGACAAAGGGTCCGCGGTGGGAGAAGGTGATGTTACCAAAGTGCACTGGAGTGTCACCCAGTTTGGGAGTTCAGAGCACACTGGGGAATTGAGAACATATCGGAAACTTCAGACCCTACTGGGACCCGGACAGCCTGCACCTGATCCAAACCCTCACCTGACCTGAGAGACCTTATTCAAAACACTCTGCATACTGATGCACCAAAGGTGTGTTCAGTGTGATTTTTAGACACTGAGACCTAGAAGCATTTTAAAAATTCAGTTTTGTGAGAGTTCCATTTTGTTCAAGTCAGCAGCAACTTTCTAGAATGCAGCTCTTATTCTTTATTTCACACAATATACACTTATCACCCTCCAAGTATATATTCCAGACATCAACTGCCTATAATTCAAATAAACCACCACCAGTAAGTTTTACATTCCTTCACTCTCTTTAAATATAAGAAACCTAAAGATTCATTAAGTTGCTTGGAGGACTTTGCCCAAGTACGACAGTCACTGCCCATTAAGGCAAAATAATCTAAATATTCTTGATGACTACATAGGAAAAACTGTTCACCAACCTGAGCAGAAGGTAGAGGCGAAGTTCTGGAGGGCGGAGTCTACCTCTTCCACGCTGGGCAGGGCCAGGAGGCGAGGGAGGAGGCTTTCGAGGGACTGCACGAAGAGCCTGGCGCTGTGCTGGTCGGCCTCCTGGTTCTTTAGCAGTTTGAGAGACAGAGCCGCAGTCCGCAGGGACCTGTGGCCCAGGCAATCCCGAGGCGTCTGCTCCTCATCAGCCAGCGAACAGTTGTCCGACCCAATGTCCGACACGTCAGATCTCCCTGAGTCCTTCTCTGCTGCCATTGAGTACTGATCACAGGAGTCAAATTCCGTCCTGGAGAGGTCCTGGTCATCCACACTGAAGTTGCTCTCACTGTATCTGGACCCGTAGGACCTCATCCTGCAGTCCACCGACAGGAAGTTAGTTATGTCAGGGTAAGCAACGGTGTGGCTTCTCTGAACGACGTCTGGCTGGTCTACCGCTTCTGGTTCTAACACTTTGCTCAGTGTCTCCTTGCTCTCCTGGATGGCTGGGGATCTGAGGCTATTCTTGGGGTTTTCGCAGTGGTCCTCGGGTGTGGTCTGACCCAACTCTCCCTCCAAAGTGGTCTGGCCCGTGTCTGTGGTCACACTAATGCTGATGTCAGGGCTCCTCTCATTCCCCGACTCCCACGGCGTGTGCTCTGAGGACAGGACCCGCCGCTGCCAGCGGAAGTCGGCCTCATTGATCTCCATGGAGTCCCTGCTCGACTCAGCCCCATCCTTCAGCTCCTCCAGGCGCAGAAGCAACAGCTGCACCTGACCTTCGCTCAAGCCCTTGCCCTGGCTGAGCTCATCTAAGGCCCCAAGCAAGGTGCAGACACAGGACACGGCGGCATAACAAGCTTCGATGCCACCCTTGATGCACGCTTCGGTCATACCATCCATGATGCTAAAAGTGTTTACAGGAGAAAATGGCATTGATACATAAGACATGGAAAAATGCTCCAAAATGAACAAGAAGTGTTAGACTGGTGAACAGTATGCAAAACATACACTCTAATTTACCTGAAATGAAATGGCCTGGGCAAAAAGTTACAAAAACAAATGCGTGCAGGCTGGCAGAGGAAAACCTCCGGGCAAAGCAGCCCACCCTGAATCACGCTCTTGGGGTTGGCTGCTTTACTGGGGTACAAACAAAATTCCAGATGGGAATTTATAACCTTCACAAGGACAGGCAATGAGTAGCCTCACTGTTGTATTATGTTTGGTTTTCAAACAGAAAGTTTGAAAATTAATGGATATGATTATGGTAATGTGTGCATCTTCTATAAGATAAACATATTCCTGAATAGATGCATGCAAATACGGCTGTTACAACTCAGATAAGATTTAATTTTCTAGGGGGAAAGAAAACCCTATAGCTAAAAGGTATCCTATAACTAAAGAAGGAACCCTATAGCTACTGTAATTAATTCAGAAAGTTTTTCCCTAAAATGACTCCAATAAATAATTTTTGTACATTTCATTAGGTACATTGGGTTTTTTAAGTCAATGTGAAAAACTGTATGTGTATAATAATTTGGGATATGACTTGTCATATGGTCTACGGGTACATTATTAAATAGTCACATTTCATATAGTGTAGATTCATAACATTTCAGGCATTTCAAAACAAGGCTAAGAGTATTCAAAGAAGCAGTCTTTGTCAAGCAATATGGACCTAAAAATGAGAATGAATCATACAGTTTGAGAAGATCCAGATGAGACTTTCTTTTTGAAATGGATCTTTTCCTGGTCTCGGGTTCAGTGGAACTGGGTCCTGCCAAGTCGCAGAGACGCTGAGGGCTCCCAAGTAGCTGTAATAAAAAAGGGGAGGGGGGATAATGGAAAAGTGAGCACCACAAAGCACAAGGTTTTAAAACTGTGAGATCCAATGAACCTGTACTTTCTCCATGGAGTGATACAGTCTGAGGAGAAGCCAAATCTTAATAAAACTGACCTGGGTGATCTTCTTGATGCAGAGTACACATGGGGTTCCCAGCTCCCCATTTCAGGGCTGGCTTAGACCGAGAAAAGGCCTGATGATTGTTTCACATTTTTTATAGCACAGGATGTGAAAGCACTTTTGTCAATGCTCTTCAGGGAGGCTGACCCGTAATTTAACTGTCCTATACTATACTTTCTCGGTCTTATTTTGCTATCATGTTGGCTAACTTTAAAAAATGGGTTGACAGGTATTCCCTCTTCCTACTCTCTGGAAAAGTTCAAGTATCAGAATTACTCATTTCTTGAGTGTTGGTATAACTTGTTTTTAAATCTATATGGGATCAATAATTTTTTTCTAATGGAAAGATTTTAACTGCTGATTTAATTTCTTTAAAGGTAATGGGACCATTTAAGTGCTCAATTTCTTCATGAGCCAACTTTTTAAAGGTTGTGTTGTTTCCTAGGGATTTATCAATTTTATCTAAATTACCAAATTTCCTGGACTACAGTTGTCTTAATACCTTCTTTAATATTTATAACATCCATAGTTATGTGTATTTTCTCATTTTTATTTTGCTTTTTAAAATTCATTTTAGATGATTTGATTGCTTTTGCCATGAGTTTTTAAATTTTCTTAGTTTTTTCTGGGTCCTGGTATTTCTCACTTTATTGATTTACTACATTATATTTGTTCTTTATCACATAACTTTCTGCTTTTATCCTTATTTTTCCTCCCTTCTGCTTTCCTTTAATTTAATCTGTTCTTCGTTATCCAACTACCTAAGGTAGAGAGTTAGGACATGAATTTAAGGCTATTTTTTAAATATAAGCAATTGAAGCTATAAATATCCTTCTGTGTACTGCTTTGGCCACATCCTACCAGCTCTCATGCATACAATTTTCATGATTGTTCAGTATTCATTTTTATTCCTATGTGATAGAAGTCTTTAAGGAAAATTTCTATTTGAGGCTAATTCAAGAAAAGACTGGTTAATTAAGTATATTGGAACAAATGCCTATGCCTATGTCTATTATTTTCAAAGTGAATTACATTTGCAGGAAAGGTATTTTCAGTCAAAAAAGTCACATCTGAAAGGGCACTATTCTTTTCCTCTTTCCATATTTCTTTTTACCCCAGAAACTGGAAACTTCTATTCTCTTGGAGGCACAGAACTGAAGCTTCCACTTTTTTCTTCCCATTATATTTCTTTGACATCGAACCCTGTCCCTCCCCGACACACACACACACACACACACACACACTGCCAGGCTGGCACCCAAGTGAATGGCTGGGCCTGTGGACCTCTAGCTGCCCCAGCTCTTGCTGGAAGGGTAAATGCATTTCAGAGGGAATGGAGGGGAAAATAGCACGTTCTTAGAATCCATTACATTCTCTGATCTAGCTTTACCAGTAATAAATTAGATTATATAAATTCCCCCATTAATCTTGTACTTATTACTCAGTTGTTTCCAAATCTGAAGGGAAATAGAACTGAATAGTTAAGCTTCTGAAGGAAAACTGTCCTATGTGTCTTTGATTAATAGGCACACAGTGCACGTGGCAGAAGGACAAATTACAAAGAGAACAGGAAGTAATGCACCACACGTCCAACAGGCTAAACAAACATCCTGGGTGCCCAGTGGTTTCCTTTGTGTGAGGAAACCCAGCCCATTTTGGTTCCTAGGTTACCAATCCTCCCGAATTGCTAGTGCTGTCACAGTAAGCGGAGGCACTGAGTTTCAAAATAACCTGGCTCACGTCAGTCTGCTCTGCTCACCCCGTAACACTGCTTGGACACGCTACCTAGGTGCTGGTGCCTAATGCCAGCCTTGCCCTGCGAAATAACCCTGGGAAACTAGAACATCTACGGAAAGGGGGAAAACACAACTACTTTCCTTTGAGTAATAAAGAAGCTATTTAAAATGCATCTAGACACCTACATACCCTGTGGGCAAAGTATTTCCTTAGCATGCAGGTACCAGGTGGCTCTACCTTGGGCAGCAACAACTCCAGTGCCCATCAGCTTCGAGGGGGGAAGAAAGGTCGCTGCTGCTTACAAAACACCCTCTTTGCAGATAGGCTGTTCTCAGCTCTGCCATAGTCATAATATATTAAATGCTTACTCTGATTCAAGCATTGCTGTGCCAGGTACCCAGGGAAACACACAAAAGCAATGTATACAAAAATATATTTCAGAGATGAGACGTTTGGTCCACATTGAACTGTGAAACAATCAGTGTGTTGCCACATATAATCAATTGTAAGTGGGGGACATGGGCTTTTAAGCACAGCAAAATCAGTGGTCTGAGGCAGCGGAGCCATGGAGGAGGAGGATTTTGACAGCAAAGAGGCAGCTGTATTTAGAACACCAGAGCTCCTGTTTTAACTGCTACTAACAAGGACTTGGCGTAAGTAACCACCTCTCATGGAGCCTTAGTTCTCCATCTGGAAACTGGGCAGATCACCTTCCTAAGGGAGATTGTGAATGAGCTAATGGGAGGTGCCAGCTACATCCAGCCTGTTATAATCAAACACCCAACTCTGATAAGTGGAAGAGGCTAAGAGGACCCAGGGAGGGGGAGTCTGAACAGAGGCAGGACAGTGGGAATTGAGAAGAGGAGACTCGGTCAGATGGAATAAGTGTGATCCTGGTAAAAGATGGGAAATGAGAAGAAGACAGAACAGTCGAGAAAGTGAGCAGAGTCATTCAGACTTGAGAGGCAATAAGGAGCCATTAGAGAGTGGCAAAATTGTCCAAAGTAGTGATTTCTGAGCCCGAGTCCGGAAAGACAAAAGGAAGATGGCAAGCAGGAGAGGGAGGAGCTAGATCTGCTACACTGCTCTGGGCAGGTGGGAATGAGGGCCAGCTACTCCAGTCTCCGTGCTTTGTTTTTCTCCTCCTTAGGGCAGCAATAAGTGCATCAAATATTTGTTTAGCACTTTATACTTACAATGTACTTATACAAACTTTATCACATTTTGAACTTGCACCCTTTGGAATGTTACTACTATGTACAGATGAAAAAACTATAAGTTCAGAGTTAAATAATTTAGCTACTATAATGTAGGTGGTGAGTTACACAGAGAGAATTTGAACTCTGGCTCTTAAACTTGGGCTTATGAAAGGAGTCACTGAGCTGGCCCTGGCAAAGGAAGTCCTAGAATCATTTGCATTGTCAAAGTCAAGTCCAGTAGTAAGTGTGGTGGAGAAAATGACCATAGGTTTAGGCTCAGAAAGACTAGGGTTCATATCATTTCTCTCCTTCTTTGTGACCTTGGACAAATCATTTGACTCTTTGAAGACTTAGCTTCTTTGCCAGAGGGAAAATTCTTTTTTTCTGACATCATGTTTCTACTGGGAGGGACATCCAGTGGAATAAAGTTCTGGGCCTCTATTCTCTCACTTCTTGCCAATAGAGGGGTGGTCTGTGATCTGACTGATGAATTCAACAGAAAGAGCTGAGCATGTGCGGCTAGCTTCCTCCTCTCCCTTTTTTCTTGAAGATCTGCCTATTCATAAAAAGTCCATTTCTACTCCCCAGGTTACAAGCTTAACAGGCAGGGCCGGGTCTCCAGGGGGAGGGCCACTGCTGTCTGGATGGTGACAAAGTAGTCTAGTCTCACTCACTTTCCAAACTGTATCGTGTTCACCGACCTAGTATTAATCAGTTATTAAAGTTGACCCTTTGATCTCCATTTCCTGAAATGATGATGCTCAACATTGCAAAGTTATCTTGACTATTAAAGCAAATGTATGTGAAGTGCCTGGCATATAGTAGGTGAGAAACAAAACTAGTTATTATTGTGTGCCCGGAGATTTTCTTAACCAGCAATTAACTCCGGTTCACTTTTACATTTCTAGAAACGATGGGTCAGAACTTTCCATTATTCATTACTGTCAAATCTCATTACAACACACCAAGAGGCATTTCAAATCAAGCTTTCTGGAATGGTGAGTAGCAACTGTTGCTTCAGGTAAGTGAACCATCAACAAGGGAATTGTGTCACTGTTGTTTCTGGGGTTAGGTACCAAGGGCAAATGCAATTTGACTTTCACAAACAAGTTTGCAAATACAAAAACGTTGATTGCTTTTTTGGGGTTAGTTGAGAGAAAGCAGATAAATCTCTGTTTAAAGCACCTTCAAAATAATACCAATTCCTCTTCAAAGCCATGCAGAAGCACACTGGGATGACTCGTATAGGCCGGGCAACCTTTACATTCTCGCTGGGGTCACGATGCTTGGGAGATAGGAGGCCTAAGAAGGGATGGGGCAGGGGGCTTCCTTTCACCAACCAGAGATTAGTAATGCTCTTTTTTGGATAATGTACATCCTGGGTTTAACAATTTTGAAATCCAGTTTTGGCAAAGTGAATAAATATATGATGTATCTGCACAAATAGCACGTAAGGGGGCAGAACAAAATCTAGCCCAGGGCTCAGTTAGATGCATGCAGTTTAAATTATCAAATGGCTCTGCATCAGCGAGCACTTACCCACCACTCCTGATGCTGGCTCCCAACACATGCGTATAGGCACCCACGTGCCTGCGTGCATGCACGTGCACACACACCACTCAACCCTAGAGAGACTACCTGTTACAGGATACGGTGTGGAACAATTGTGGAACAATTAAGTTCTAGCAGGTGAATGACAAGCACTTTCTGAGTGCTTCCTGCCTGCACAACACTGCTCAGATTCCCCGGCAAGCGCCCTGGTATCCTTCAGTGTATGCCTACCTCCTTCATTACTTTGATGGCTTCCACTCGGTGCTGGGGCGGGGGATAGAGCAGCACTCGGTGATAAAGGGACTGGAGCACCGGCTTCATGGAGTCTACCGACCCCACCAGCCGGACCAACTCAGCTGCAATGTAGTAGATGGTACGAGCCACAGGCCCGCTCAGCGCAGGCGCAGTGGAGGAGCAGCCCGAGCCCCGGCCGTGGTCAGAAACTCCAGGAGACGCGGAGTCCGAGTCCATGCCGGCACTCGGGTTGCTATGAGCGGAGGTGATGGTTTTGTCATGAATTGGATTCCCCAGGATCACAATGAGAGCAGGGCAAAGGTTTTTCCTGGGAAGAGATGGGGAGAAAAATAAGTTTCACTACAAGCCGAAGGAGCAAATGTAAATCCTACTGAGTGCAAACACCAGACGCCACACAAATAACTGTAGAGTTGGGTTCTTTACGCTCCTTTTTTGGCTATATCCTGCCCCAGTTTTCCATATCGCTCCATCACGGCTGGCCATATGAATAAAACACTTCTCCTAAGTCAAGCTAGGGTTAACTAAAGAAAGTATCACGAGACACATCAAGAAATCATCTTGCATAAAGAAATAGACTCAAAATGTGAAATGGCTGTTAGAAAGTTTCATTTTACTGTAAGTAACAAAATTATTTTGAGAAGTTAATTTAAAATTCTGACACGTGTCATTCACATTCCTCCCTGGGGATAAGCCCAGGAACCCAGAGCAGCCAGCTGGCTGCCTGCGGGCCCGTCACTCGTGTGAATCTCTGACTGTGACTAAGTCACTAGTATTCAAGTTAAAACAGAGAATGTACCAAGAATAATGCTCAGAACCTCTTGCCCACCCCCTGCATAACTTTCTGAAGCCTCAATATGTTTTTAGAACAAGTAAATGACTTAAAAAACAATCTCGTAGTTTCTGAGTCTTATGTTCCTGCGATGTAAACAAAATGCAAGAGGGCCTTGGAAGCCTGTTTTGTTTCAGTGATCATCAGTGTCTCTCTGGTGCATGTAAGCAAAGCAACTTCTCTACTTCCCCTCAAAAACATTTACCCACAGACGAAACCACTGGAGGGGTCGTGGATGCTGTGGGAAGGGACCCTCGGACACGGCTGGAAGGGGAGAGCCCCTCGGGCTGGCATGGGTGCTGGGAGGGTGGGTGCTCACCAGATCAGGTCGGTGAAGCCTCTGTGCAGGTGCATGGAGAAGGAGGAGCTGCTGAGCACGGACAGAATGCACTCCAGGTACAGAAGCTGCAGCTGCTGGCTGTCACTGCAGAGGGACACCGCCAGGACAAGGCATGATTACGAAGGTGGCATGGACAACATTTGGCAAATGTTCGGCAATACAGAAATGTTAATTTTGGTGGTGCCATTAGTGTTAGGGGTTGAATCATGTCCCCCCTCAGAACATGACCTTATTTGGAGGTAGGGTCTTTACGTAGATAATCAAGTCAACATAAGGCCACTAGAGTGAGTCCAAATCCCATATGACTGGTGTCCTTCTAAAATGAATAAATTTGGAGACAGAGGAGTATAATGTGAAGAGACATAAGAAGAAGGCAGCTCTCTACAAGCCAAGAAGAGAGGCTTGGAAGAGATCCTTTCTTCTCCACTCAGAAGGAACCAACTCTGCTGATACCCTGATCTTAGACCTCTGGCCCGCAGAACTAGAAGACAAGAAATGTTTCCTTAAGCCGCCCGGCCCGTGGTGCTTTGTTACGGCAGCCCTAGCAAACTAGCACAGTTAGGGTGATTTTTTAATTCCTGAATTTACTTTTGAGAACAGTTTTGGATTTACAGAAACACTGAACATGAAACAAAGTTACCATATCTCGCTCACCCCTACACATGGCTTATCCTATTATTAACACCTTACATTTGTATGGCACATTTGCTGCCAGTAATTAATAAATATTTATTAACTAAGCTGCACAGTTTATTTCCGAAATTTTAATTCTTAGTATGTTCAATTATGTAAATGTTTCAATGGTCAATGCTTTACTAACTTGCACTTGACTTTTCTTCTTTATTTTTTAGGGTAATGTGGTTTTTCAATGCACACATATTTCTCAAAATTACTATTATGGTCTTATTTAATAGGTCTATATAAAAAAAACCCAGACCTTTACAAGATGCACATTCTTACACTCAGATTAAGTTGGCTGCCTAACCCACCAGAATTAAAGAATAATTTAATGTTCAAGGACACAAATATATAATAATTACTTCTAAGAGATTTCATTCAGAAATCTTGAATGCAATAGAAATGTTCAGAAAAAGGAGAAACTTATTTTAAAAACCAATTTTAGGTCTCTCTCCTTTCTCCTGATTTGCAGTAAATAAATGTCAAAAGGAAGCTTAATGCCCTTAACAACTCAGATAAGTGCTAGGAGAAGGCAGCAAAAGGAAAAGGCAAGACCAGTGACATTCAGACTAGAAACTTAAGGACACAGGAAGGGAGCGAGGTTAATACCAGACTGTCCTGAAGTCCAGAAGATTCTATCCACACAGATGCAAAACTGGGAAAGGCTTTACAGCTGTTAGACAAAGGGTCATCAGATAGGGGCTGGGGACCCCTCATTTAAGTGCCTTAAATACCTTGGTGGGACGGCTTTGTAAAAATAACATTATGCTTTAAAACCAGTAGGCAAACTAGTTGACAAGCTCAAGCCCAAGGGCAAAATCCTGCCATAGCCTGTGAACTGAAAAAGATTTTTACGTTTTTAAAGAGTTGTAAAACCAAACCAAACCAAACCAAAAAAATGAACAGGAAACAAAGACATCGTGTGGGCCTTTACAGAGAACGTTCGCTGACGTGAAGATCTCCCTTGTCATAATTAAAACAATGCCATTATTTTGAAAAATAGAATTCCATTTCAGTTTGGATGTACTGTACAAGCCCCTGAGGGTGGATGAAGAGAGGGGTCAAGGCTGGGTCTCCATGGAAATTCTTATTCTTAGAGGCAAGAGGAAGGTGGTTGCTGGGGAAGAGGAAGAAAGGCACGAGTAGCCACTCTTGGGCCAGGTATGGACTTCAGTTACGTGTCTGTAGTCCTGCACCACAACCTTCCCCACACTTCTGAACAAAACAGTTCCTGATGGAAAACTGCATCTTCTTCATTCCTGTGGGACTTGAGAGAAAAGCACATAACGCACTGTGCAGGAAGTGCCATAGATGAACAACAGAACAAAAGGCTCCACAAGAGCCAGAGGACTGGTGTCTGACCCTCCTTAGAAAGCTCCAAAAAGAATTTCCAAAGGAAAAGTGCCTCAGTAGAGACCTAAAGTTCATGGAGGTGCTGGGGAGAGGGTGTGTTCAAAGCATGGGCCGGGGGGAATGGGGTGGTTGTGGCTGGAGCACAGTGCATGAGGATGTCACCAGTGGGACGTGCAGCTGGAGAGGTGGGCAGGGGACAGATCAGAGAAGCTCTTGTAGGCTGCACTAAGATGCCTGGACTTTATTCTGCAAGTAGGAGTGACATGACCCGATTCCTATCTCAGAATAGTCATTCTGGATGCTGTACAAATGAACAGATCGAAGATGGCAATACGGAAGGGCCCTAACTTTGATGATAAGCCACGTTTTGAAAATCAGTTCTGAAAGGACTGCCTCTGCTATAGTCCCAGGCTAGTCTTTCTGACCCATTTCCTGCTCGATATTAAGAAAATAATTATGAAATGCCCCAATTCAAAAGGGTCTCTTTATCACTTAACTGTCAGACTAGCATCACAAAACTAAAATATTATAGGCAATAAAGATTCTCAATTTCTGGAATCACTAGGAATAAACCTATAGAAAAACTCTGAGCTGTCAAGGTTCCTATGTGTATCTACCAAGTGTGGCGCAGCAACCCCAAGGCATCAGACTGGATGACAGGAGAATGCATTGCCAAGGTAACTGGCCCAGGAGTCTCCTTGGAGACCGAATGTGCCGGCTTTTCTGTGGGTTGCATCAGTCTGGAAAAATGGGTGCTTATGACCTTATATGAGTCATATCAGTAGAGGAGCAGTTTGAAATGTAAGACCATCCATGCATGCTCCTCACCAAACACACAAAGACATATGCCCAGTGTGTGCATGTGTGTTTCATGGTTGTCTGGCCGTAGACAGACAAACCTATTTGAAAGGAGTGTGAGTTATGTTGCCTGGTCTTTTGTTGGGTGTTTCATGGCTGGCAGGCTGAGTATCTGCTGGTCTCACTTTCTGCTCGTCCCTGAACTTTTCCCCAGGCACATGGTTCACAGAGAACAACTCTCATGAGTGGACCAGGGGACGTGAGGGCAGAGCTGTGGCCTCTCCCGGCAAGGCTTCTGCCAGGCAATTGGGCAGCATGCTCTGGAGCTCTGGAATTCTTAGAGTTTTGTCTCATCTTGAACCATTTTGACTTGGCTTCTCTTAAAAGCAATTCAAATTTAGGTAGCAAGAGAAGGGAGGGAATGAAGCGACTGTAAGTAGAAGAGTGGAATGAGAACATGCGAGGTGAACACTTAGACTTGCCTTATTGATTCCAAGACAAGTTGGGTACAGATCCCTCTCTGACATTCTGTACTGGGAGGAGTGGGTGGTAGGGGATGAACAGGGAATGAATAAATCTTTTCCTAAGCCCAATTATCCTTCCAAAAATTCTTGAATTTAAACCTTGTGTAACTCAACTTGCCTAATATAGAATTCTATTAATACCATATCTGTAAGGCATGTGAGTTATTCCAAGCACCTGAATGCAGTTTTCAGGATCCTCCTGAGATGGCACATATCATGAGTACATACTCCTATAGAGCTGAAGCCCTATGAGGAATTTGAGCTTCGATTTTAGAAATGGTTGTTGAGGGGAAGTACTGACTATAGCATGATTTCAGAGAAAAAAGATTTAGATGGTAAGAGATGTGTCAAGTTTAGCTAGTAGAAATACAAGGAGTTGAGGAAGTAAAAATCAGAAGAAATTATAAGGGGAGTGAAAACTTAACCAGGAGAGCTAACAGAGCCAGCTGAGTGGCAGCAGTCAGGAACACGGTGCTACCTGGCCAGGTGGACTTAAAGGTCTGCCATTTAAACTGTACTAAGCATGCTGCACCCCCAGCTTCTCTGGCAATAGGACCCCCATCTTAGGGTAATGGAGTCGTGATGGAAAACACCAGATTCAAACAAGGCGAGCAGTATCCAGAAGCAGAATTACTGGAGAAGTGCATTGGAAAACCAAGCAAGATGATGAGAACCCTATAAAAACTATTAAGCTCTATATAACAATATGCCTGAAGTCTCCATGATCCAATGTCTAATCAGAGACCCTAGAAAAACACATATGTGTCACATAAGTTATTTTCCCCATTTAAAGCCAACTCTCAAGTCATATGGTTCAGAAATATTTTCTTTCTTTTTTTCAGTAACTGATAAAAGTCTACAACTTTTAATTTCTAATCTGTGTGTGTGTATTGTGATGTGTTTTCCTAATGACCTACAGTCAAATTTATGATGCAAGAAGCTCAATGTTCCTAACTGCATCATAAACCAGAACTAGTGCTGGCTATGCTGAAAGTAAACAAAGCATTTTAGGGCAAATACTTACCAAGTCATTCTTACATGCTAGGCACTGTGCAGTGAAAAAAATTCCACTTATACCAAACAGTATGTTTTAGAGGATGTCAACAATAAATGTTTATAATAATTACAAAGGCATAGACTTGGACTGTCCCAGGTAAACCAGGTCACGTGGTCACTGTACGGATGGCGGTCCCTGTAGCTGATATCAGAGCCACCCAAGTTTTAAAGAATCATGAACTTAAAGCCCTTACTGGATCTGGCTGAAGACTTTTTCCTAGGCAATCAACAAAGATACATTTTAAATCTATCATTTGTAGACCCACAGACTCATTCTGATTTAGTCTGATGGCTGGTTTTGAATCAATAATGGCATAGTCACCACGAGCTCCCCAACTTTTCTAGCACTTAAAACATTAAAAATTTTCCCTTAGTTTATTACGGAAAATAGTTTACATAATTTTCCTTATGTTCACTACTCAGGAAAAATAAAATGTTCAGAATATTGGTTTTCCTTCATCTGCAAAGTGGTGAACATAAACTGTATATTTTTCAAAGTTTTAGTGGTCTTTGTTCTATCCCCTCATAATGCTAAGACCCGAAGGGTGGAGCAGGGAGGGGAAGAAGCATCCTTGGCCATGGCCAACTGCCTCAGGCTTCAGCCAGCTGTGGTGTTCCACTGGTGAACATGAACCATTTCACAGAACACTGCCATCCAATGAGGGATCTCCACAGTGGGGATGGAACAAGATGAAAGCCAGTCAATAATTATGTCTGAACAGAGAATTTAAAAAAATTCTGTATGACCACAAAAATGACCAAATATCATGCAAGTGATTCCTGCTTGTTCCCCACTGACAACTCTGTCTCCCTTCTGTTCCTCCATCGGCTAGAAAAAAAACTTAGATGCCCAGTGCGGGGACTGTCTCCACTTTCTGACAGCAACTGATCCGTGGCCAGACCCTCACTTCTTTAACACCCCCTCCCCAAGTCACCTAACTCAAGTTCAAGTCCTATAATAAGCCCTCCTAGCTCTCTTTTACTGGATGTCCCATGGTTCTCTGCAGTGTACAGGTTCTGTCACTGCAGGTTAATAAACCCAAATCTGTCTGCCTCAGGTGCTCCTGGTGACCTCTGGCTGTTGGGATCATCATTTATTCAAGTGAATTTTCTCATCCAATCCTTACAAAACCCCTAATATATTTTATATGAGTACATTATATTACATAAAACATTATATAATAATTATGCTAATATTAATTATTTCATAGTAAACATAAGCTTAGGGTAGTTGAGATCTTTGCTCAAGGTCAAGAACTAGTAAAGGGGAGAACAGGGCTCTTACTCAACTAATTCAACAAAGATGATACAGTTGAGCCAAGAGTCATCGACACCACACATGATTATATCTTAGGAGGAAATAAGCCAATGAGAGTACATTCCAACTCTGGGATAACAGCTGGCTCTGCTGTGATGGAGAGGAACTGGGCAGGGGTGGGAAGGAGACAGCATTAGAAGAGATCCAAATGCTGGTGACTGATGGGTAAAGTAAATATACACCCATTCCAGCCAGGACACTGTTGAGAGTGAAGGAGGGTGATTATAATTGTGCACAATAGGCACAACTTGGGACTGTCCCAAGAAAATCAGGTCACATCAGAACCCTATAGATGGAGTCACTACAGTTGTTGTTAGCACCTTCACGTTAGGATAATACTCTGAGCCTCACCCTACTGCTCCAGCTCTCCATGGTCAGGGAAGATGGGAACCTGAGCAGGGTACAGGAGGATCCTTTTACATTCCATCCTCAGTTAGATGCACCCCTCCCAAGGGAACACCTTGCCCAAATCCACAGCCTGCCCAGGATCCAGGGATGGTAGCAATTTGCGGGCAGGGGTGTGGAAGAAGGTAAGTGCTATTTCTTTTTTTGTTTATACTACCTACATATTAAATGGGCCTCTTTATTTTTGTAAGTGCCTTATATTAAGAGAGCTTGATTCGGTTAAAATATACAGGTGATCCAGAGCAATGATAGAGCAGCTGATATAAAAACCATCTGGCAACAACTTTTAAGATTAATTCTAAACTCAGCTTAGAAATAATCCTGAGTTTATGAAGAAAACCAAACCAAAACCAAACATTAACAAAAGCAACTTTCCGCGGTGTTTCCAGTGAGGCGAGAGACCTCACTCACTCGTATTTGCAACTAGAGTACTTTTCCTGTTACTGCATATAAAGTTCTGCAAGTAGAAGTTTTCTGAATTATCAACTGTTTTAGTTGACAGTAAATAGTAGTTTAATGTTTTTCATACTCAACGAGCACTTCATAATCTCACTGTGTTGTAGAATTTTGTAGTTGGAAGGGACTTTTTATCTCATTTTGGAAAGTCTGGCCTTTTTATTTGGCTTTAAAATAGTTGCATAGATTATCTTATAAACTTGTTGCATGGAGATTTAGACTAGTGACATCATTGATTAAAGTGGCATAAAAATGACAAGTATATAAAAGTCAAAGTAATATGTCCTCTTTTAAAATATGTATGGGCATTCAGAGGCTCAGGAATGTAAGAAGAAAAAGAAAAAGAAAAGAAAAAGAAAACGAGAAAAGAAAAAGGCCGTGTGGTCCAACTCTGCTATTTAACAGAAGAGAAAGGTAAAATTCGTGGATAAGAAGACTCAGAGTCACAGCTGAGACGTCCAGACTAGGACAAGCCTTCACATCAACTAGCCCTTAGCCGACATTCATTCCATTCAGATCCACATGTGAGGGAATGAACTTTTCTTTGCAAGATACTGTTTCCCCATCTTTTCATCAGAAAATTATATCCATCAGGAAGAGTACTGAATAATGTAGGCTTGCCCAAGGTCACTGAATATTTTTCTCAGAAACGAATACCAATGGGAGGAACCATCGTCCCTCTACTCTGCTATTTTACATGATGTCACGGACAAAGGTTGCTTCGGTAATAGACCGTCAGTACATAGGAGCACGAACATGGAAGGCACTTACTTGATGGCGGCTTGTAGCTTCTCACACAGAACAGTGAGCACAGATACAAGGTCGTCACAGAGGGCCTCGACGGTCAACCCTTCAAACAGGAGGTCATAGGCATTAGACATCAGCAGGGGACTGGGAGCTCTCCCAATAGCCCTTCCCATCCTCCACTGTGGATGTTCTCAGGACTAAAAAGATGATTATCGGATTCTGAGCCTTCCCTAGGCCACTAAAATGCAATGTATTATAAATAATAATTCCTTTCCAAAATAAAACACTCAAAAGATAGTCAAGAAAATAGACTATTTCTTATAAAATTCATTTGTACTTAATGAAAGGATATTTGGTTAAAAAAAACAACACAATTTATAATGATTTTCTTAATATTTAGGCCAGTGGACTACACATGTATCCCTTATTCTGAATTCTTAATTTTCTGGGTTTTCTGAGAATTGTATCCCAAAGACATAAAATAGGGCAGTGTGGGAGAAAGGGAGGTCTTTCAAACCAGGAAGCTAGACAGAGGGCAAAATAACGTGGTCACCATCTTCCCCCACTTCAACTATTTGTCCAGCATCCTCAGAGCATGCGGTCTTAATGGAGCAACAGCCAATGTCAGAAAAAGAAAAAATAACCAAATGTGTTCACATCCAGAAGCTAGCAACAGAACTTCCACAGGAGCAGTGGAGTATCCTGGAAAGAAGCTGAAATCTGGGTTCCGCCTAAGTACTGGTCCACGGCTTGCGGGACTGCATAAGCTCAGGTAAGGATCAGTTTTCCTTTTGGCAAAACGAGGTAAATAATACCAATGACCCAGACTAATGGCTCAAGTGAGGTAACAAGCAGAGGCATTTGCTTTTTTATTAATAAAACCCTATACAGATCTATATAAATGTGGTTATTTGATGAATATATAAACAAATGCATGAATAACCATGAAGTCAAGGAAAACGGAGGGAAAATGGCAAGAGTGTGAGAGAGAAAATAAAAGTTGGAAAACGGCAGGGGAACAAGAAATAGCCAATCTTCAGCATTTATGATCTTAAATTGAGGGAAAAAGTGAGATATGGTAAGGTGCAATGATAAAATGTAGTTTAAAATAAATAAAACCCACAAATAGTCCTTAAACTCAATTTTAGATAAATTTCAAATGAGCCCATCAATTTTCTACTAACATATTTTTTAAAGGTGTATCTTTGAGCAAGAGAACTTTGACCTCCTTTTTGGTTTATAAAGTCATTCTGTATTCATGTGATGATTTTATGGGAACTGCGATTGACAGAAGAAAAGAAGGGCAGAAGATTTTGGAACTTTTCATTGGGAGCATTAAAAGGTGAAAAGGTTCAGTAGCACTTCTGATCCACAGCCCAAGGATACAGCAAGATGTGACTAAAACTATACACTGAAGCAATGCTTTAAAAAAATGACTTAAGATGCTTTGCTTTCTCATATCTTTCATGTACTTTTTCCCTAATTGTGGCTGCTTAGCTCTCTCACCTTTTCATTCCTTCTCTTTTTCATCTTCTCTTTACTCCACCCCTTCTCCCCATTGTTCACTGGCAAAAAATATTTTTAAAAAGCCAGTTTTTCCAATATTTTTAAAATTACTGAATGAAGTAATTTTAAAACTTACATTTCCATTTTTAATCAGATGATTTGAACTTTTCATCTCTTTCAGAAAACAATACTATCAAACATTTCTTAAAATATCAAACTGCTTATCAATTATATGTGGACTTCTATTTTTTCTTTTCCTGTGGGTCAGAATAAAAGTTCCTTACCTTGATTTCTGTCTTTCTGCAAGATTCCTTGTGAGGTAATTCATTTTCCCATTAAAACACTGGTACTTCACATACTTCAAGTGCAATAGCACTTTCTACCAGTCAGGTTTCCACAACCTTCTATCCATTCCCATTTTAACAATTGATAAACCTGATTTCACAAAGAACGAGGTTAACTACAGCCTCCAACAGGAAGGTCTACGAAGAGTTCATTTCTCTCCCACAGTTGGAGCAGGAATAGGTGTGGTTGGCATGAACAGGAGGAAGATGACAGAGCTGGCTCGGTCTTACCAAGTTGGTTCTTACGTACCAGTCGTAAGGCAAAGCTAAGCAGAAGCTCCAAGGGACTGGAGTGGGGAACTACCCTGAGAGCATCCTCATCTCCACATCCCCAACACCAAGCACGCAGGAGGCATTCCGATACCTGCTTTTTAAACTGACCTAGCAAAAAATCAAATTGAATACCTTGATTCCTGAATTCCTGTGGGACGTCTGGGTTTTCAATGATCTAGTAAGGGAAACACACACAGGACAATTAGTAGATTCAGGCAAGAAGAATCCCAACTCTTAAACAATGGAAAATTCTCGGAAACAAAATATCATCTTGAGCGCACAGGGCTCAGCTAGCTCACCTAAACTCACCCTCCAGGTCCTGATAGCATTTCATTATTTCTGGTATTTATGAAAAGATATGTCTGGAACTGAGCTCACCAGTTGTAAAAATAATTCATTCAAGAGTCCAGAAACTTCCTGGGAGGTAAAGCCCTGTGGTACACTTTATCATCCCAGGGTGCTGAGCTGTGGCTGGGGGCAATAAACTAAATAGCTGCGTTACCTCTGCACAGAGAGGAATATTACCAGGGTCACAGGCCACACTCTGATGGGCAACTAGAGAATACAGACTCTTTCTTAGTCATAGTGATCAGGTTTCTGATCAGGTTACTTCATAATCCAGGTGCAAAGATGATGGCTGGTCAGAAGCACCAGCTGCCTGTTTGATCGGGGAGCACATCAACTGCCAGTTCTCTGACCGGACCAACCCCTGTAGGCTGCTGCTTGGTAGACCTAGAACTATCAAGGGAAAGACAGAACCGTGAAGGTAGGGGGAACAGGAAGGGAAAGACATTTGCCAATAGTTAGATGGACTTCCCATTGCAGGGAGAATTCAGTGACTACGGAGCCTCCCACCTCTTAGCCCTGGGAGGTAGTAAGCGGGCATTTTCATGCTAATTTCCTACCAGACACTTGGCACTGTTTTTTTTCTAATTTGTTTATGAACACATATTTCTACTACTCTCTGTTCATTAATTTGCAAGCTCAGCTGCTTCCACACATTCCTTGCGAAATGCTATGTCAGTGTCTACAGCTCAGTACATGGCAAAATACAAGTTAAAAACATTTTCTGGAAGCAACACATTTGAATCATTTTTCAGGACAGGAGAACCAATACCACCTGCCCCTCCCCGCACCCGAGCATTTTTTTCCAAAGTGAGTGAATTTCAATTTAAGTGAGTGAATTTTAATTTCAATTTGTAATGGCTTTTGTATTTAAATAATTCAATAATAAAGCTTGATCATAACTTGCATTTCTGAGGATGCAAAATCAAGTTGTATAATCTGTACTTGGAAGTGGGGTGGGATGTGAGTAGACAGTAGGCTGAAGGTATAGTTCATGCGAATGCTTTTGGCATTCCAAATTAATTTTCTTTCCATTATATTTAAGTCTCCCTAATGCTGAGATGGCTTGCAATGTCTTTCCAGCGATGGGTCACGCTACACACCACACATCGTCCCCACTTAAAGGTAAGTGTCCCTCTATGGCAGAACACATAGTCCCCTTGGAGAGGACCTCACTATTCCTATGGACCATTCCCCTTTAATAGCTTTTTAAAAATAGTCATTCTTAGGTGGAAAACCAGTCTTTCTAGTAGACATCACAAGTACTCAAATATTAGCATACTGCAAACTGTATCTTTCTGGCACATGGAAACACCTCCAGGGACTGTGTGAGTAATAGAAAGGAAATAACAGGAAACACTAATTGTCTACGTAGTTTGGGATCTTGCCTCGGGTTGGGTGAGTCCAGATGGTCAGTGATGAGCTGGACTGGAAGACTGATTAGCCACACAACACACAGGACAGAGGCAGGCAGCCCTTGGCTTTGACGCTGCCCCCTGAAACTACAGCTGTTACCACCCTCACAAAAGAGCAACAGGAGCTGAAAGGCTGAGCCATTTGAAACCTGATACTCTCCCACTACAAAATGTAAACATAAGATTAAATGACTAACATAATTGCAATCACTTTGAAACTACACTGTATTAAATATTTCTTCTCAAAACATTAAGATGTCATTACCATTACAGTATTTCATCATGTTACCATTTAGCAAAGATTAAATATGACTGTATATTAAACATGAAGATTCTCAACATCTTAAGTTCATTTCCACTATGAACATTTTTTCTCTTACGTGTTTTCTACTTATCAATTTGAATTTCTTTTAAACTAATATTGCCACACCACAATATTAAAATGCTAGCATAAATAATTTTAACAAGGGTTATGCTAACATAGTAAAAATACCTAAAATTAAAATAATTGCTTTTTTAATAGAAATTTGGACTTTGGATATAGCAAACACAAAAGGAAAAATCAGTATTAATTTTTACGTGATTAGCATTGTCATTCTTTCAACACCAGCTGCAGAACTCATATTAATAACCTAGGCTGGGATTCAGGAGATGAGGGATTTAGTTCTGGCTCTTTCACTGATAAGCTCATTAGTTTCAGATTTCAATTTCATCTCCCTGGGCTTCATCTTCCTCATTTTGTTTTTATGAGGAATAAAAGAATTTGATCAGATAATCTCAAAAGTTCCACTCAACTCCATGTTTTTCTACAAATTACACAATTATTGAAGTTAAAAATTAGAAATATTTGAAGTTAAACATGGAATCTTAATGTCTGTAAAATTAATTTCTAAGTTATTTCAGACTGTTACTGAGATTTCCTATTCTAAAAAATAATATAGTGCTCACTCCAGAATATTTCTTGCAGATTTTAAAAGAACTTTAAACTGAGTTATTACAGAGACTGATCTAAAAAAAAATTTTTTTTGAAGAATCATCTCCTCATTAACATTCCCAGAAGATAATTTATGCAAGAAAACAATTACATTTACATTTTCCCAGGAACGTCTGTGGTCTGTTTGAGTTTAGAGCAAAAGGTCCCATAGGCTTTGGTGCCAGAAAGACAACTGATCCAGCCTCCCCCTGACAGCACTGTCGGGGGAAGCAGACCTTCAACCACAGTCTTTTACTCAACAAAAAGCCCCACATACACCAAACTTCAAAGCATGTAATTGATTTTGAATTTATTTCTGGTATTTGTTAATATGTCACAACACTTTTATATAATTTATTTAATCTGAGAATTTTTAAAAAATATTTTATTTATTTATCTTTAGATAGGAAGGGAAGAAGAGAAGGAGAGAAATATCAATGTGTGGTTGCCTCTCGTGAGTCCCCTGCTGGGAACTGGCCTGCAACCTAGGCATGTGCCCTGACTGGGAATCGAACCGCGATCGTGTGGTTCGCAGGCCCACGCTCAATCCACTGAGCTACACCAGCCAGGGCTTATCTGAGAATTTTTTAAATGATTTGCAAAAAAAGTTTTACGAAGGATTTTAAAATAACTAAAAAACCACAGAGACTAAGGAAAAAATAACTCTCAAAGCTTTGGAGTGAAACAGGTAAATATATATTTAAGGAACTTAATTTGTATAAATAAATGTTCTTCCAAACGAAACCAGCCCTTCCTATTGTTTCAGTAGGGAGCAGCCCTGGCAGGGGGTGGGGAAGGGGGACATGTGGCGTGGGGGGACATGTAGGATGTGGGACACGCAACATGCAGTGACACACAGAGACGATGGCAAGACCGTGACAAACATGTGGATATCGCAAGGCTCACCGTATTCTCCTGCCTTTGTCGTAACTGTAAAGTCAAGTCACTCAGCATTTGACTGAGAGTGGCCCGCACAGCAGTGTTTATACTACGCTGGTGACAGCTACATGTGTATGTCTCAATGCACACCTGGTAAAGAAATAAGATAGCAATACACACACTCCGTAGACAGCAGTTTATTACCAACATGCTTTCGAACTGACCGGAGAGGATATGAAATCCCTTGTAAGTGGAAAGTCAGCCTGATTTAGAACTAGTTATCCATGAATCCTACATGTATTTAAAAATCCTGGGCATTTATGTTTTGACTATGTAGGAAAAGTATTATTTTCCTAAAAATTATCCCTCTTAGAAACTTATTCTTCTGAGCACCAGAGGAGAATGCAATTTAATAATTTTTAGATATGCCAAATAATTTATTAACCCCTGAGTTCTGGGGTATGGGGCAGAGAGTTAATGAATGAAACCCAGTTTTCTGCTCTATAAGCAAGTTTGATCTCAGATTAGCTCTCTCTGTTCTCTGGTAAACTTGTTAAGGTGGATGTCTGTGTACTGGGCAGCATGGCTTCCAGGAAAACACACGCTGATTACTAAGCTGTATCTGAACTGGGAAAGCTGTGAATGAACTTTAAAATCGGGTGAGGAGTCACAGGTCTGAGGTTCCCTGAGTGACTCTTGCCATTGATCACATCCTCTGAGGCAGCTCTGTAAGCTCTCCTTGTGGAGTTACAGAGATATTGGTTCCTCTACACAGAGACCCTTGAATAACACAGGTTTGAATTTCTTGGGCACACCTACATATAAATTTTTTAAACTTATAGTATTGATAAATATAGTACAGTACTATAAATGTATTTTCTCTTCCTTGTGATTTTTACTAACATTTATTTGTCTTACTTTATTGTAAGAATATAGTATATAACACATATAACACAGAAAATATGTGCTAACCAATGTCTACCTTGTTGGTAAGGCTTCCGGTCAATAGTAGGCTATTAGTAGTTAAGTTTTGGGGGAGTCAGAAGTTTATATGTGGATTTCCTATCACACTAGGGGACAGTGCCCCTAACTTGCGAGCTGTTCAGGAGTCAACTGTAGGTGAAACATGTGATTCCTAAGCCAAGGTGACTGCCCTCATCTTCTTGCTCCTAAGCTGACATCTGAGAGCAAGAAGCTACTCTCAGTACTGGGTGTGAGGCCCCCTGTGAAAGACAAATGCCTGCCACTGACCTGTGTCTGCTCCCTGTCTACACCCTGCTGAGGGTACACAACGCCAGTTGTGGTCTACTTGGGTCTGGTGAATCTGAATGTCCGGCGGAACCTGAGGAGGCCCCCTGATGGCCGCCGCCTGGAGAAATCCCAACTTGTGGGGAAAAAAATCCCTGACTTGAAGATGATGATGCTCTGTGACATGACTTCCAGACTTTATCGCCTCCAAGTCCTCTGAAAGGTGTAGGGACCGGCCTGACGACAAACACATGCTTTAACCCGGCCCACTTTTTTCTCAATAACGTACATGCTACCTTGCCACTTTCCCAAGTGTATTTAGACCTATGAGAAAAAAAGAAGGGGTGCAGGTACCTAAACTATTTTTCTAGGGATAACTCCAGGATTATCTATGTTAAAAATACTGATCCTCACCTAAATGTCAGTTGGAATTTGGTGACTGATAACTGAGATGGGAGACAGACTAAATGGTAACCCCTGTTGCTGCTGATGCTTAAGCTGGAGTTTCCATCAGGCCTCCCTATAATCACCTTTTTGGTAAAATTAATTAGGTAAAAGTAAATATTTTCTAACAGTTTATCTCCCAATGCATGCTTACTATTCTAACAGAGTATTTAAAACTTAAAAGTTTATTGGAAGTTGATTTGGATTTATTTAAGTGAAAAAAGTAAGAGCAAGTTCCAAAATATTTATTTTTCAAACTACCATTTAGGGCATGTTAATTTCAAATTCATTTTCTCAAGTGATCATGGATTTTAATGTACTTGAAGGTACCATTTACACATACTTAGAAAAAAAGTGTTTTAATCCAGAAAGGCCTTTACTTTTGCATGTGATAAAATAGTTTAAAAGCCTTGAAAGTATGTCTAAATGAGTGCAGTGTCTCACTTTAATGAAACCAAATTCTCCACAGTTTAATTAGGCACTCTGGTACTATTAATAGATCAAAATTCAAGTTTTCTTTAAAGCTTGCATTTTCCCAAGAAATCCTTATAACTGTTGATCTTTCAAGTCTCTAAGCTTAAATTTCAGGAGAAACGTGAAGTCTATAAGCATTAAGGATAAAAGAGTAGCTATTTTGAGAGCTGAACTACACACTTCATATCAATATAAACACAATTCTGCTGAACACTAAGAGCCATAGCTGCTACAAAACCTTCCTTTCAAAATCACATCAGTCACTTTCGACCCATGAAAGACAGCACACATGAGGGACTGGATCTTAAGTAGCACAAACAGTGTGCTGTGTACAGACAACTTCCCAAGTACCAAACAGACTTCTTCAACTTTGAATGTCCCCACCACTCTCAGTGGTTAGAGGTATAAGCATGGAAATGACTTGTTGCAGGAGGCATTTTATTAAGGGAAAGGGTAAACATGTTTACTCTGCTTTAAAAAAATAAAGGATTCATCTAAAAAGCTCATCCTGCCAAAGTTGGGAGTATAAATACTGCACGTGAAAAAAAGGTATCTTTTTAAATATAAAAATGAGCATGTGTGTGATAATCTTGCTACCCAGAAGAAATGCTTTCAGCTATCCTGACATGTTCTAAAAAAAAGTTTCTTACACTTACTATATTAATAAAAAATGCTAAAATGGTAAGGTTTATAGAACTAGGGATTCCATGATAAACCTGACCACTGTATTAAAGTCCAATGATTTTTTACTTTGTGAATGTTCTTTGTTTGTTACTATGGGGCAGTGCTAAAATGAGCACACTGAATCAGAGAAGCCAAGAAAATACCAAGTCCAAATGCAGGCTGAGTTTCTGAGAAAGGGCTCATGAATTTCTTCTTTCATATCTCCAAGGTCACTTCTACATCCCATGCCCTCTGCTTTCGTAGTGTAGACTGACATTAAAAAGCCTCAGTCCTGGACCTCTGCCTGAGGCTCAAAGGACCACGTCCAGTACCTTGTGAAAAGCCACAGGGCCCTGATCGTCAGGGAATGCACGAAGACACAGGGCAGTGAGGACTTTCATAATGGACATTTTGATCATTTCATGCATTTGTGGACATCCAGCTTTACGGCATGCTAAACACAACTGAGAGCAAAAACAAACTGTTAGTGAGGCAAAACAAACCCAACAGCAGAATGAAAGAACAAAAAAACCCAAGTCTGCAAGCCATTCATAGCAATAAAAGCTGTATGTCATCGAGTAAGTAGACTGATAAATAACAGTACTAGGTTACACCCAGGGTGGAATCACTATCATTACATATAAAGGAGCAAAGTGAAAGGTAGCAGATAGTCAATATTGGTCAAAGTGATAAATTTTAAAACAGCTTCCACAGTAGCAATTTGCTTAACTTTGCAAAATGCATATGAGCTTCACTTTGTTAAACTGTGCATTTACCTTCTCTTTCCTATCTGAATGGGGTTAGTGGCACAAGTGAATGATGCTGAGTAGTGAGTTCTATAAAGAGAATAGCTAGGAGGTTTTCAACTGGAGCATTTTTACAGAGATAAAAATAATTTATCTCCATAAAAGAAAAAGGATTTTTAAGACTAAGCTATAAGAAAGCAGAACTGTCTTTATACAGGGAAGACTATGAGTGCTTATTGATCACATTAGAACCAAGGAAAATTGTGCTTAACATACAAGTCAAAAGAAGATGTTGAATCACAATGACAACTCAGTGACCAGGCTGATTCCAGGTGAAGAGCGGTAACAGGTGGGTGTGTAACAGGAGGCATTTCAGAAAATGGGTCCCGCTGATGCAAACACACAGGTGCACAAGCACAGGGTGAGCTCAAAGTCTGAGCACCAAGCTCAGGTAGCAACATTTGCTGGTTTTCCTTTTGGATCTCACTTAAAAGGAAATTCTTAAAGTGCCACAGGGCATACATGGAAAACTCTGATGATCACTTCCCTCTTTCTTGTCCATGTTCTCCTTGGCTTTACTGACACTAAGTTGGATTAAGACACCTCAGCCCATCAACTCCTGCACCTTCTCAGGCAGAGCCTGCTGCTGGATCTATGCAGGTGCTACTAAATTTCAGCATCTGCCCTCTGAACCAGCCCAAAAGGAAGTAGAGAGGGCCTCTGCATTGCTCTGTGTGTCTTCTAATTCCAAATAGGTTCTTCAAGAGCCACGCAAGTCAGAGATTAAAGGGAAGTGTGGAAATTTCTTGCAAAACAACCAGGTTGCTCACAGCCTATCTGGCAGTAAATAGCCGAAGAAAAGAAACCCGAGAGGAGACAAACCAGAGTCAGTAAAGACACTGGCCCACACAGAAGAAAAGAAAGGGTTTCCAAAAGGAAAAGTGGAGAAAGAAATGGGATTTCCTTACTCCAGTGGCCTTGGCTAGTTTGAGACCATGGTCTGGCCTCTTCTGGTCACTTCTCTTGCCAGGAGGTAGGGTGACTCCCCCAGCCTTACAGAGAACTTAACAAATAAGATGCTTCCAAGAAAAATGGCTCAAGCCATCTATATACTTTTCTTCTGGATTATATCTGGAGACTATCTGCTCCTTAATTGTAGAATACTTTATTTGAGGTATGTCTCAGAAATCATTGAACTAAAAAAACCAAAGGTTCCATCGAACATTTCAAGAATTGTAAGACATGTCAATTTAAAAAACACTTTAATGACAACTAGAACTTTTAATTGAAATCTTTGACAGCAGGTCTTAACCTCACTATTTTTGAAGCTCCGTGGGGGTAACAAGTAGAACTAAATGAAACTGAATTTCAGATCCCCTGATGGTAATATAATGCTCGGAAAAGATAAACTGGGCATCAGTGTAGAAAGATACCAAAGAAAGTGGCATATACCTAATGGTCACTTGAATCTATAGTCACAAAAAAGGTAAAATTCATCAATACTTCTGCTTCATGTGTAAAAACACCATACAGCTATTATTAATTAAATGCCCTGGTAAAGGTCCTAGGTGAGTAAGACTCATAAGAATTTCAGCCAGTTGCCGACATTATCATGAGTCTACTGATATTTTCTAAGATGAAGATTACCAGGAAGCAATAGAGCACTGTGGTCAACAGCACATATTTGAGATGTAAAGAGTCTGGATTTGAATGTCTAGCCACAGAACCTTGGATAAGCAAATTAACCTCACTTTCCTTGGGATTCTTTATCTAGTTTGGTTGTGGTAAAGATTAAAAGACGCTGTGTGAAAAATGCTGCTACAGATACACCCTAAGGACTCAACTATTAGTAGCTGCTATTATTACCAAGTGTTTTGGAATTGAGCAGTGGGTGGATTGATGACATGAAAGAGGAAGGTCCCTGAAAGAGTCTTAAAGAACGAAAAAATGGTCTTTGAGAGGGAATTTACTTAACCTGACAGCATGCCACGGAATCAAAGAGTAGAAGTTTCCCATAAGTTAAAAAGATCAAACCAGAAAATACCCATGTACAAACTAGACTTTGTCACTTTGAGAACATCTCATAAAGGAATCTTTAGCAGGCATGAGAATATGCTCCAAATTTTTCTAATGAAACGACATCATTAACCACCTTCAGATTAGCTTCATAGAGCTTCTGCGTACAGTACCATCTTTTTCTTAAACCTAAGACCTGGGCAATTGGTATTCCCACAGCTTTTCCTCTATTAAGATAACGAACCTTGGAAAACACATATCTGCCTATCTGGGCATTATAGGAAGAGAAATCTTGGGCCCAGTTCTCAATCAATAAAGAGAAGAATTATGTATTTATAGTGGAATTTTACAAATGACATTTGATAGACCTGGACAAAAACATGTTGAATATTTCATAATTCTCCACTTCTAAGTCCAGTGGTATTTCTAATTCCTCCCGTATCACGGAAGACCCTGTACTGAAAAAAACTTTCTTTATTGCAGTTTAATTAAGCAAGTTAAGTTAGACACACACAATTGAAGGCTGTTGCCCTCTTATTTACATTTTAAATGCTTAATGATCCTTGTATAGTTTCAGCTGCACCTTGGGGAAAATAGCCTCATTTTTCATACTTAAGTACACATCCCATTTCCTGATCAACAGATTTCAAGCTGAGCACTATTGTTGAGTAACGGTCAATGCAGACCAGAGTATGACAGAAAAGTGTGTGTGGATTCTTCCCTAATGTTTCCACAGTAGATTTAAGTGGTTTATTTTATGGTGTTTTTAAAAATAAATTATTTCCCTAGCTGTATTAAAAGTGACAAGAGGAGAAAAGGTCATTTTTTTTTAAATGAAAGACTTATCTCTATGAAAAGTTCAGATACAACCAAGAAAGCTTCCTGGAGCTAAGGGGTAGTTTGAGGCTGAAATGTCCTGCTTCAAAAATAGAAACACAAATTTCCAAAGGCTGAATTAGCAGGGGGAAAGCACCGGAGAGGGCGCAAAAATCAGTGGGTGTCAGTAAGTCTACAGAACACCATTATTTTTTACGGCAGGCAGTATAACTTTCCTTTTGGTGATGAAAAAGCTTTTCTTAAGTGATTTCTGTGATGGAAATTCAAAGGCTGTAAGCTATTTTGCAAATTCAAAAAGATATATAAAATGAAGGCCTGTAAGAAATATGTTCATTCCTATCTCATGTGTGTGACGTAAATAATGATTTCAGATGATTCTACTATTGTCCTTTCTTAAAGTACCTACACATTATTCATTTAATAGTCTAATATTTATAACTACTCATCCATATACTTACATTTATAAGTTGTTATTATGCTATTCATATAAATAGACTCACTCCATGGTCTTCTTATGCCAGAGTACATAAATACAGATTGAGTGGGGGGCATTTCCCCTCTTTTTTAAAGGCTGACCCTGTGTCTTGTTGGTGCAAACACATACTCAAAGAAACAGTGCAATAGCCCTGTGGTAGAATCAATTGTTAAAGCACTTGAGAAACACATTTGATGTATATCAAGTACTGGTAAATGGGAGGGAGAAAGTGTGAAGGTGATTTGGCAGGAGAAGAAGATGAAAGGCAAGGGGGATCAAAAGCCTGTACTTATTGAAGGGCTGCCATCAAGAGGACGCTGTTGCTCTGTGGGGACTCCATACTTCCTGGGGAGGTCTGATTAGCCAGGGCAGAGGCAAGGCAGCCGTCACCTGGGTGTCAGCCGCACCTGATCTCTAGATCTCATTTTCATGAGATCATGCCATATTTACTTGTAGCAGTGCTTCTCAAACTTTAATACACATAGGACTCATTGAGGAAATCTAATAAGACAGATTCTTATTCATTAGTCTGGGTAGGGGTCTGAGGGGCTGTTGCCCATGCATTTGGTGGGTGGACCACACTTGAGGTCTCAGAGCACGACAGCGGACTTCAACGAAATGGCTTTACAGCAAAGCTTGGCTGCAGGGAACAGTAGCTACTAGAGCAGTGACTCTCAACTTGACTTCTACTGTAGAATCATAGGGGGTAGGTGGGCTTTTACACAATTTTCATGCCTAGATCCTCCAAGACCAAAAACTCAGAAATTCTGGGGCAACCCTAGGCTTCTTACCTGTGCTGACACTTCCTAGGTGATTCTAATGTGGAGACTTCGATGCAAACCACTGCCTTAGAAGTAGGGACTCTAATGCTTTGCCACTATAAGTATCCCAGAGGTCAGGAGAGTAAAGAGGAAAGGTCAATGTTTAATCAAATAACTACTAAAAATAGTCAACCTTCTGCAGGAACCTAGGCAACCTTTGGTTAAGCCTACCTCCTGTTCTGATCTTTAATCACTGTCCGCTGTTAACGGAGGCATATTACTCTCTTAATAACAAGATGTATTTTAAAGATGAAAGGCAAGATGAGTTTAATTTCAGAGTAGCTGCATCTGCAGGGTATTCATGCCTGAACATGGTTTGTGATGAGGACAGGGTGGCCCCCAAGGGTGGGCTGTCCAAGCGAGCTAATGACGACAGCACATATGGCAGGTATCCTGACCGGAAGCTTGGTCACCTACTGCTCTGGCATCTGATTCAACCACTTCCTAAAGCCTGGCTTCTGGAAAGTTAATGAACCTCTCTCCGTGTCACCTTGCTCACCTGTAAAATATGGATAACGACATTCCTGCTTCACAGTGTGGTTATGTGACTTATAGGATTTAACACAGTTAACATTCTTAGAACAGTGCCTGGCAGAGGACAAATGCTAAACACATATTAGGTGTGGCCAAAGGACACGCTCTCTGAGTGTATATATGGTCTCTTGCCAGAACAAGTGATGTTGTATGTTTTTGAGGCTCCTCAGAATTACTGACTCTGAGAGGGAATGGCTGCAGAGAGCCCAGAGTGAGAACTAAGCCTGGTAGAACTGTGCTGAAGTGCGGCCTCATCTGATGAATAAAGGCTCGCCATTCTCATCAGCAGGAGGAACACTCTCCAGGGTGTTTCTTTGGTGGCTTTTTGATCGGTACTGGATAGAGTGACCTCCTGGCTGGGGCACCTGTAGTGCTCGTCATGCTCACAAACCACTCGGCCTCCCTCGGTCTTCTGGCAGGTAGACATCCTTACCCACAGACTGGCCAGGCAGGAGAGCGGGATTCTTCCTCTTTTGAAGGTGATGTCCATACCAAGTCCAGAGGGGCCGTTTGCACATTGCCGTTTATCAAAAGTGCTTTGAAGTGGTGACTCTTGTGCTCATTAAAAAGCAGTCTCCCTATCCTCGCTGTACTGGAGAATCTTCCAGAATGTCCAGTCACCAGAGCAGAGTGGTGGATCTCAAAGAGGCTCGGGAGAGGGGCAGCCTAAGTCACAAGTCCTGCCATAGACAGGGAGGTAAAAGGATCTTCCTGTGAGCCTAAAAGTATCTTCTAGGAGCCTGCACATTGCAAAGGGAAGGCCACCACTCTCAAACTCAGGATGAAAAGCTTATATTTAAAATCTTTACCAAGTTCTTCTTCCTTCAGAGAAAGAATCCCAGGCCTTCATCACGAACAGTAAGTCAAAGCTGCCACTGTAGGTAACAGGTTTTCCTATGGTCTGACCCCTGCTTCCTTACCTGCACACGAACAAACTCTTTTCCAACCAGGAAATCTCAGAGTGCTCAGGCAGGATGAGAAAGGGGAGTGAGCTTTGTTACTGTTCTCTTGGGAAGCTGGCCCATCGATGACCCATCCTTTCAGGGTCATGGCCATAACATTACTGAGTGGTAACTTGGACACCACCATCAGCCTGGAGTTCCATAATGGCATTTACTGACGAAGCATTTACTGTGTGGCCAGACCTGCACAGAAAGCTATTTGCATGGTTGCTATTTTTTTTGTCCAATTGGCACAACCTCGCTGTGGGATTGACTCTGTTAGCACTGCTTTTGCAGAGAACTGCCAGAAGCCAGGGCAGTATCCAAGGAAACACGCTGGGGGTGGATGAGCTGCATTTACACCTGAACATGGCACTCCAGAGGCCCTGCTTCTACCTCCAAGCTGCAGGCTGGTGTCTCTCTTGGGCTGAGAGTTTTCTTCAAAAACAAAAAAGTTTTCTTTTTCTCTTCTAGGTTTTGGTAAAGACGACCATGCTTTGCTGTCTCACTCTCTCCAGACAGGCCTGCCGAGTCCTTACTCCTGCACCCCAATCCCTCAGGGAACACCCTTGACTTAGGTGGTCCATGGCAGCACGTGTCCAGTGTTCAGGAGTTACACCCCCAGTCTTTCAAATTCTTATTCAAACACTGGTTCCTGCGAGGATGATAAAGGTGACCTACTCCTCCTCTCTAGGGACAGCCAGGGCTTCCTGGTGGCCCTCCCCACAACTGAGGTTCTGCAACAGCCTGTGCCTTCTACCACCAGCCCCCGGGGGACTGCTGGACAGTGACATGCTGCACTTCCCTTCTCATCCTTCACACAGCAAAGGACTGATGAGCCTGCCTCTTACACGTCATCCTTGTTTCTTGCTGTGATCAAAAACTATATTTGTCATTTTAAAAGCAATGGGGTACCTAAAATAGTCAGATTCTGAGAAACAGAGAACAGAATGGTGATTGCCAAGGGCCGGAAGGGTAAACAGAGAGGCACTACTACTCAGTGGGTATGGAGTTTCAACTACGTGAGACAAGTTCTAGAGATCCGAGCCACAACATTGTGCCTACAGGTGACATTACTGTATTGCACACGTAAAGTTTAAGAAGGTGGATCTCATTCTAAGTGTTCTGACCACAACGAAAAAAAAAGTGAACTTGCCAATAATAAGAGTACCCATAGGTATCACTTAAAATTCAACTTAAAATATAGTGATAGCTATTCTCTTTCTTTGCCTATGCAGAGTAAAACATGTAAGTGTGTTAAAGAAAAGTGTCCTTTCCATGTATATAAATACACATTTGGGAGTTGATTTATATTGTAGTGAGAGGTCAGCTAACTATCTGCTTCTTTTTATTTTGATAGACACATAAAAACGTTATGTGTGCTCAATAATTCTTTCTTAATTTTCACCTTTTAATGGCACACAATTCTGTAAAAGCCCATGAACTGGCCAATATAAATACTACCCACATGAGGTGATAGGTAGGTTAATTAGCTTGATTGTGGTGACTATTTCACAGTGTACACATATATCAAAACACTGAGTTGTACAGCTTAAATATATGCATTTATTTGTCAATTATATCTCAATAATGATGAAGGAAAAGGATGAAAAAAGAAAACCTGCCCAAAGTGCTTAGCATCTACCTGGTATCCTCAATAATAGTAATCATTATTTTAAAAACAAAAACTCATGAGCACTAAGAGGCTTTCTTTCTCTCCATAATTTCAGAATGCAAAATACCATTGCTTTGTTAAGGTCTGAAGTGCACTCTTGTCAAAATATACAAACCCTAAAGACATTCTTTTAAAGAAATTGAAGAAAAACTATTCTAAGTATATTAAAGTATAGTTTTGGAATGATAAGTTTTCCAAAAGCCAAAGGTTTATGCCAGACAGTCAAGAGGCCAAGTTTCCTGTTAGACACACTCTTGGAGTGAAGGAAGGTTCTATTACTCTAGGCTGTAGTACAGGTGGAAAGGGAAGGCTTTCCAAAGATAGCTACAAAATGCATCCATTCGTTGGGGTTTAGGAGACAGGAATGGAATTTAATCAGTTAACATCTCTCTAAATCCATACTTGGTTTTTAAAAAAAAAACTTTAAAAAAAGAAGTCAAATACTTTTCAGTTAACCTTAGGGAAAACAGACTCAGACTGTATCTGAGACGCAATGTGGCAAAGTCGGGAGAACCAGTACTGTTATTTCCAGGGTTAAAGCCCAGAGTTAAGCAACACAAAGCATGCAGAACACCATGACTCAGGACGATGGAGCGCACAGCCTGCTTCCCACAGATCTAGTCCTTAGTAGAAATTCCCCACGATCAAGATCAGGGAAGGGCTCACCCCACTGCTGGGCTCTGCTCCACCCCAATATTTATGCCAGCTGGGGTAACGCAGCTGTAAGCAAGCAGCACAAACGCAGGTGCACTTGGGGCTGAGGGAGCCTCAGATACTCACCTCCGCGATCTTCAGCACGGCACTGCCATTCAGGTCAAATGTTGGGGTGTAGGTAATGCAGAGTAAAACCTTTACAAAAAAGGAGGTGAAGGAAGAAGGAAGAGAGAAAGGTTACAAATTTAGAAAGGAGTTTTTTATTCCACATGGGCTCTGTGCAGTCTTGTTTATGACTCCTTTGTTCATTGCTTTATTGAGGATGTTGCTATTCCACCCACTGCTCCCTAATTAGTTGTCACACACTGTCCAATAATACAAATACTTTAAAAGTTAAGGCTGCTACCCTTACCCCAGAGAAGGACCACTGCAAGACAGGCCAGAAATAACATTCCTCAACCTCTCTAGGAGATCTGTTTAATAATATTGAAAACCAAATGGCCAGCCTCAGTGCTGAGCACTATAGCGAATGACCTACATTGCTTTTTAAATATGTGCCATTACTATTGTCCTTATTTTACTGATAAGGAAACTGTTGCTCAGAACGATTAAATCAGCCACCCAAGATCACTCAGGGAATGAGTTGTGTAGCTGAGCTTTGAACCAGGTAGTTTGACTCCATGCCTTGAACCACTCTGCAATACTCTCTCTACTTCTTCCTAGACCCAAGCATTACTGTACTTTTCTGTTCCTATCCCCCTCCCAAATCCACAGGGGATTAGAAAGTCCTTAGTGGGCACTGTCCTCTTCCCTCCTGGAATTTCCCTCAGGATGCTACCCAGGATTCCCTTATTCTCCAAGATCTCTAGGCAGCAACACGGTGACATTTACAAGATCTTTAATGATCACTAAAAATCTCACTTTCTACTTGTAGAGCTATTAGAGAACAGATCAGTAAAAGCCTGTGGCATTTTAAGAATGGCTTCTAATTTCAGAGATAAGATGACAGCCTCTTCCCCAACCATTTGGCTTCTGATTCTGTGACTTTGCTCACTGGTAGCTTCAGACATTAAAGTGCTGGTTTCTGTTCCTCAGCCCCAAACCCAGCAGCCATGTCCTGCCTGCACCTTGGCCTGTTGGTATCAGTCTTCACAGAGTGTCTTCCATCTGGTCCTGCCCAATTCATGCAAGATCACTGAAGCCTAGCAAATTTACCAAACACAGGCTATACACCTCATCAGCACATCAAAAAGTGCAATTGTGAATGGGACAAAAAATCTCTCCTAGTATCTCCTTCTGAGTCACCAGCCAGGCCAGTCTTGGGACAGCACATACGAGATCTGTCCAGAAAGTATACAGCCATGTAATATGAAAAATAGAGACATTTTTTGAAGAAGATACAAGAAACATTGTACATAGGACAATGACACTTCAGTCCCCATCCAAGTAGGGGAGCTCACTCTTGGGACCTCACACAGTTCTAATTGCTATCAGCTGCCCCATCGTATTTTGCTGAGTATCATCAATGGTCTAAAATCTCTTCCCTTTCAAAAGTGATTTTAGTTTTGGGAAAAGCCAGAAGTCGCAGGGTGCCAAAACTGGGCTGCAGGGGGGCTGAATCACCTGGGTGATTTGATGTTTTGCCAAAAAGCTCTGCATGAGACGCAATAAATGGGTGGGTGCACTGCATCACGATGAAGCTGCCCATCACCAGCGGCTTGTAGTGGAAACCATATTTGTCATTTTGCATCTCTGCACTCACTGAATCATCCCCAAAAGACTTCTGAATCATCTGAATAGTTTCCATGGAGGAATATTCAAGCTCAATGCAAAATTTAATGCAGATTCATTGCTCTACTTTCTCAGTCATTTTTTAATGTGATGGCCACATGGTACAAATCTCACTCAATGGCATCTGTCGCCCCCACTGACTAGTACAGTGAAGGCATCATTGTTCACACAAGCGCATTCCAGTCCACTCTCCTTGGCTGCCAGGTTACATCAATGTTGGGCAAACTGTTATTATATTAACAATGGCTGGACTTTTTCCAGACAGACCCATATGTATGTAATTAAAAAAGAAAAAGGGAGGAAGGGTTTGCCAAGGTTAAGTTCATTGTAGGTCTGCTCCTCAGTTTAAGGTGCCTCAGTTTAAGAATCAACACCTGATAAAATCATCCCAATGCCATGCAGGCTGGAAGAGAGGGGTAATGGGAGCAACTGCTCTATGGCCTCATAGGAAAAGGTTTTCTTTTATTTAAAGACTATCTTTGCAGGGTTGGGGTTTGATAAGCAAAAAAACCGTGGGCAGCAGAGTCACCAGGAACGGCCTGGGGAGAATCACATCTTGCAATACCGCTGTATTGGTTGCACGTTTGCCGTAAACCCTCCTGTCCTTGACTCCTCCTACACTTGTTCCTCATGTCACTCATTCAGCTGGTTTCTTTCAGGTCTCAACTCGAATGTCACGCCCTCAGAGTCAAGCCACCTTTCCCATCACCCTCTCTAACGTGGCCTCTATCACAGCTCTTTGTTTCACTTACTGCAGAGCATGTACCAGCCTCATAAACTCATAGTTTGTTTACTTCTTTAAAATCTTCCCATTAGACTACAACATCCATTGAGCATCTGAAAGGCCCTCAGCCTTTCTCATATGATGCTTTCTTACTTTAGATTTTTGCTGCTTCGCACAGCTTCTCTTTCCTGAGTGGAATTTTTTCTCCCCCACCCCCATGTTTATGGCAGGCAGGTGGGAAGGAGTGAGAAAATGGCTGGTGGAGGTGGCGGTGTGTGGCGGAGGTGGCGGGGAGGTGCGTGGGTCCACTTGGGTTCTTGGCTTTATAGGTATTCATAGGACTGACAACTGGCAATTCTTTACAGTATGAAAAGAATGATGGTTAATATTTCTTACAGGACTGACACCGACTTTCTGCCTTCCTTCCTGTGTACATTTATACCAAGTGCACAAAAGTAGGTTTGAAACGAAACAATCGAAAACCCAGCCCAGCTTTCTGTGAACAAGAGCTGCTTTTTGACAGCAGTGGCTGGAGGAAGCAGGAGCCGTTGCCCACAGTGAAGTCTTCAGGAAGGGCGCTGGGTGGGCAGTGTTTGGTCATCAAGACCCTCAGGGGACAGGGGAGGCTCCACCCCCTCTGCCGCAGGGAAGCTGGGAACTGTACAGGGAGGCCTTGTGGCAAGAGTCCACAGCAAACAGGCTCCCTGCACCAACCCAACGCTGATTTTGTTCAAAAGATCTCTGAGGAAAGGCTTTCCACACCTGGTGCCTGGCCACCTAAAGACACAAGTACCTAAACACTTGCTGAGCTCTATGCAAAAACTAAGCACAGCAAACAATGATGAAAGGAAAGTGAAGCACAGTAATGAAGCCAGCTCCATGGGCTCACAGTTTGTTGTGCTAGAAGCACAGCAGGTTTTAATTACAGGGCTGCCGGTGCCCATGGTCCCCCGTGACTCACAGATATAAAAGGGCAGAGAGTGTCTAGCAAGGATGATGCAGTGGACAGAAATGACTTACCAAAAACGCTAAATGGAAAACAGTTCATGTGCCCGGCACCTCGCAAGCATTAATTCACTGAATTAAAACACAGCCTGGATGAAAGGAAACTTAGAGTGACAGCAAATTAATTTACAGTGTCTGATTTCCACTGCACTCTGAGAGGGCAAAAATTTTAAATTCACATTCTGAGCACGTTGGCCACAAGGCAAACAGGAACACCTAAATATCAAGGGCAATTCTATTAAAAACATACCCCTCATGGGGTCCTGAAATCACACTGACTACATTAGCACTGAGCAGCAGGAATGTGAGTGATGGATAGGCAGCATCTTGCAGTCTAGCTTGGCAGCACTGCCGCTACAAATGAGCTAAGAGAATGGGGAGAAAAAGACCCAACATCTTCAATTAAAGGGAAAAATCATTACAAAGGCTACACAATTCCCAATCACTACAAAACAATAATCGAAAAGCTACTATGTGCAAGAAGCAACCCTGCAATTTAAAATGTGTGTAGAAAACCTGGATAAAACAAATGAGACTGGAAAGGAGAAAATGAAGCTGATTTATTTTAAGAATTGGCACAAGTAGAAAGAATCTGGCAATTCAGCTATGCCAAAGAGAAGCCATAAAGTGTTTAATTTCAGTGAAAAGGTATTCACGTGTAAAAATAAAACAAACTATAGTATATATGGGTTTGGTATTGTCTAACGTTACAGGCATCCCCCAGGGATGTTGGAACGTATTTCCCACATACAAGCAGTGGTGGGGACTACTGTACATAACAACTTTGAAGGTTAGAAGGCATCATGACTGGAGAAGGAGACTTTGCCAATGAGATGACATATGAGCAAGGCTAGAGAGCAGGTTGGAAGCTTACTGCACATCCATTTAAATGCCCTATGGGAAGTGTTTTGTGTGCACTTTTTTGGGGCTGGTCAGGCCAACAGACCGCAGCTAAAACTAATTGGCCTGAGGCACATTGGAAATCGAAGTGATAAAGCAGACACTTTGTAAGATGTCGATGCAGTTGAAGACAGATTCCAGTCATTCCAGCAGAAATGGACTAACTGGGGTGCATTTGGCAAAGGGATTCAGGGAATTCCCTAAGCAGAAGGAAATGGCCAGTGAGTTTGAAACCTGGGTATTATCATACCACGGTTCTCCCCACCTGTTGTCTAGTGTTCTATTCGGTCTGGCTAAAATCTCTCCTACCTCCTCCATTACTGTGTTTCACAAAGCTTTATATTAGATATTAATAAAGTAACATATTTTGAGGAACAATGATATTCCTTGTTCAAAGTACATAGTATAGATATGACAATCACGGAACAGGAAGAAAATGTAAAAGGTTTTTCCTACAGCATTTATTTGAAGCAGTTTAGATATAATACTTAAATATGTGTGCTCTCTCCATCCCCTTTGGATTCATAAGCTCCTTAGTATTGTAGTTGGGTCCGACCTGCTGACACCCACTGCGTGTACAGCGCCTTGCTGGGCCCTGGGGAGCCCGGTGAGTCCAGGGTCCATCCCTCCTCCTAAGCACTCCTGCATGAGGAATTAACCCCAGGGAGGGTAAGCAGTCAGGAGTCAGTGGGACTGGCACCTGTGTGCTTAGTTATTATTGTAAAATATGTAGACAATATGATAAGCCAGCCTGGTTGAAAATTGTCCTGGGCAT